TTTTCCTGCTGCTGCTTCAGCGGGTTGTCCTTTGAATAGCTGCTCTGTGGCCTCTTCTTTCCTTGCTTTTCCCTCGATGAATTACATATTATTTCGCCGACAATTCGGATGCACAACATGGCACGCGCGCGCGCGAGTCCTCGTTTGCATTTGCATCAAAGCTCCTTCGCGAAAATATCGAGTCGCTTGCAAGTGATTCACGCGCAATAAATTTTCAAGTTATTGAGGATCGAGAAGCGCGGGTGACGAGTGCGCCGCCGATGGTAGCTCTCTCGGAGCGAATAGCTTCAGTGGCAAATAATTAAATTCGAATTTTTCTGGGGAAACGTTCAACAAGTCGAGATTAACGTCGCGCGGGTTCGTTAATCGTTGGTGCGTTAAAATGCGCTCTATCTAACCTCGTTTCAAGGGCCTTTCAGTATGCGGAAGAGTTGTTTTTTAAACGAGCAGCCAACTGAATTTCGTCACCTCGTTGTGTCATCTGAATCAATGTTGAAACAGCGTCACGGCGAAAAAATAAAACAATAAAATAAAAAAAAAAACGAAAAACAATGTCCGAGAGGCGCGAATTTGCTAATGGTAACTTTATTTGCAGGCGGCACTCGGTTACGCGGAACAACCGGAGAAGAAAGCCACCGAGCGCGGCGTTTCGAAAAGTCAACCTCAAAGAGCGCTCGTTGAAATGTAATTTATGCAAAAACGACGAGCGCGCGCGTCGACGCGATATTTCCTAATCGGCCGAAAATAGCAAAAAACGCGGAGACAGGGGCCTGGCGCAAAGTGGATTTTCATTAGCGGGAGACACGTAGAAACGGGCGAGCGAGAAAGGATCGATTGCGCTCGACTGATTTCGGTAAATCGACCGAGCAAAAAGGCATGTTTTCGCTAAATGGACGTGGCGAGATTGCTGATACAGAAGTGCGCTACAAGGGAATCAGCAGTGGCTTTTAAAGCTGCTTTTCAGCCCGGGAATGCCGCGGAGCTGAGTGAGCCAGGCCGTTAACGGCGTTTTCCAAAACGAGTTAGCTCGCTCGTCGAGAGTAGAGCTCAAAGGCCGCAGTCGCAGTCGTCGCGCAAGGAGTTTAGTGGGATTTTTCTCGGATGATGAAGCGTGCGATTCATTTGCGATCGGCGCTGAAATACTCGACGGCGGCAGCGCCGGTAAAGCCGTCTCGGCTTGGCGCGGAACGTATCTCAGATGCAGAAGTATTAGCAATTATGAGGCACACGGAGATACCTGCTTGCGCACTTTTTTCCTTTTCTTTATACAAGCTTCTCGGTTTAGTCGCAGTTTACATAAGTTAACTGCCGCCCGTCAGTCGCGAGCGCGAGCGAGAGACGAGGCGATGGATAAATCAGGCATTCTTTGAAAGGTCGCGAGCGAGGCTACCTCGTTCTGGCCGTAATGAAATGTCCGCGCTTGTTTCTTTTCGTCGGCACTGTATCCGTTTCGCGTCTCGCGTACGCACGTCGATTCTCTCTCGCCGTGGCAACGCGATCAAACGCAAACGCTTATGATAATAACGTTAATTGGCTCGGCACACAATAGCGTCTCGGCGGGGCGCAAACCCAGCAGCGGACACGCGTCACGAGGCCCGTATCCGCAAATAAATAGCTCGTTCGCCGTTAAATCCAGGCGGCGGCGAAATAGAGAGAGAGAGAGAGAGAGAGAGAGAGAGAGAGAAAGAGAGAGAGAGAGAGAGAGAGAGAGCTGCTGAGGGCGTCCCCGGCGTACGATACACCGTTGATAAGTCTCTTTCTCCGCGCCGGCTCTATCCGACGCTAATCCTCGCGCTAGCGTCAAAGGCTGCATCTCTGTATTCTCCGGCGGCCCCCCGACTGCCGCCGACCTGCGGGGTAGCCAATGGCAACCTTTGTTCTCCAATTCGAACGCTCCGAGTGAGCTTTTTTTCCTCTGCCCCGCGTGACTGCTTATATACCTGTCGCGCCCGACTGCGGCTTGATTGCGATTTGGGCGCATCGCGCGAAACTTTTGTCAAGTGATTCGTACAGCGCCAACTGCCCCCCCCCCCCACCCCGCCGCTCACCCGTCACTCCGTCCAGCAGCTCGCCCAGCTTTGTCTTAACGAGCGAGATTAGAGACAGGGCCTGCGCGTTGCAACAGCAGCTCTGGCCGTAAATTTTAATTTCCAACGCTCTACGTGCGGCAGGCTGCACCTTGTTGTACAGCTTGCCGAGGCTGTCCTGCAAACTGCCGCCCACGCGTGCAAACTCGCGCGCCAGCGCTAACGAATTACGCGACACGCTTTTAAAGCTCGCTTCAGCCTTTTTTTCTCGCGCGCTCGCTTCCTGTTCTTTTAATTGCGACCTTTTATTTGCCGAAGAATGTTACATTTTCAAAATAGCCAGCTCGCACATGTGTGACAGAAAGCGGAAAGACCGAGGTATTATTTTCTTCTTTTTTTTCGAAAGCACATGTTCTCAACGACTACACTTTCTGTTTCCTTTCTTTTCTGATATATTTTTTTTTATTAATAATAGTACAAATAAGACACCACGGGTACTTTTTCTAACTTGATATCTGAAAACTTAATAAAATCTTGAAAATTATAAAATTTTTAATGAAATCATTTGTTAATGAAAATTGCTCAGCGTTAGCTTGCTGCTAGTTTTCTTTTGAACGTGCCATTAAATATGTTCATAGTTAAAGATAATCAACGTATTTCTAAAAGAATTACAAGAAATCCAAAACCGATATTGAAAATTTTTCTTTCGATATTGAAAAAGTCATAAATCGAATTATTTCCCTTTACAAGGTTCTCTATAAAAGAACTACGTTGAACCCTAAATTGATTTTGAAAAATGATACAAATTAATGAAATCTCATTATCTTGCAGTTGCTGCAGCTGATAATGTAAACCAGATCAAATTGGCTCGTTTGAAGCTGAATATTTAGTTGCGGAAAGTACAGTTTTTAATAAGTATATCTATCTTTTGCCATTAAAGTGAACCGAGAATTAGACATTGAATAATCCCCTCAAAAAAAGAGAAAAAAATAGTGAAATCACGGAAAGAAAAATTAGACTTTAAAGTATGTTCAATGTCGTGGACAGAGGTATGAAAATGTGGAGAAAAAAACGGTACAATCCCGAGCGACTGGCCGTGCCAGCGAAAATCCGCACACTCGATCATTATATCAATGCATTAGCCGGCAATTCGGCTGACACACGGCGATCGGCCAAGCCCGTAATCGCTCTCTCACCGTCTCGTGTCTCCGCACTCGGTCGGCCGCTCGCATGCTGCGCATAGCCTTGTCACCGAGGCTTTGTAGTTAACGCGAGTGCGCGCCGGCAACGACCCTCGTTATGAACGGGCGATTTGCCGCGCAGCGCGACGCGGACGGAATAAAGGGGGAGGGGGAAAAACGCGCGAGCTCGATTGCCCTTTGATGACCCCTCCCGTCCCGCAACAACCAGTAGGCGCTCTCGATCTTTATGCGAAATTTCAATCCAATTACGAGCTCGCGGCAAAGAGAGAGAGAGAGAGAGAGAGAGAGAGAGAGAGAGAGAGAGAAGCGAGGATGGGCGCGTGCTTTCGACGTTTTCAATTATTTACAAACGCGCGCGGCCGAATATTAAGAGCGCGACAGCTCTTTATTAAAAACTTGAGCTGCGTGCAAAATCGATTTTCAATTAAAACTTTAAAGGCAAGGTCGAACGCCGTTAGCATTGTCCCGCGAAAATTAACGCCCGACGATTATCAATACTTAATCGGAAAGCTTCCCCGCACGCGCGCACGAGAGAGTGTGAGAGAGAGAGAGAGAGAGAGAGAGAGAGAAAACCACTTGAATAATGAATTAGCAATCTCCGTGAGAGTCTTTCTATCTTTGCGATGGAATATTATGATCTGTCCGCGAGCGAACGCGAGAGAACCGATTTAAATTCAAACAAGACGATCGGACGCGAAAAATCTCTTATCTTGGCCGAACGAACAATGCTGTGCTGATAGCAGAGCCGGCGCTGCTGCACTTCTCCGCTCCTTTCGTTTTCTCCCCCTTTCCCCCAGCGTCTGATGCGCTTCTATCCGCTGCATTCTGATGTGTACTCTCTGGCTGCTCCATTACGACAATGCATTATGCGCGTCTCGACCTACAGAGCTACTTTTCCCTTCTTTTGAAGTGAAAATTAGGTTTGTGCTCGTTTTTTCCAACCTACACCTATATACGTACTTAGCGGCCACCTCTTCTTTCCAAAATGAACTATCGAAAAAGCCGCGCAAAACTTACAAAAAGAAAGGATGAGCGATTGGTCGTCAAAGCTTTTTGGTGATCGTCGGTTAGAAGAAAAGCCGAGTGAGGAATTTTAAATTATTTGATTGAATATAATTAATCATTGCCGAGACCATTCTTTATTACTGTTATTACAAAATGAATATGTTCAATTGTTCAGGTTCTGTGAAAAAAGTGATTTTTTTCTGTTAAATCAATATTTGTGTATTATGCACATTTTCATATTTGAAGATTGTAAATTTTTATCTTTCGTATCTTTAAGCAAAGATCTTTTGTTTGAATTGTACACAACTAAATGATGATAGAAGATAAAAGAGGTTATTTTCAGATGAATATTTAACATTTGTCCAATATCAAACGCAAAACCGTCTTTCCATTAATCATCAATTTTAATAACTTTTCCTGATTTTCAAACTGTAGATATTGAATTATTGATATTTTAATTTGACAATGCTAGGATTTTATGGACTTCATGGTTTCAGCTTGATTTTGCAATCATATGAATCCACTTTTACTTTTAGCAAAGAGATATATGTCAAACTTAAAACAATAATCGAGTCAAATCAAGAACATTTTTTTCATATAGTTTATGACAATGGAAAGATCTGAAAAATGTTGTTAGCAAACTTCACAATTCAATAAACTTTCAATTTAAATTATTAAGTTAATTAATTTTTTCAAACATTATATTTTTTATATAACAATTTTTTATTTTGTTAAAAATAACATATCAAACAAAAATAGATGCAAATACAATTGTTATGATATATTAAATTTGTCACTTTACAACTATATTTACTTATGTTACATTTAAATTTCTATTTTATTGCTTCAAGTAACGCCGAAATCGGTGTAGAAGATTATCTGTAACGATAACGTCGAGTAACAGAAACTGTGAATCTTTAGGATCTGCCTCGGCATGTAGAACAGTAGCTTCGTTATAAAGCCACGTCATGGCTTCGCTTCCTGATTCTACTCTCATCTTCATTACCGATCTTCCAGTTTCGGCAAAAATTAATTTCTCGATTTTATGGCGTAATATGTCCAATCCTAAAATACAAAATTCTATATAACTATGTATTAAGAATAAAAAAAAATTATTGTGTATGAATTGAAAAGCTAGTATTTTACCAGTTGCCTTCGTTGCCGAGATTCCTAAAACCTCGGTTGGTAAAGTTCCGGGCTCTATTAAATCGCACTTGTTAGCTATCTCAATCAACGGTTTATCACCATTTGTTAAAGATTTTAACGTTTTGCGGACATGCTCGATTTGTGCTAATTTATCTGGATGACTTGCATCGTAAACATGCACAATTATATCCTGTAAGTGATAACAATTTAGTTACTCAGTTGTATAAAGTTTATTTTGATATATTATATCGGAAAAATACTTACAGCTATCATCGCATCTTCCAGTGTAGCCACAAATGGTTCAATTAACGTGGCTGGTACATCTTGTATGAAGCCTATGGTGTCAATATACAAAACTTTCATTTTACATGGAAGAATACCTTCATGCGCTGTGGTATCTAGTGTTGCAAACAAAAAGTTCTTGGGTTGTAATCCAAAATCACCAGTTAAAGCTGCAATGAGAAAAAATTATTATATGAATCAGCTTTAAAGTTTGAGTGATCAAAAAAAATATTTTGTAAACTTGCCTTTAATTAAAGAAGTCTTTCCTGCATTTGTGTATCCTACAACAGCAACAGTAACAAATCCATAATGCTTTCTTTTATTACGAACAGCTTCTCGATGCAATTTGAGTTTTTTCAAAGCAGTCTTGAGTTGTGATTCTCGTGCTTGCAAATACATTCTACGTTTTTCTAATAGATTTATCCTCCCTCCTAATTCACTCATTTTTTTGTAAATATATGGGAGTTCAGCCAATGCAACTTGAAGTTTAGCTTCAGGACTCCTTGCATGACTCCTAAAAATGTGTATAACTATAGAGTATCTGTCGTAAACTGGCAAACCAAATATTTTTTCAAGTTCCAAAAGTTGCACATGTTTGAGAGTGTTTGTACTAACAAAAATTGCTGTTACATTTCTGCCACACTTGATTCTAGTTTTAATATTTTCTAGACCACCAGATCCAAATAGTTGTTTTCTTTCCAAACTCATTAGTGGAATCCACATTTTATCTACTACTTCCCAATAGGGCAGAGTTTCAACTAGTGCAACAGATTCAGCAAGTTGCAACTCTCTAGTGGTTTGTTGTTTTTTATCTTTACCCCATTTGATATATGGTTGAATTACAAATGTTCGATGACCTTTTGCTACTACTCCTAGATACTCATTAGCTATCTCATTGTACTCTGGATTTATTAATTCTGTTTCTTCCTCAACCATGAAAAATTCATCTTCATGTCTCAGTCTCTTTGGTAGATACCATGATTCTCTAAGTACATTTTTTCTATACAAAGCCAATTTATTGTTTAAACCCTGTTTTACAAACGGCATAAGACTTTTCAAAACGCTGCTCATTTTGAATTTGAGATATTAGTGACCAGTACCAAAATTAAGCCATAAATTTTTCATCAAGCTGTCTATTGATATCTTCTTCACATCTCCTTTTGGCACGAACTCCAGCAAAATAAGAAAATACCACAGCCAATAATGAACCACTAGCCACCTTATATTCTATAGGCATTGGTAAATAGTTACGGAAAGATTTAAGTAGCAAAGGAATTACTACTGTACCTGTGAAAAAATTGCGAAAATTATTTATCAACATAGCAGTTTATAAAATGTTTGATCCAGGATATTCAAATATCAATTTTAAAGTTAACTTAATTATTCCAGAACATTAGATGCTCTATTAGTTTGTTTACAATATTAAACAATGGATGCAAAAAGTATTTTATAGTCATGCTACCTGCAATGTAAGTGTAAAAAGTTGTAGAAAATACAGCACTAGCGCATTCCTGCTCCACGAAATGAACACGCTCTGCAGGAGTATGAACTTCATCAATAGTTAAAAATTCACAGGAGTTAACCATGACCAATTCTTAGTTAATAATTAGAACAATTCCGATAAGAAAAATTATTGTGTGAATGTTTTATATTTAACCTTAATTTTACAGTATTTTCTTACATTGCATTTTCGTTTGCGGAGCCATACAACCGAAGATTTTGAGGTTAACCTTGTGCCGAGTCGTTATATAACTTTACACTGTACTACTGCGAACATTTTTTAATTGTTGCCGCTTCATCCATCATTTGCCGTAAAAAAATCATCGTTTTATGGTTACGAAAGAAAGGTTAAATAAAGTCTATATTATATGAGTTTTTACAATTAGCACATAATTATTATATCTTTAAATTTCAATACTTCAATTTCTATAAAATTCTACAGACTGCAGTTAAAAAAGCAATAATACATTAATATATTAAGTTAATATGCGATATTATAAATATCAATTTTTTTCTGCTGTAATAAAATTGGCACATCTACTTTTAAACCGAGCGCTAGTTTTTCCCAAAACTAGAAAAGCGCTACAGTCGCGAGCACAGTTGTGACGAACGGACACGTCACGTTGCGTCTATAACATATGTATATGACAGGTATGAAATAAGGCGCAAGCGCAAACAGCATATGTACACCCGCGAGATTTATGAACGTCGATAATATAAGCGAAAACGTGTAAATGGTCACTTGAAAATGCAACTCTTACTACGAATATTCAAAGGGAAAAAAAAAAAAAAAACAAACGAATAAAGAAAGATTTATTGCACTACAATAAATCTCGACTACGGCATCTACTCGAGCGCGCCGACGTCTGCGCTACACATGTTGCTCACCTGGACAAATTGCGAGCGCAAGATTGGCATCGGAGCAAACAGCAGAAAAAATGCTCTAAACCGGCAATAAAGGATGAAGCACGTAGGTCCGAACGTGCCGCGAAAACTTTCCCTTTTTACTGCATCCTTTCTTCGAGGCCTTTCTCGAAGAAAGGATGACGCCCACTTCATCAAATGACTGGATGCCGAAAAAACTCTTACTCCTCCCTCTCTTTGGAGGTGTTGATGCTAAACCTACCCCTTTGGGAGTGACAGAGGGGAGCGCCGAGGAGGACGCTCCAGGACAACGACAAGTCAGTCAGAGCAGAGCCCTCACGAGAGAAACTTGTGACATTTTTCTTGTATTCTACATCATTAAAAGCAATTGGCAGTTTGAAGTATCACTGATCTCTCTTTTCATTTGAATTTTCCACGCTACCCAAATTATAAAGTCGGTCAATGAACGCTCTCATTCCTTATTTATCGAGTCACGTTCAAATTCATCCCGCGCTTACAACTAAATACAAATTATTCCTTGTTCGCGCCAACGGCAAGGGTGGGGATGTTACACTGGTGGCAGCGGTGGGATACGAAATTTTAACAAAAATAAAATATAAACCAGTAATAGATCATACGCTATCAACATCTATAGCAAGTATCTTTGAGATTACAAGTTTTCAAAAGGAAAGAAGAGTCCTCCAGATGCACTGGCCAGGATACGCTACATAGAAATATCAAGATTTGTGTGTGTAATTGTGACTGTACGTGATCTGTGCATATAAACTTTGACTGCGTTATATTATAGTGCACATTGACTGTGAGTGAGCGTGCAATTTTGTGCACGAGTGCCAACTGCCCTCTCCCCGGTTTTAGGCGTGTTTCCCGTGGAGTACAGGGTGAATACCAGGGTAGGCGATTTTTGTGGCCACGCCACGGCTTCTTGCTCAAAAATCGCAGGCTGCGGCTGTCCTCACCAGCATTGTAAGTTTTGTTGCAATTACCGTTTTCAAGTGACCATCGCGATATCGTGGGAAAATATAATCAGTTATTTTAGAAGTAAGAATTTCTATAATGTATGAATAATGTATTTAGTATAGTTTGCTTTTAGTAGTCTTACATCAACTTGCGCTAACAGTGTACGATATATTCAACATTTTTTTTTATATTTATTATTGATTCAATATTCGAAATTTGCGTTGATATTAAACTTGATAATAAGATTCAATTTTGTACTTATACTGATTTAATTAACAATAATAATCGTTCTTTTTATTAATAATATTTTATAAATAAAATTAGTCAAGTAGTTGACTAGCTTTTCAAATTTTCAAATCATTTTTCAATTTTTCAAAAAAAAAAAAAAAAAAAAAAAAAAAAAAAAAAAAAAAAAAAAAATTACCGGAAATTTGCCGGAAAGTGTAGATGATTTGTTTAGATTTTCTGCGATCCATATTGCTCTAGTTGTCAGCTGTTAAGTCTTCTTATCGGTATCTGAAATTCAAACGAACACAAGCTGAATGTTCTATAATTAATGCTATTAGTGGTGTATACGGATTCATACTCATCTGATTTCAAACCGGTGTCCCTTAAGTATTGCTTTCGTTTGGCCTAATCTCACTCCCCTTGCTGTAAAACACGATAATGTCGGGGCGCGGTAAACGTAGCAACCGCGGTGCAGCCGGTGGCCCGCCTGCTAAAAGAAGCACTAGGAGCGCAACCACCCTCGCCCAAAGGAGTGATGGCGCGGGTAATGTGGGCGAAGCACGAGTTCGCGGAGGGCAGGTGAGTCGAGGTAGGGGCCGTGGAAAAACGACTAGTAGATCGGCGGTACGAACCGTAAACATTGAAAGTATCGATATGGACGCTGAGAACTCGGGCGCAGACGATAGCGATTCAGAAAATCTGCCGTTAGTTCCAAACACGATGAACGCGGGAACATTGAGCTTACCTCGGGTAATCCCTAACGAGATTATGGTTGCCTCTCCCACTCACTACGAAGCGCGAGCAGGCTACAGCGGTAGCGAAGCCAGGCCTTACTACGTCGAACCTAAGACTGCATTAACTCTCATACCGGTGTTCAAGGGGGAGGGTGATTGCGTCGAGGGGTTTGCGGAGAAGTGCGAGGAAGCCAACGGGTTTGTTGAGCCGCGTGCACGTTCGCTCTTTTTGCAGATGATGCGTAACAAATGCGAAGGGGATGCAAAAAATTATCTGTTAGCAACAAAACATAGCGACTTAACGAGTTTTCTAAGTGCACTCAAGGATAGATATCGTCCGCCGGAAAGCTTTTCAGATCTGAATGCTCAGCTCAATCGAGTAATACAAAAGCAGGGCGAGTCGATGCGAGATTACGGTACGCGCGTTAGCCTTCTGTTAAACAAGCTCATCCGTGTGGCGCGGTACACCTACCCGGATGGCGCCGCCGCGATCATACAATGCGCGCAGGACACAGCACGCGATAGCTTCATAATGGGCATTTGGAGAAACGATTGTACGACTAGAGTTGAGGCTAAGAAACCAAGTACCTTGGAAGGAGCGATCTGCGCTGCTATTGAGGCCGAGATGAAGATTCAACAGAAAGAAGCGCTAAAGGAGCAGAACGGGGCGAACAGGCCCTTCAACAACAGGAAAAGTGCGTACCAAGTAGCCTACGTAGCTAATCAGGTGCGTGCAGACTCGCCGCGCTGCGATCGAAATCAAAACTCGGGAGGCGCGCCGGGCAGCAATTCAAAGCAGGCCGAGGGAGGAAACGGAGGCTCATTGTCAGCAGACGCTACTCCAACTTATGATAGGGAAAGGCGAGGGGAGCGCACTTGTTATCGGTGTTACCTTCCAGGACACATCGCAAGATTCTGCCCATCGAACTCTGCTGGAAACAACTATGACAACGGACCGACGAGAGGAAGGCCGTCGTGGCGCGGAAGGCCGTTTCAAAATCGTAACGCGCAAAATTCGTATCGTAGCAACCAACAATCAAGCAATTTAAACGAAGACGCGGCCCGATCGACCGAGACGCGACCGGGCGCAGCGAACAAACCGTCTCCTGCGACATTCGTGTCCACTACGCCGCCGAACGAATAAACCCGTCGAAGTCTCCCTTTGTCGAGCTTTTTTGCGAAACACGGCACGAAAAGTTCACATTCCTCGTAGATACCGGCTGCGGGTTGAACCTCATAAAATCTAAATGCCTCGGCAGGGGAGCATCCGTCGACGAGAGCGTTCGATTTAATTTAACCGGTATCGGCAATGGGCTTGTGAGAACGCTGGGCCAAACAGCGCTCACGCTCGGCGACATTCAGATCGTATTCCAAGTTGTCCCGGACGGTTTTCCTGTGAAAGGAGACGGTATATTAGGAGTAGAATTTTTAGAAAGGGAGGAAGTCGATCTTGTTTTTCGCAAAGACGGAGGGGAAATAAAAGTAAACTCGAGATCGTATCAATTTAAGCAAAATAACACGATTCATTTACCAGCGCGATCGAGGACTTTCGTCGAGTTTGCGGTGCAAGCGAGCAAGGAAATGAAGGAAGGAATTCTTCCGCGGATTAATTCCGGGCCAGATGTATATATCGGGGAAGCATTAGTGGCCCTCACCAACGGCAAGGCCAGGGTGTGCGCCATTAACTCTTCTAGTCGAGATATCACGGCTATCTTCCCAATACCGAGCGTAGAGCCAGTTCCTGAAATTAAATCGAACGATGCGTTACCCGATAAGCGCGATGAGGCTAAACGGATAGCCAAACTTTTACGATGTATTCATACAGAGCATCTCAATTCTTTAGAACGACATAAACTCGTAACGTTGATAGCTAAATACCCTTATCAGTTCTTTTTACCTGGAGATAAATTAAAGGCCACCGATGTATTAAATCACAAAATCGAAACTGTCGATGAGATTCCAGTCCATGTTAGGCAATTCCGATTACCTCAATCCCAAGCCAGCGAGTTAGAAAAACAGGTACAAGCGATGGCTGATGAAGGCATAATTCGCCCTTCGATTTCTCCTTACAATGCTCCATGTTTTCTGGTTCCAAAAAAACCTGATGCCTCCGGCAACCCTCGGTGGCGTTTGGTGGTCGATTATCGAGCCTTGAACGAAAAGATTATTAATATTTCATACCCAATGCCTAACATCACCGAAGTCTTAGATAAATTAGGAGGGTCCCAGTATTTTTCATCATGTGATCTCCATACGGGCTTTTTCCAAATTCCTTTGGATCCCTCTTCGAGCCATAAAACAGCTTTCTCGACTCAGTACGCTCACTGGGAGTATACGAGAAGTCCCATGGGCCTACGTACGAGCCCAGCCGTGTTCCAGTACATGATGAACAAAATTTGTTCGGGCCTCCAAGGGGTAGAAATGCTCATCTATATGGATGATGCTATTATCTTCTCTGATAGCCTAGATCTTCACATAGCAAAATTAGACAAATTTCTCAAAATCATAAAAAATGCTAACCTTACCTTAGAACCAGAGAAATGTTCATTTTTGTGCCAGCAGTTGCCCTACTTGGGGCACATAATATCCAAAGATGGTATTAGGCCTGACCCAAAGAAAGTAGAAGCAGTGCGCTCGTTCCCAACTCCCAAAAATAAAAAGAATGTAAAGCAGTTCCTAGGATTGATAGGGTACTATAGGAGGTTCATCAAAAATCTGACGGGTATTGGCAAACCCCTCTATGCCCTGCTCAAGAAAAATGTCGAATTTCACTGGGGATCTGATCAGAAAAAGGCCTTCGAGACCCTAACAAATGTTCTCTGTGAATCACCAATACTCCAATACCCAGACTTCACCAAGGAATTTCGCATTACGGTTGACGCTTCTACTAAGGGTTGCGGGGCTATACTTAGTCAGGAACCGAACGATCTTCCAATCGCGTTTGCTTCTCGAGCATTTGGCCCTGCTGAACAGAATTATTCCGCAATTGAAATGGAATTAAATGCCATGATTTTCGGTATCGAACATTTCAAGCCTTACATTTATGGCAGAAAGTTCACTCTAGTCACCGACCATCGTCCTTTGGTGTGGCTCCAAAACTTAAAGGATCCTACGTCCAGGCTTGTTAGGTGGAGATTACGCCTTATGGATTACACTTTTAAAGTGGTGTATAAGGCTGGGCGGGTGAATTCCAATGCTGACTCTCTCTCTCGTAATCCGATCCTTCCTAATCCAGTAGACGGCAGTGAAGTGGTGAGTTGTGAAAAGATGGATGTCTGCGCAGACTCCCCATCGGTTCCTGATTCACAGGCCGACCTGCTCGTCCTTGAAGACTCCCCGCTAATCCAGGTGTCACTGGCTGAAGTACTAGCCCTTGAAGACTCTATTGCCCAAGTTTTTATAACCTCCTGTGAACCAATAGATGTTTTGAGTATAAATGAAATGCAAAAAGAAAAAGAGAAAAGAGATGAAGTGACCTCATCAGAGGCAGAGATAGTTGAAGACACTGAAATGTCCTACCGGGCCAGGGCTGAGAACCCTGGATGGCCGCAGGTCTCATCAGAAGTTGGAATGAAAGATGACGCGGTCTTACGGCCCAGGGATGAGACCTCTGGGTGTCTGCAGGCCCGAGTGAATGGAACCCGTGTGAGTAGAGAGGGAGATATCAGCATAATGGAATCTACTGCGAGTGAATGTGTGTTTTTGATGGCCTGTGATATGTTTGAACACACCAATGATCCCTTACTCATGGAGAGCGACCATTTAATACATTTTATTCCAGCAGACTGTGATTTGACTTCAGAGATTAATAAGGAATTCATTGATAGAGGTATGCTAACAGTAGAATCACTGAAAGCAGTAAATCCAAGCTTAGGTACTGTCATCACTTTTAAAACAGAAAAGGGTCACTATGTCTTCAATCTTGTAGTGAAGGAATCAATTGAAAAGGAATCGTCAATCACGGTTATTCAGACTTGTTTAGTTAGTCTTCAACGGGCCATGAACGATTTTCAGGTCAGAACTGCTCGCATATCAAGCTCTGGAAATGGTCTAGACGATATATCATGGAATGAAATTGAGAATAAAATGTTCGAAATCTTCACAGGACATGATTATCAATTTAAAATCTGCTCGAATGACCTACATTTCCCAGATGAGGCAGAGGTAGAGATTTTGTTACAGGAGTATCATGATTCGATAACAGGGGGACATCAAGGATGTAGCAAAATGTACAAGGCAATTCGCAAACACTTTTACTGGGATAACATGAGGTCCGATATTAAAGGTTATATAAGATCATGTAAAAGTTGCCAGGAAAGTAAACTCAATCGTGTAAAAGTCAGACAACCTATGGTCATCACTGACACCCCCAAAGCCGCTTTAGATAAGATTCAAATGGACATAGTCGGTCCACTGCCTATCACACACTCAAATAATCGATATTTACTTACCATCCAATGCGCTCTAAGTAAATATGCAGACGCAATCCCCATTTCCAACATGGAAACAGCCACAGTAGCAGGAGCCTTAGCTGAAGAGTTCATCTCTCGACATGGTTGCCCAAAGGTCATTCACACTGACCAGGGTAGTAATTTTTGTAGTCAATTGATGTCTGCACTTTGCAAAATTTTCAAAATTGAACGTATACGATCCACAGCCTTTCATCCTGAATCTTTAGGCTCCTTAGAACGAGCACATCACACATTTGTTGAATATCTCCGACACTTTTGCACTATGGAGAACTGGGATCAGTGGATTCGCTTTGCAATGTTTTCCTACAACACTCACATTCATGAAGCTCATGGTTTCACTCCACACGAAGTCTTCTTTGGCAGAAAAGCGAGAATACCCTCCTCATTTGCAAAACAGAACATTCCCACTACTTATAATGATCTGGTTGACAATCTTCTTCAACGTTTGAGTTATACTCAAACAAAAGCAGCAGAAAATCTAAACAGAGCAAAAGAAAAGTATAAACAGATTTATGATAGGCGTATGAATGCAAAGACCTTTCAAGTAGGTGACAAAGTATACTTACTGAAAGAGCCACGCAAGAACAAGTTCGATAAACTTTATATAGGTCCATTTTTAATTATAGAGGATTATGATCAAATTAACTATAAGATAAAACTGAATGCCGGTCATAAGATTGTGCACGCCAATAAATTAAAACCTGCCTCGATAAGAATAACATAATATGAGCAAGATAAGTTTTTCATAAGCATCGAACCTGAAGTTTTTTCTCTTACCACAAATTCACTAATGTAAGCATTCATAACTTTGTAGGGTTAAGTCACTATCAATTATTTTTATTTTCTAGATAACTATGTACTATTTTGGACTTTTGAGACAGGCTAGAAAAACGTGATGCCTCACAATAGTCTTGCACTCAAGTTACACTGATAATGTCGAGAATTTTAATTGAGCATAATTATATCGATATAAAGGCGTAAGTTTATAGACAGCGTTCACTAAAATGGAATTACAAGGACTCTGGGTACTACTAACCCGCTGTTTTTTTTTTGTGTTGTAACGTTGGATAAAAAACAGCTTTATGTTATGGGGGGAGATGTGACGAACGGACACGTCACGTTGCGTCTATAACATATGTATATGACAGGTATGAAATAAGGCGCAAGCGCAAACAGCATATGTACACCCGCGAGATTTATGAACGTCGATAATATAAGCGAAAACGTGTAAATGGTCACTTGAAAATGCAACTCTTACTACGAATATTCAAAGGGAAAAAAAAAAAAAAACAAACGAATAAAGAAAGATTTATTGCACTACAATAAATCTCGACTACGGCATCTACTCGAGCGCGCCGACGTCTGCGCTACACATGTTGCTCACCTGGACAAATTGCGAGCGCAAGATTGGCATCGGAGCAAACAGCAGAAAAAATGCTCTAAACCGGCAATAAAGGATGAAGCACGTAGGTCCGAACGTGCCGCGAAAACTTTCCCTTTTTACTGCATCCTTTCTTCGAGGCCTTTCTCGAAGAAAGGATGACGCCCACTTCATCAAATGACTGGATGCCGAAAAAACTCTTACTCCTCCCTCTCTTTGGAGGTGTTGATGCTAAACCTACCCCTTTGGGAGTGACAGAGGGGAGCGCCGAGGAGGACGCTCCAGGACAACGACAAGTCAGTCAGAGCAGAGCCCTCACGAGAGAAACTTGTGACATTTTTCTTGTATTCTACATCATTAAAAGCAATTGGCAGTTTGAAGTATCACTGATCTCTCTTTTCATTTGAATTTTCCACGCTACCCAAATTATAAAGTCGGTCAATGAACGCTCTCATTCCTTATTTATCGAGTCACGTTCAAATTCATCCCGCGCTTACAACTAAATACAAATTATTCCTTGTTCGCGCCAACGGCAAGGGTGGGGATGTTACACAGTCATGTCATCAGTCATGTGAGTGATTCGGCAACACCGCTATCAAATTGTGAATTCACGCAGCAAGTTTGAGTACCGTCTACCCAGTGTCTTATAAAAAATGCGGTCGTCTTTTTTTATTTTTCTTTGCAACGTCATTGATAATTCGAAGTTAACGAATAAGAAGATCTTGATTCTTGGTGATTTCGCGAACCTTCTTCACCGAATAAGTAAGCCGATTGTTAAGATAAATTCTCTCATAATTTCATCAGCGTACGAATTCAACATCCAGTACATGACACACACAGGCCGATAAGACAGTCTGCCCCTTTAAAACTTTCAATCGCTATCTTACTTTTACGCTTAAATGAGCTCTATTTTGTAAGGGACAATATAAATTGACGCGTGATTGGCGATTTTTAATTGAAAGGCCTCGACTTATAAGCTCATTTACGAAAGCTCGATGCGAAAAGATAAAACAGTCCATCAGTCAGAATGCAAGTTGTTGCATGCCAAGTGTAAAACGAGCTCATATCCACATACGTACACGCGACTCGTCACGTCACACGGAGCACATATATTCTCGATCTCGCCAAATGCTTGCATGTGTCCCGCGAGAAAGTCGCGAGCGAACGAACAGTGTGCATGAGAGTAAGAAAGCACGCACTATAGGAAGGCTTACATATATATAGGTACATAGCATAGCTGTAAGCTTCGAGCGCGCGAGGTTTTTCTCGTGGTGTGTCCGTGTGCGGTGTATTATAGATATATACTCACTGCTCGGGGAGGAGTATGCTATGCTATAGTTCTACTAAGCGCGCGCGCCAGTAACGTGCTGCTCGCTGCTAGTTCGGGGTGTCGGTGTGTGCTGTGTGTGCGCGCGGCGACGACTTGCAAAGTGTTTAGGCACGAGAAAGCAACGCTCGAAGGAATGGGGCCGTGGCTGCCCGCAAGGACGCTCCCGAGGGTAGCATAACCTTCCAGCCGCGGAGTTGAGTTTGTCGGCAAGTTGTCGCAGCTAAGAAGTAAGCACGAGCGAGAGAGCGAGAGCGCAGCCAGGCAGCAATGGACGCGGCCATGTTTCCTCGCAGCAGAAATCATTGCTAGCGGCGGCTCTCCCTCCCTGACAGACGAGAGAGCAAAGTGCAGGAACGGCAGTTCTGCCGGAGGAACGACAAACATACCGCTCTGAAGAGATAACGAAGCCGTCAGGATGCCCAAATGCGACGCGAAGACCAAGTACCTCCCGGCCACCTTCGCCTGGGCACTTTTACTTAGCACCACCACCTGCTTCTTTTACTTCCCGTGAGTAGTAACCCTCACTTTATTTTCACCCGAAGCTTTAAAGCTCGCCTATTTTTACCGTCTACCTCGATTACTTATTCGCTGAGACACGCTTTGCAAGGCAAAATTTACGTGAATTAGATGCCATTGGTTTGCATGATTTTTCAATTCGGTCACAGTGGGAATTTTAAATTTAGAAGTGAGATTCTCAAGTAGCCGAGTGTTCAAATGTTTAAAGAATATGTGAGAGAGTGGATGTGTGTGAAAGGAAATTGGTTTTGATTACTGGAAGTCTTGGTCATGATGCTAGTATTGTGGAGGTGGGTGAGTCAGTAACTGGGATGTTATTTTCAAGTATACCTTTAATAATTCTGATAAAAGAAAGTGGCCTGCACTGGATGGCTGGATAGGCTTTGTATTCTATTTAGATATGAACCGTTGACCCTGAGTATCAGCTGCGAAAGCTTTTTTGCTATATTGACAAAATATTTGTCAATCTATTTCTAATACCGTTCTAGATTGGTATGTGCTATTATTGATTATCGTGTATTGATTGGTTTAGCCTATATTATTTGCTAATTTATATGTGAAATGCTTATGAGTCTAATGTTTTAATTGCAGTTGTCAATATTATGTTTCTCGATATCCATGGGTGCCTGCACTTCAAGGGGTTATCACGTTTTTTGTGCTGGCAAATTTCACTTTAGCCACTTTTATGGATCCAGGAGTCATACCAAAAGGTAAACCTCTTGAAAGGAAATTGTTAAGTAAATTCTTGAAAATTAACTTATATTTGTTTTTCAATAGCTCCACCAGATGAAGACAGAGATGATGATTACAGAGCACCATTGTACAAAAATGTTGAAATTAATGGCATCACAGTACGCATGAAGTGGTGTGTTACATGCAAATTTTATCGACCACCAAGATGTTCCCATTGCAGTGTTTGCAATCATTGTATAGAGGTTTGTTATTAGCTGTTTCCATGTAAAAGTAGAATAAAACCTATGCTATTTTTACTGTCAATATTATCATTTCAGACTTTTGACCATCACTGTCCATGGGTAAACAATTGTATTGGTAGAAGAAATTACCGTTTCTTTTTCTTTTTTCTTCTATCACTGAGCATGCACATGCTCAGTATATTTGGCTTGTGCCTGTACTTTGTTTTGGAGCATAAACAAAAACTTGGCGAGGTGCCAACTATTGTATCGTATCCTTTCTTAGTAATACCATTAATTAAGTAATCTACTTTACAGGGCTAACAAAATTCTTGTATAAAGTTGTTTGAAGAGCTTATGTTTTGTACTGCAAATAATAACGATTCCTTAACGCTTTCATCAGTATGGTACTCATGGGAATAGTGGCGATTCTTTTCATTCCAATTTTTGGATTAACAGGTTTTCATATAGTGTTGGTCTCGCGGGGTCGCACGACGAACGAGCAAGTAACTGGAAAGTTCAATGGCGGCTATAATCCTTTCTCGAGAGGTTGCATACATAATTGTTGTTATACACAATTCGGACCACAATATCCGAGGTGGATATTTGATATTCCAATCACGGATACTCATTTCATTTCATTCAAATGTCGCTCAATGGATTGCAAAACTAATTCTTTTACAGCTTAATCAAGCCTGAAAAGTATTCAGGAAAACGACGCGGAGCATGCACGTCTGAAATCTCAACGATAGACAGCGAGAACCAGGTAAAAACCTACATGGATAGCAGCAATGGTGTTAGAAATGCCAGTTCAAATGCTTATAATAAGGTAAGAGCTAGTCGCAATCGGAGCTTTCGTACATACGTAAATGGAAAATATTGTCCCCTTAAATCCTCGCGCAATGCTTCGTAACGCTTCTATTCTGCGCACACGTATATCAGTAGAGGAGCTTCTTTAGTAAAGAATGTGTACTGATTGCTGATCGATTATTGTTGTTTCTTAAAAGTACAGATTGATGCGACTAAGCCGTCGAGCATGCAAATTTAACGACATCTGCGCTTTTAAGTTTTTTATAACCGAAAAACCCGACGATGCTAATGATACGAAGGTAAAAAGATACACTCCTAAATCCTTGACCCACTCACAACAAACGGTAAATTAACCAATCAAGTTCGTTATTGTCAGAATATCGATGACTAGAGTTAGTTTAAATGAGCGATGATGTAGTTGATGGGTGTGTTATGTGATTTTAGCTATCGCCAGGCAGAGACGGCTCCGACACAGACATGGAGCCAACAGCTTCGCAATCAGCCGACTGCGAGCCGACTCCGCCGTTGCAAAGACACGGCTCGAAAAACAATTTCTACCTTCCACCTGTGGAGAACAACGAGTCTCCGAGGCATCCAACCCAGCATCGCCACCCCATACATTATCCTCGTGGCAGTCCACATCCTAAGCCAAGGTATATTTCGCAATCTATTTTATCCCTGCCTAACGATGTTACGTTTTCTCCTCTATTCCCTTACAGAGGTATAAACGGATCAAGAAGTCATACTCCGGATCCACTCGGAGATTCGAGTAATTCGCCGGCCACGCGTCAAGGCGGCGCAAGTCCGACGATGTCGCAGCGGATCAAGGCTATAGGTGTACCTACGCCACTTGCCATTTCCAGTCCCATCCGCAGGTACGTGCCCTTTTGACGATTCTATCGCGAATTATTGACCCCTTAAGTATCTATATACACGGTTATGTCTCAATGTCCCTCCTCGAGCGCGCACAGTCTTATTTACTTTTTTAATTTATATATTTGTTGTACTACTACTACTACTACTACTACATTTTTCTTGTAATTTGTTTTGGTTAATTTCTTGATCAATGTAAGCACCGTCTGAAATCTTCTTTATATTTCCTATTATTTTACTTTGACTCTAGAGCCACGACTTTGTATAAATATGTATGAATATATATCTTTTGCATCTGTATATAAACATGAATGATAATATATATATACGTCTATCCGATCTATTTGACGTTAAGAGAACCTCTATGGAAGCCCGTGCCCCTATTCTCGTATCTATTGCCCGTATCTTTTTATATTTTTTTTTATTACTTATATTATTATTACATTTAACATTCTTCCTATAACCAGACTTTGCATAAAACACCTATGCTAACGCTGTCACTTCTGTATCTGTCTCTGTCTCTCTATACCCTTGTATATTTATTATGTTATCATATAAACGCAAGCTATTAATCGGGAATAAAGCTATCCCGTCGATTCTATAAACTGCCGAAATGATTTCACTAATAATGTTTGAGGAAACTAAAACAATCAAAACAACAAATAAATTGGAAAATCAAATAATTTCCCTTTTTTCTTTTAGTTGAGATCGAACGAGCTTGTCTAACATCGTGAGTAACAGACAAGTTAATTCTCTCACGTTTATTCCTGTTACATTAATATATAACTTTGTGATCTTTCTTGCTCTCAATCTACTTCTTTCTTTATCTCTCGCGCAATCAAGTCACTGCATTTTTCACTGCGATCTTTTTCGCCTCTCACCCACACACCCATCCACCGACACATACTTACACATGCACACACACATACACACACGTGCGCGCGCTGTACATTCGAAATTTCGACAAAAATAGTGATCGACGCGCTCGCGCATTCCTCGAGCTTGTCCCCTCGCCGCCCGCTGGAACACACAAGAAGTAATAAAATACTGTCAAAAATTCTATTTTTATGATGGCTCGTATGGATTACCTTACGCAATACAAGTTCAATCGTTGTAATCAGCGCGCCGTTACGTAAAAGCACGCACTCGTTACAAAGGGCGTCGCGAGAGAAAAAGCTCGAGACGTGCGCGTGCGTGCATTTAGGGTAAAGCAAATTTAGCGCGTTTGCACGTGAAAATGAGAAAAACATCATAAATGAAAAACAAAAAGATAAATAATGAAAAAAAAACAACGATCGTTGACGATTTGGAGATTATGTGGTTGTGTATAGATGAGTTTGTGTTGCCGCTGCAGGGGGTGGTAACTGCAAGGAGCTGCTTTCGGCCAGTCACATGTTGCGACCTACTGCAGGTAAAACACGAACGCCACTCAAGGACGAATCAATTTTTTTTCTCTTTTTCTTTTTTTCACTTATCTCATTTTATTGTTGTAGTTTGTTTGTTAAAAGCTTCTCTTTCTAGATCTTCTATATTTTTGTTGTCTGTATATCGCATTTCCCACACGTTGTGTCTCTTGCTCGCCGAGTAATATGTGTATTACCTGTGCGTATTGTATAAGTTGTTTGTCACTGTATATGCGCTAGTTGCGTAATCATCCATTTATACAACAATTGTCACACACACATGCATCATCGTCTTTCTCATCGATCATCATCTTTGTCTCTATCTTTCACTTTGTACATCGGCGGCCTTGCAGTCACTGTATGGCTTACTTTTTTTTCATCATGTACTGTTGTGTAAATTGCTGTTTATGTATGTGTGTGTGTGTATACACACACACACACACCTAGTTGCGCTAGAAATGAGACATGGCTGAGCTATGAGATTATTCCAATAGTTTGATCAGTGTACAATCCCTCTATTCTTCCTTTGCACGTTCGCTCTCGTTATGGTAATGAAAAAGCTTTCGGTAAATTGGTGTGCGATATCTATATTAATTAAATAAGTGAGAGAGATCGGCACTTGGTTCGCGTCGTCGAATGCCGAAGTCAGCGAAAATAGTGGCGAAGGGCTGGTTATGTATGCGAATGGTAATGAAAGAGAAATCAATAACGATACCAAGCCCGTTGATAATTAGTGACAGTAGGCTTTTGCTCGACGACGAGTACCGCACTGCTGAGGCTCATTATCGGACAACTGAGTAGAAAACGGAGTGAGAGAAAGAGAGAGAGAGAGAGAAACTCACGGTCGTTGCGCGAATTTTCCGCGAGGTCTCACGATGTCTCGCGCTATTCTCTCTCTCTCTCTCTCTCTCTCTCTCTCTCTCTCTCTCTCTCTCTCTCTCTCTCTCTCTCTCTCTCTCTCTCTCTCTTTCACCGCTGCAGACCTCGTTGCTCGCTGCCTCATTGTTTTTAAATGTTGTCGGCGAGTGGGCGTGACCGGTAATTGCAGCGAGCAGTGCTGGGATTTTAGCATTGACGTCAGGCCGTCACCACACGCGTCAACTTTAAACGTGAGCGACACGCGTGCATGTATCATTAACGACGCCCGCGGCTATGACGATCAGCTGTACCACCGGCACGCGCCTGTACGCGACCGTACGACAACCCCTCCCACGAATACAAATCCTTCTTACGTTTATCCCGACCTTTAAACATCATCATGCGGTCGACCTAGAAAAACGAGCAAGGAAAAGCGTTTAACGAGTGTGCGCGCGTTGCGCTCTGCTTGCAGGTCGAACCCGAGCACTCCGACGCAGACACGTCGCCCGGACTTTATTGGTGTGTCCGATCTTCAATCGCAACAGCAGCAGCAGCAGCAGCAACAGCAACAGCAGCAACAGCAACAGCAGCAGCCGCAGCCACAGCAGCAGCAACAGCAACAACAAAAGTACTACGATGCTCAGCAGCAGCAGCAAAATCGAGGCTACAGTCCGCAGCGGCGTTTCCTGTCCGAGAGCGAGCTCGTGCGCCAGGCCAATGAACACCCTTACGCCAGAACGAACAACACCGTCGACAATATCCGAGAGCTGGCTGGCTCACCGCAGAGGGGCATCTACACGTGGAAGGACAACTCGCCCAGTAATGTCTATCCGCCTAGTGTCCCACATCCGGCCATTCATCAGCATCAGGTGACACCTCCTTTCGTTGTATTTGCCGCTCGGCGCTCTTTTCGTCGTTGATTTCCGCTTCGGTATCGGCACACTGCTTGGCAAACTCGAAAAGCAGTCACGATAACGAAGGCGTGGTGGCGCCTAACGAGGCGCAGTAATTACATTTTTTGTCTTTAACGAGGTGACGTTGCATTTTTCGAGCTTTCGGCTTTATGTCTGGCGCGTGGTAATATGCAGAACGCACTTGAACTTCCAGATGGATTATTGAGTACGAGAAATTCTTTTATATAGCCGATGGGCCTTGATCACGCGAGTTATTTATAATGTTGTTGACCAGCCGATAAATGTCAAAGTTTATCGAGGTTGTTCTACAGGTAATTAGACGACGAGATTTCGTCGTTGATATGTCTCCGTCGCGTTTTGACGAGCAGCCAATTCATTACTCGTCGATTTTACACTGCTCGTTAAGAATCGCAGAGGCGGCGCCACGTTGCGTGCCGTACGTGTATTATAAAGTTCGCCGCGCTTTATTTACGTTGACGGTCTTGTCTGCTCGGTCCGGCGATCTATACACCTATCGTAAAACGCATAGCTCGACTCCTCGAGTCGAATTAGCCAGCAAACGAGCGCGCCATTTTCCGATAAGTCCGTTGTCGCAGAAAAGGTATATTCGTTTGATAAAATAAAATTATACATCGGGGAAACAAATCCAATGGACGTACGCGATTGCAGTCAATGTTGCGACGAGGTATCGGAGGTATCGGATGTCATGTTGCGTCGCAAGGCTGCTCGAGGCTCGCAACCTCGTGCGCACGCTTCTGTTGACTCTATTGTTCCGAAAGGCCGTCGCCGTCGCAGCCTGATGGAAATAGAACATCTATACCGCTGAGGCTACAAGGATGCGTTGATTAATGTAATGCGCTTATACGTCCTTGGGCGGCAAGGCCGAACGGCATTGTGCCAAATTAGCTGGAAGCTTTTGCGCACGAGCACCGACAGGGCTCCTCGCAAGCGTTGCGACCACATCAATGCCGCAAAGCTTCGGTTATTAATGCAATTTTACCGCTTCGCAGGCTGGCCCCGGAGCACAACGTCCGCCTCTGCCGTACGACTACTACCGCTCGAACCCAACGTCGCCGACACAGCAGCCTTACACGGCGGCGCCGCGCGCCGCCTACCACCCGGTCCTCCGCGGCGGAGTGCCGGTGTTCCCGCCGCACGCTTCGCCGCAAGTCAAGCGCAAGGCAAGCATGGTCACACCGAGCACACCCACGTCTGTGGCGGCTGCGGCGGCGGCGGCGGCGGCGGTGAACAGCGCCGTGCAGGCGGGCGAGAACAGGCGGCGGCCGATGTCCTTCGTGCGCGCTCTCGAGATGACCGACTCCCTCGAGATGGTCGCCCCGCAGGCGACCGCGGTGAACGCTCAAGGCCAACAGCTGGCGGCGCAAAGCGAGGCCAGCAACGCTACCCCGACGCCCGACCGCGCCAGCGTCTACGACATGAACTACGAGATATCCGTATAGCGCAGCTGTTACGTCTCCCCGCCGACATGCGGCTGGAGGCAGATTAGCCGGAACTCGCCCAGCCTCTTCAACCCCAAGGACGGCGTCAAGGCCTGCGCTAAGAAGACCGCCGCTAAGGCCCACAACTGCCAGGTCTCCGTCTGAGCATGCACACGCACACGCGCGCACGCACACATACACACATACACACGCGTAGAATACTACGGATCGCGTTTTCTTCCGTTTCGGTTTTCTGGTGTATGTGTGTGTACAGCGTTCGCTCATGATTGTGCTGCTTCGTCGTCGTGCACCAAATCGTTTCCATTGTACATACACACCTGTCGTCGAGTTTAGTAGTTCGCTGCTGTCGCTGCTGGGTGCGACGATCAAAAGAGAGACTTTATTTAAAGCACCGATGATGTGCAACAGAGACAAGGACATTTCAATAGCATGCGTGTGGTAGCTGGTGATTAGAGACTGAAGTACATTTTTTGATAAAACACAACAGATACAGTTATTATACACGCGCATGCGCGAGACAAAAACGTGGGTGCGCCACACAGATACATACATACTCTCCGTACCAATGACAGGCATTAACTGTTGTGCCCTCCCGATTTTGTTTTTATATAGCGGATTGACGTAAATGTTAAGGTCAGTTTAGATTTTTATACGGTGTTGTTACTGAAACCTCGTTTTTCTAATTACTCGCTCCCATCAATCTCCTTTATTTCTTTTGTCTCTCATTTTTTTAACTGTTCAAGAATGAACGGACGGGCAACGTAAAAGATAAAAATTTATGTATAGATTGAAGCGTTTGCAGTATACAACTTATAACATGCATCACATCAGATAAAAAGTGATCAAGCCTAACGTTAAGCGCGTAATGTTAATTCAAGAGAAAAAGTCTTCTAGAAGTTTTCGATATTCGCACGATTTTTCTCTCTAATTATTTATTTATTATTTTAGATGTTTTCTAAGAACCAAAAAAAAAGTGATATACTTATTACTTTTACCTCTACTAACGATGGGTTTTCTTTTACAACACGTTTACTGATCTAGATCAGTCGGGATACAAATGTGTACGGATTTATGAGAAAATCAACAAATCTAAATTTTTAGAAGAGGACAAATGGTAGTAGTTATCATTATTGTTATAAATTGTATAATGTATACTGTTTATATCCACTTGGATAATACGATCGACGGAGATTTATGATTGATTCATTTGGATTTTGTCATCGTTTTTCTACGTAATCATCCAAAACAAATTGCATGTATGCGTGAAAAAAATAATACAAAGAAAATGAAAAAAATGTCTGATGTCCATTAACAAAGTTACTTAATCGAGATAAGTCCTCATGAAGCTAGATAAACGAAATAAACGAAAAATGTATATAAAAATCATATTTGTGGATTGTGTAGTAAATTTTTAATATTCAGTAATCTATTTAATGAAAAAAAGTACTATTTATACGTAAAAAAGCGTGGCGAGTCAATGAATTTTCTCGCGTGGTTTTGCCTGTTTTGGTCATGTGTATAATGGTTGTTGATTTGATTGGTGTGTCCTTCAAAAATTATCATGATAATCTTCACGAATGTGCACGTGTGTGCGTGAATGCATGGATGTCAGGCAAAAGAGGAAGACTTTAGCCATACGAAAGTACACAATTATATGACTGCCTTGTAAGTTTTGCTCGACTGGCAGCCTGTTATGAAACATTACAATTTTCTGTTGAAAGGAGAATAAGGAATTTGTAATATAAACATTATACATATTATCTATAAATTGCATACTCTAAAACTATCTATACGCGGATATTAAGATCGCAATCATGAATTTCCAGTTTTTTATGTGTAAAATAATGAAAAACAACTACTTTCACGAACAATCGAAGCTTCCGAGATTCCGTAGGTTCTACTGAAAGGAAAAGACCAAATCATTATCATGATAGCACTTGTTTAAATTATACATAGTGTACCGTGCCAAACAAATTACACAAGGTCGTTTACAATTTTACATGTTTACATGATAAATCCATATTTTCTCCATCAGTGTACTGAGTCTTACAAAATTGATATTTGAAAGCCTGAGACAAAGTCTCAGTAATAAAGATCGCGAAAGAAAAGTAATAAAAGAAGTAATTAATGGCAACATAAACAAGTTGTACAAGATGCGACGAACGTTTTAGTGTTTGTGATTGGTGTACTTGTACATAATGTTCGTTATTGCTAAACTTTCAATGTAAATACGTATATATTTCGGTACTTTGCGTATCGCCACTATTCTATGAGAAAAATAAAAACGACGTGGAATTACGTTCGATTTTCTTTGTTTGATCATTTACAGTATATTTAAAAAAGTGCTTCGATATATTGTACAAAAGATAATATAATTTTTTGTATGATTATATATTCTATGGTAGCTACGCCAGAAATTTAACTACATGATTACGCAATTATTGTTTATTTTTTTTAATTGCGAGTGACGAAGTTTCACATTTTTGGTTTCGTGTGATTTTTTTTACTAAAGAAAAAACACAATGTATAGTAAGAAATGCCGTGTTTTATTTAATGAACATATTCTTAAATATGATAATAAATTTGTTTTTTAAAATTTATCATTTCATTGCTTATTTGCGTTTCCCTCATTGCATTTTGTTATTTTGAAATAAGAAGTTTTGTAAATAATTTGAAATATCTTTATAAATATCATCATTATGCTGAATGAATATAAATAAATGCTTTGTAACTACCACCATCATGCTAAAACAAAATTTTTTTAACATATATTCATAATCAGATTAACAAATCATGTTCCACATTGAAAAACCATGAATGCTTAAAAAGTGTACTATAGAAAATGGAAAAAATATGAAAATAAGTAAGAGCTGTAGTATTGAACAGATTACTAGATATCTTTTGATAACAGTCCAAATAACATTACAAGGATCGACGCTAACTGGGGACCTCTTATCCATAATGAAACGTCTGCCATTATTTTTGATAACCTGGGATATTTTGTCCGACGGGGGATGCCACGTAGTACATTGCGATTACATCAAACTGATAAACATTTGTATGACGTAGCCAATCTTGTTGAAAAGTAGAAATGAACACTCGAAAAATAATTCTTGGAGTACTTATTTCTCAATGCTGTATTTTACAGCGCACTATTCATATCTAGTGCTTTCAAACCACCTTGCGGTATAATCTAAAATCGCGCGTGATAATTCTTTTTCATGTTATTAATTTGCAAGCTCGTGTACACGCCCTATCATAGATTGATTAATAACCGAAGTATTCAGAAGTAATTTTCAAATGTACGATGCAATCAGTTACATCCATCTGAAATTTATATCGTATTGTGAAAGGCCACAAATTGTCTGGCTTGTACGCGTCACTATATTTACAAGAATATCGGCGTACAGACAAGCCTGATGATAGGTATCTGCGACTTTATACGAACATTATTTACTACGTGAAATATTATCTGAATCGATGCAAAAGAAATTCTTATTTGATTTCAAAAAGTCAATCAATTTTTTGCATTTTGTAGGTGTGATTGATTAGGGTAAGACTAGTGCTTCACCAACTCAATCGTATCCCTCGCAATACATCATAGTTTCCTCGATGGCAAAATTATATTCGTAGAGAGCTATTGGATATAAACCACTTGCCGTCGAGTTTGATACTTCTATCAAATATAAACAATATGTTGTTTAAATGTTTCAAATCTCAAAAAAAAAGCATACTTCACAAAATAAATATAGATAATTTTCCCGTTTATTCTTAATTTTACCTTGAAGGTTTTCAAAAATTTTCATTGGGAAATAGTTATCCTTCCGCGTCATACTATATTGCTTGCACTAAGAATGAATCGTAATTTTCTCCTCGGTCAAAAGCGAACTGCGAGTCCGAATGCTTACGTTATCGCGGCGAAAACTGAAGCATACTTGAACGACGCAGGTGTCAACGTTTAGCTTTCGTAAGCGTCGTCGATGTACGAACGTTACGTATTTTTTTCACGTAGCAGCTAGTTCATTTGCGAAAGGTTGATTTATCCGAAGGATTCGTCGCAGAACCACCAGCTATATCCTCTTTTTCGCCGACTTCGACAAAGAGGAGGCTCTATATTCGTCCTAGGATTTTTTTATATACATAGCTTAAACAGCAGTTCAATTGATTTTAACGGGGGTCAGCTCGCTGGGAAGCTTATATTCTTCGAGTGGTCATTGTCGATGTGACCGAGCCAATATTTCCTATTTTATCGTAAAAAAGCGTCTAAATGACGGCTGAAAGTAATTATATACGACATTTCTGCTAGTACTTAAAAAAAATGTATTTTGTGAAGTTGGTTTTTTTTAATTCGGCACATATATGCCGATACCACCGTAGAGATAATTAATATATTCGATTTTACATTTTTCGATGACTGGTATAAATTTGAATTCACGAAGAAACAAAACGGTTTGGAGAAAAGTATTTTAGAAATGAGTCAGTCCACGCTGGGTAAACGTGTTGTACACAATAGCCCGGAATATTTTTACGTTTGCGGCGATGGTGTATTTGCCGATTTGATACGAGCACACTAACGTACGAAATAGCGTGTATCCCAGTAGCGAGTTGCTCGGGAAGAGGGCAGTATAAGTAAATACGCGATTGGATGGATGTTTTGTAAGAGTGCTACGGGTCAGTTTCGAGATGTCCGTGCTGTTGTACGTGTCTGGACTATTCCTGTATACTAGTTTATGAATCTTCGATAATGGTGATCCGCGGAAAAGGCGTGGTAAGCATTGGTGTCGAACGGTGACTTTTGGCGCGAATCCCATTTGCTCGTTGCGTCGCTCGGCTCGCATCGCATCGCGAACATTCTCAAGAAGGATCTTCACCTCGGATCGGGTGAATCGGAGCGACAACGCGACTCGTCCGCGCACGCATAGCCGTAACACGTTGTTGAAAGACAGTGCGAGAGAGAGAGAGAGAGAGAGAGAGAGAGAGAGAGAGAGAGAGAGAGAGAGAGAGAGGTAAACACGGCGCGTCGGGCGAGTGTACGGCGTTGCGCGCTGCCCACCACATCGACAGGGGCGATCGAGCAACGGGGTCCGCGGTCGTTGTCGGCAAGCTTCTCACGGGAGGGTCGCTGGTGTTGGTTGCAGCTGACGACGCAAGGTGGCTTTCTGAATTTCGACAGAGAGCTGATATTGGCAATGAAGAGCGAGGTCAACAACAAGCACCTGAGAAAATTGCTGGACGCGGTGATAGGGGGGAGGTCGCTGTTCGCCCGCATGTCCGACAGCTCCGGGCGGACCCTGCTGCACATAGCCGTTTTGAACGACAACATGGGGATGGTGGAGTGGCTGCTGGACCGGGGCTCGGACGTGAACCATCAGGACGGCCTGGGCAACTACCCGCTGCTGACGACGCTGCTGACGAGCAACCTGAAGGACAACAAGGCGAGCTGGATGATCGACCTACTGTGCGAGCCGCGATATCAGGCGAGCGTGCTGCTAAAGAACCGCCTGGGGCAGGGCGCGCTGGAGCAGGCGGCCAACCCCGCGTTCTACGACGAGATCACGCTCGTGATGCCCATCTTCCACCGGCTGCTGGACGAGTGCCGCCAGAACCCGGTCGCGATCGCGCGCGCGCTGCACGAGGTCGACTGCCCGGTGGCGCGCGCCGTGCAGTTCTGCTCCGCGGAGACGATCGGCCGGCTACTCGATCTCTACGGCGCGCGGCTGCCCCGCGAGCGCGACCTCGACGACAAGAGCACGGCGCTGCACACGGCGGTGCGGGTCAGGAACGCCCCGGTCGCGGTCCTGCTGGCCAGGCGCCTGCCGCACTACCGCGCGGCGAGGGACTCGCGCGGCCGCATGCCGATCTACTACTACCTGGAGGTGATGCGCCGGCCGACCTACAGCTCGGCGCCGCGCGAGCACTGGGAGCCCCGGCTCGTGGCCGAGCTCGCGCCGCCGGGGCCACAGCTCGTGTCCCGCGACCACGACGGCCGCATGCAGATCGGCGCGATCCTCGCGCACGGCAGCGCGCGCGAGGTGGGCGCGCTGCTCGACCGGCTCGCGGACCTGGCCGCCGCGGACGGCTTCGGCCGCACCGTGACGCACCTGCTGGCCTGCAACACCGAGCGGCTGTCGCGCCTGCTGCGCGGACGCAGCTTCGACGTGGGCGCCCTCGACCTGGGCGACGCGACGCCGCTGCACCGCGGCGTGCTCACCGGCAACCCCGACCTCGTCGAGCTCTTCCTCGAGCGCCACGCCCGCGAGGGGGTGGCGCCCGACGGCTCCGCGCTGCTCGCCGCGCTGCCGCTGCGGCTGCACTTCCACGAGTACTCGGCCGACGAGCGCCGCCAGCGGCTGGCCGTGCTGCGCCTGCTGCTGCTGCACGGCGTCGACCCGCAGACCACCAACGGCCTGGGCGAGCCCGCGCTCGGCCTGGCCGCCGACGAGGACATGCTCGAGGTCGCCTGGCCCCTCCTCGCCCAGCTGGCCGTCCAGCGGCTCCAAGGCGTAGCGATCGCCGAGGCGGTCGCGGCCACCCTCCGCGCCCACGCCCACCTGCGGCTCCTCTTCGACGAGTGCGTGCAGGACGTGAGCGCGCTGCGCGCGGACTTGATCGGCCGGAGCCGGACCACCAAGTACGAGTGGCTGGTCGAGTCCGACGCGTGCATCCTCGGCAACTGCGCGGCCAACGAAGAGGCCGCGTCCGCGCTCGAGGCCGCGCTCTACTGCAGCCCATCGACGGACCACTACTACGACTATCTCATCGTCAAGAGAATCAGAAAACTGCTCCCCGAGGTCGTCGCGCTCCAGCGATCCCAGTAGGCTCTCTTTTCTTACTCGCGCGCTCGATCTACCTGTGTATTGCATATATGTATATGTTGTATACATTTTACAACTTTTATCGCTAATGATTATGTGCTCGTCTCCGTACGCACAGATACTTTATTTTAATAAACGCTTTTCCCAATTAAATTGGTCTTCTCTCTGTGCGATACCTTTGTCTCACCGCCCGCAAACGGACGTGCCGGTTGAAAGTGGCGCGCAATTGTCCTGCAGTTGTATGCACCGTGCGGTTGGCAATCGTGGAAAGGCGACAGAGGGCGCTCCGAGCGCACGGTACACGCCGCTTTCGTCGCCTCGCTCCGGCCGCCATATTTTCGTACACACGGCATCTCGACGCGCACGCAAATAGCGCTAGAGGTACCGTTTGTGTCGACGAACGACGAGTTGCCGGATTCCCGTCCAGGCGTGAAAACGCCCGACGATCTTCAGCGGCCGATCATGTAAGAGCGATTTTGTATTGTCGATTCTCTCTGAGCGCTCGTCGGGAAACAACTGTCGCTAATCACTAATCACCACGCCTTAACCAAACTTTCAGGGCACGGAGCCGGAAGGACAGCACCGCTAGCAAGAGCGAGTCCGAAATCAGCGATAAGGACAAGCGCGCTCGGGACAGAAAAAAGAGATCGGCTTCCTCGTCAAGCAGTGGAAGCAGGTACCTATACACTTTACATCCTTTCAGTTTCAATTGTGTTGCAAATGCTGACAGCTATTGTGCATGAAATGAAACGGACGCTCGGGAATTATCACTACTGCCAACCAAACATGCTCAGTCCAATTCATTTTTCATTGGATTTTTCATACATGTTACAGTGCTGGAGAATTTTCATAAGCCCTAACACCAACTGATTTTATTTTTTGAGAAACACTGATTATTATGATTTTTGAAACATGTTCAAAGGTGTGAGTACAGGCAATTGAGTAAACAAACATGTTTGTCTTTATAGCTCCTCTGACAGCAGCTCTGGCTCATCAAGCTCGAGCACTGGAAGTAGCTCGAGGTCTAGTTCCTCTTCCAGTTCATCATCCAGTAGTTCTGGAAGTTCTTCTGCAAGTTCTCGTGACAGGGGACGCAAGCGAAGCAGGAGCAAAAGTGCCGATGTAAGAAGACATGTGTCCAAGGAGAGAGAAAGGGAAAGGGATAAGGAAAGGGACAAGGAGAGAGAAAGAGAACGTGAGCGTGAGAGGGAACGCGAGAGAGAACGAGAAAGAGAGCGTGATAGGGAAAGAGATCGAGAAAGGGATAGAGACCGTGAAAGAGATAGGGAAAAGGAGCGTGAGAGGGATAGAGAAAGGGACAGAGAACGTGAACGAGAGAAAAAGAAACCAAATCCTGTTGTAGAGAAGCCAAAACCTAAACATAGATCAAGGTATGTATCCTTGGTATTTGTTCTTCTACAATATCATTGTTCAATGCATCTGAAAACTAGTCAACGAAGCGAGACATTTAAAAGTATCATTTTATTTTGTGTATAGGACTCCTTCTCCACGCAGAAAACCTCGTAGAGAAAGGTCACCACCTCCAAGGCCAACAAAAATTCATATTGGTCATTTGACACGCAATGTTACGAAAGATCACATTACAGAAATTTTCTCTACTTATGGAAATATCAAAATGGTTGATTTTCCTATTGACAAAATACATCCCACACATGGACGAGGCTTTGCATACGTTGAATTTGAAACTCCTGATGAGGCAGAGAATGCTATGAAACACATGGATGGAGGTAATTAAATCTTTGATTATTTCTTAGACTTGATAAAAGTCATTAAATGTTTATGGCAAATTAATTTATGGTGTTCAAGCGGGACATTGCTAATTTAAACGTTAAATATATTATATAAGTAGAAATAAGTTCTCTGACAAATTTGAAAGATTAAATTTCCATAATGTTATCATCAAAAGCAGCTCAGTATTCATAAATGAAATTTTAACCTGATACTGATAATAATAATAATTAGAAGTCGTTAAAGAATAATGATTAGGAGTCATTAAAGAAAGTTGTGTTTTTTTCTTCATTCATACAAAACACTTCATGTCATATGCAGGACAAATTGATGGTCAGGAGATCACAGCAGCTCCAGTGCTTATTCAAAAGTCTCGACCTGCACCAATCCGTCGGAACTCTCCAATGATGAACCGTCGTGGACCACCACCAACTAGGTGGGGAGCTGGTGCAGGCGGTGGCGGTGGTGGTGGTGGTGGTGGTGGTGGTGGTGGTGGTGGTGGTGGTGGTGGTGGAGGAGGTGGCGGTGGCGGTGGACGCGGAAACTCACCACCGCGCTATAGACGTCGTTCACCACCAATGAACCGTCGTGGCCGAAGTCCAGCGCGACCACCACCAAGACGCCGTATGAGATCTCGTTCGCGTTCACCTGTAAATAACAGGCGAGACCGGCACAGGCGCTACACGAGGTCCAGTTCAAGTAGTTCGCGGTAATCGCATGTGGCATGATAGTGCCCGATGATACCGATTACCTCCTGCACACAAACACACACAGCAATGTATTTTTATGAATAAACCATTGGTTTTCTTAGTGTGTCAGAGTGTGTGCACGCGATCTATTGTGTGGACGCTTTCGTTAGTTTGACGTAGCTCTTTGAATTTCTACGTTCAGGTGCTTTTAGTTTAATAAAAGTGTCTAGCAGCAAATTCATTAGAGTATTATTATGACTTATTGCAAATCTAGATTCAATTTAATGTCAATTTCTGATTGTTTGCATAAATATTGATTACATAAGCAATCAAGAATTTGTCCAAGTCATTCTACTCTCAAATGTAATTGGTCAGACTCTTACTTCTTTAAAAGTATTAATTACACGTATTATAAGTTTTTGATTAGATTTGCAATTCATTGCACAACAGTTAACTTTTTATTACTTATGAAGTATCTGTTTTTATTATATGCTGCTAGTCATTTTTTGTACTACATTGGTGAGGTAAAATCTAAAATACATGATTGAATCATGCTTGCTCCGAACTAACGAAAGCGGTCTAGGTCGGAAATAAGGTACTAAAATACAATTTAAATGAACAACAAAAAGGGTAAATTTTTCGAGGCCCTTTTAGCATACACATTACAATTTGGAAAGCTATGGCTTTATATTATAAATATATCAATTGAAATAAATAAATATGAAAGATTTTTTTCTCGTTTTTACACACAAATTTCTTGTATGTTGTTTTTATAATCGCAATAAAATTTTCTATAACTTCAATAGTGTGATTGTGAGAAGATCAGTATCAGATCTGCAAGAGTCACTGGTGTTTGTTAAAGTATGTCATGAGGGAATATGATGTCTATAGTATTTAAGAATCTAAAAAATAGTACTTTTTATCCTTAGTCGTAACTGGACAAATTTGCGTGTGTATATTTTTTGTCTTTTCAAAGATTGTGAAAAATATCTATAATGATAGATGTCAAGCAGTGCACGATATAGGTGAAAAACGTATGAAAGGTGATGTAATTTTGTTAAGATTAAATAAAAGTGGACTTTAAAAAAACGAAATAAATGTGTAAACTCAATTCATTTTTAAGAAGCTTCATTATTTACAAAAAACATAATAGTCATAGAAAACATCGGAGGAAAGGTATGATACAAAAGACATTGAGCTGCTACTTTGATAGAAACTATGATTATTCGATCCTTTTACAAAGAACCGCCAGTTTTTAGAAAAAACCTATTCACACAAAATGTTCTCTACGCATCGTCTCGGCTTATCTACAACAACAGAATCATTGCCTTGCATCGCAATTGATCTCTGCCCCTCCCTCCTATCCTTCACAATCATCAGTTTTTAGCTGCATTAATGAAAAATATCTACAGTTCCTCGAATGACGCACATTGTGTTTGGTTCGTAAATCGTTGTGAAAAAAATAATGTGAACAGCTGCATACACCGACCGCTCGCCGGTTCAAACTTTACAATTTCATTTTTATCTTAAATATCCATTATTTAGCCAATGCTCTGCGATGCAGAGAAAACTGAATTTTGCTTATGTTCAATCAATGGTGGTTAACGAATTTCTTACTTCAAATTCCTCATATATTATATAGTCGCACAAAAGCATAATTGAAAGGATCGCGGGTGGAATCTCATTGGCAAAATGCAATGATAGTATCTTGGATATTCTGCGTTTTAGAATTCATTTTGAAATATTTCACACGAAACCGAAAGTTTATCAAAATCATTGTGTCTAAAAGTTTAAAAAATAATTTCTTTACGTACAATTTCATGTTATTCATTAATTAGGAATTAGTATCCGTACACTCATTTGATTACATAGAGATATATACAGTCACATATATAGTTTAGAAGAGTAAAACCACACATGGCTATGATTGATATAATTTATTAGAGTTGTTGCGTAGATTTAAATATCTTTTCTCTAAACATAGCTTGATTTATTTACATAGTAAATGCTATCTCAAACTATTTTCTAAAAGCCATCAAGATCACGATTATGCATTTTAGATATTTATAATTTGTACACAAAATACAATATTCTTCTTCAGAAGATTCATGTTTGATATAAGTTAGCTTTACAGATTATCCAAGATACTGAAAATGTTTACTTGGTATATTATTTAGCAGCTGTTGCTAGATTCTATCCGCTTCAACTTGAGCATAAGTAAGAGCATCAGTATTTCGAATTTACTAGAAATTAATTTCGCTCCAAATATATCACAGGAAGTTGCTCAAAACTGTCTTTTTCAAAATTGATTGCTCGTTTCTGACCTTTAATCACCTTTCGTACAACTAAATAATCATATTGGTTTCGACGATATTCGCTTTGGAACATAAAATTCTTCTATTACAATTTACATCAACATCGATGAAATAACAGCTACCTACAGTCGAGCCTCATCAATCTCTCACTCAGTCACACGTTTCTTTCCAGACGCATCAACGAAGACAATCGAGATTCGATAAATCTCATTTAACACTTGATAATAAATAAATAATTAAATAATTCGTCACATTTCCGTATTTTCCACGTAACACCATTCACGCACGATTTATCGTCATTTTCAGACCCGCGTCATTTCTTTCGCTCATTCACGCGATCTATTTCTCATGCAGCTAGTGACGTTTTCATCTAAATTCATTTTCCGTTCTATCAATTAAATCCTATTCACTCCTTGTTTTTTAGCTAAAGTACGCGTTTTCTCTCGATTACGAAAATGTCTTTTCTTTGTTGCACCTGTCAATGTTACATCCTACATTCTTGTTTCCTCCTATCCATCGCTTGTGTTTTTTCACCTCTAGTTGTAATTAATTAATATTACACACGATATTTATAACTTTACGCAATTAGTTATCATCGTTTACTAATAATGTTTATAATCGCTATAGACAGACAAAGTATCTTGCGCGGAGCATCATGTTGCACTTTTTTCCTTACATACTAATCTAATAATTTTTCTAAAAACCATACAATCACTCCGAGTACACTTGATTCATCACTCTTTCACGTCATACATTTAAAATATTCGAGTCTTTTTTTCTACATTTTCATTCCTTTTTTATATTCATTTGTATGTTCGCTCCTACGATTGTAGCGTTTCGGAATTGGCTTTGTTTTACGAGAGACGACTCATCAAAAGTCAAAAGCACGAACTCCTATTATTCGATCATTGATTTCGAAAGACAAGAAATATCATTCATAGTTAGATTGCCGTCATTTCGAACTTGATAAAATTTTTCTAATCAATTGAATTCGAAATCAGTGACGAAAACGTCCTAAGAATCACAAGCAGCAACGAGTCAACGATTGCCTTTAAATCGATTATTTATAACAAAATGAGTTATCAATTCGTTGATTATTGAATCAATTGCCAATTCTGTATAAAAACAAAATTAAATAGTTGTATCGAGCGAGTCGCATTCGATTGTTTAGTCTTGAACAAAAGGTAAATTAATCAACACAAAAAAAAGAAAAGTTTATTTTTAACACTAAATTTTTATTATTATTTAGCTTTTTTTTTACTTTTTACAACTGAAAGTAAAGCTAACGTATCACTTTTTTGTTATAAATAGATATAAATATTACCTATTTATTGCTTTGAGATAAATACATTTTAAACGTAAGATTATAAGGCTCGGAGGAATAAAATTTATTCAAATAAAGGAAAATTTCATGGCAAATTAGCATAAATCACAAAGAACATAAACATTATCAAATATTTGTCTTAAATATTTTAGTCAAATTGTCAAAGTTTGTCTTAAAGTTAATTGTGTGTGAAAAAGAGCTTCCATTTTAATGTCAGTCCAAAGCATTTCATTCAGTTTGTTTCGAACAGCCTTGTGATACAATAGCAATCAATAATAAAAAATTAATTAGGCATGAAATCAAAATTATCACGTAGCCATGAAGTCTGCTTTCAAAAAAAAATATATATACTTTTTCTACTACAATAAAAAACATAACATTCTTTGTCGGCTCTTTAGTTTAAAACCAAGTCAACAGACGATCATTCGTTAAAAATTAATTTGTATTCTTAACATGCTGCACCTGATAGTAAAATAAAATGCAGTATCATTGAAGTTTGGAAAAAAAATATCACTAATCTCAGATAAATAGCCATCTTTAAAAACCAACGATGCACTAAAACGAAAAAGCGACGGTACCTCGTTAGTGGATCTGGTATAATCAACAGCAACTCGTGAAGGAAAGAGAATGCAAATAACGTCGAATGCGACTGATTCGGTACAACGAGCATGGAACCAAGAGCCTCGTCCGTAACACGTAGTAGCTAATCACTTGTCGCGAGCAGCGAGACGCGACGTTTATTTTTATAAATACGTTCGCATACGTGCTAGTGGTCTATGTACAGGTGTGCGCTCGCAATCATCGCGACTGCGCAGAGTCATCCTTTTTGTGCAGGTCCACGGCGTTGTGCACCATGCTCTCAAGTTGCCTGACTTGCGGCTGTCCAGTAGCAGCACTGGGAGGCGGTGGCGGTCCACCCGGACCCGGACCCGCCCTGTGATGTATGTGGAGATTGCTCAACGGTCCAGGACTTGGGTCTTTAGCTCTCAACGAGCTGACTGCAGCGGGCGGTGGCTGTGGCACTGCGTAACCCGAGGCATAGAGTTTTGCTCGCTCCTCGTCGTAGGCAGCGGCGGCCATCAGATTATTATAGCGTATCGATGAGGCGACCAATGGGTCGAACCTATACGGATCGCGGAATGGATCCGGCGATGGCCACATCGAAGGACCCGTCGGTGGCATTTGTCCTGGAGTCGTATGCGGTGGTGGAGCAAAGTGCTGCATTGGATGCGTGAGAGGCGGTAGGCCGGCCATCGCTCGGGTCATCGAAGGCGGCGGAGGTGCTGCGTGTGCCGGATGCCGGCTCGCTAGGTAAGCGTGTGGATGCGCGTGGTACCTGCATCGAAGATTATATTTCGTTAATCAACTGACCTCCATTCGATAGCGTACGTAGTAGACGAAAAGAGAAATCAATTGGTAAAAAGTGAATAATACCAAACTTTCTTATTATAAATTATAGAAAAAAACATTTCATCAAGTACTCAGGCCGATTGTGTAAACTAATATACTTTTTCCAAAACTTAATATTATTTTGAAAGTACCAAAAAAATATTCATGGTAAACTATATAAAACTCTTTACTTTAAATTGAAATTAGAAGGTTTAGAAGTGCTACAATAAAATTAGAAAACTAACCTTATCCACTTTTCTGTATCTAACATTTTGTTTTGTTGCTCCAAAGCACGATCGTTGCGTAGAGCATCGAATTTCTCTCTGGATTTGGAAAAAATAAATATTCGTATTAAATTTCTTTCCTTGTTGATGAAGGTGATTTATATGAGTAAATTGTACTAGATATCAACCAAAGTTTACACAAGGCTATTTTCAATGATAGGACGAAGATGGTCTAAATGATTTTTCCATATTTCACCCGTACTTTCATTGATTGATATTTAAATAATAGAGCGAAACTGACCAATAGAGAATCGTAGAATCTTTGAACAACTCACCTAGGATCTGATAACGCATTAGGCGGAGGCTGTGAACCAGGTGGAGGTGCCCTCGAGAGCATAACGACGTCGTCGTCTTTACTTCTTGGCTCTTCTTTTACCCTGACCATAGGCGTAGGATCCATTGGATTGCCTCCATTTCTAAGCGGCGACCTTTCTCTGCCCACAACCATGTGTTGCCGACTTTGTTGTTGCTGTTGTTGTTGTTGTTGTTGTTGTTGTTGTTGTTGTTGTTGTTGTTGTTGTAGCTGTATCATCCTTTCTCGTTCAAGCTCGCGCCTCTCATGTTCCCTTCGTTCCTTCTCTCGACGTTCGCGCTCTCTTTCAGCTTCTTGCTGTTTTCGTTTCTCTTCCTTTTCACGTTCTCGCTCCCTTCTTATTCGTTCTCGTTCACGCTCACGTTCGCGTTCTCTCTCGCGTTCACGTTCTTTTTCACGCTCACGTTCACGTTCCCGCTCGCGTTCCCTTTCTCGCTCGCGTTCCCGTTCGCGCTCACGTTCACGCTCCTCGAGCTCTGCTCGCCTTGTGTCGATAGGTGGTGGCTCCGGCTTCAAGCCCCAGGCTGTCGACGTCGGTGGATACGCTGTCGGGGGTCGCTGTAATCTGCAAACAACGAAAATATATAACTTGACGATAACCTTTTGATTTTCCGTAAAAAGAAAACGCCTAGTTGCTGCACGTACCCTCTCCAAGGATCGTGGACTGCGCTCATTCCTGCTAGACCTGGAGGCATTTCTCTGGTTGGAGGAAAACCAGCCATAGGAGGAAAATTCGGATTTGCAGTTGCGAAAGTTGGTGGATATCTACCAAAGGGCGACATTCCTGGAGCTAGAAACAAGCGACAACGTTTATTGACCATCTGCATCAGCTAGAATTAAATATAAATAAATGGATTTTTGATACGTACCTAAATGTGAAGCAGGTGTCGATAGGAACCCAACTGTGTGTGACACTGGAGCTCCAGGAGGATGCGACGATAACGCCGTAGAGAACGGAGGAGCTAAAGGCGGTCCGGATAAACCGAGACCTGCTGGTCCGGCTGTGCCAAACAAATGAACCGGCGGCCTTAGCAGATCCGTCTTTGCGGGCATTCCAGATTTCGCTTCCGTCTTTTGCTGATGATGGTAAATCTCCCAGGCTATCCGTACGTGCATCGTATTCCACTTGCCGGGTTTCTAGAAATGATTAACCATGATTTCCCTCCAATTTGATCTTATGAAAGATTTTAAAAAGTTGTACAAACTTTGAAGTGATGCGTTACCGTTGGTGGATAGGACGACACATGAGTCGGAGGCGCGAAAGGCGTAGAAGGCGGAGGTATGCCAGGATGCAATAGGCTTGCATTGAAACTTGAGTAATTGCCGAGATTGAGATTCCCCCGAAAAAATGGGGAGTCCACTCCACCCAGCTTTGGAATGTCCTTGAATTGCTACAAAACCATTCACGTAAATTAATTTATTTAATGAGGTACGGTATCTACATTCGATCGATTGAATCTTACGATCGGCGGTGGAAACAGCGTCGATGCTGCAGGCGGCGGCAGAATCGGTGTAGTGTGCTGATGAACGTGCGTATGCTGATGCTGATGATGGTGCATTTCCGTCCTGTGGTAGGGTGGTAGAGCGAGGTTTGCAGCGACGTTCCTACTGTCTTGCGAGGCTAAAAACCGATTGTCCAGCTCACGACGCAGCATATCCGTTTGGCCGGGCACATGGCTTACGCCTATTTTTGATTCTTTATTTTACATAGTATTCGAGCTCGAAAATTAATGATATACGAGATGGACGAGTTACAATTCCTTTCATCAAAATATTTTACCGTTTGACGGAAAATGTATTTCAATGCGTGAAATAATATCTGTCCATCTTTGTTACACAACTGACTTTAATCGAACAATGACTCACTAGTTTGAAACAACGATTCCGCAGAGAATGGATTAGGATTAGACGTAGGCGGCGGAAGCGACGACAAGGAAGTATGCGGACTCGCACTGGAAACAGGTGGTGGTAAAGGCGCCGCAAAAGGTGGTATTGGTGGCGCAAACGTGTGCAGACCCAGCGGTACCGGAGGCGGCGTTGGTCGTGGCACCGACGTTGCCGTTGCTGGCGACATTGACGACGGCGCATTGCTACTATAATCGAATAAACTTGGTATTAGCCTCGAACAATATTGATTTAAGGGCTTTTGAAACTATTTCAAAGAACTTCATACCTTATCCACCCTGGAGCCTTAGAATACGCAGGTAGACTAGAATTAGCCGGGGAGGAAGTGTTCGGCACGCTAACCGGTGTTATGCTGCTCCTACTGAGACTACTCACGTTACTGCTATAAATCAAATTTCACGATTAAGATAAGAGAAATTCACCTTGCTGTCGTGTCAAATTGACAAAAAACGTACCTGTAGCTCTCACGCTCCCTAGTCGGACTGTGGCCCCTTGGCGAGTTGTTAGTGTTCCTGACGGCCAGACTGCTTACCACGATATCCCTGTGCGTGATCGAGTTGGCGGTAGTGACTGTGTTCGTTACCGATGACACTCCGCTCGTCGTTACCGCATTCAACGCTGTACTGCTCACGCTTCCCGTGTGATTGCTCGGCACCACTGGCTTGCTTAGGTTCGTGCAAGGTGATGCTCTACTGCTTCGCTGTAATTTGCAAAGGTTGAGGCTATAAGGTAAATCCAATTGAACATGAAAAGGGAGTTAATTTTTGGTCTTAATAAATGAATAATAATGTAATGAATATCGATGAGTATATCTAGAGGCGCATCTAGAGGCAAATGAAAAAGCCAATGGTTGTAAAACTATTCTTTGACTATTCTATAAATTAATCCGTGTCAAGTGTGAATATAAATCTTTTTACAAAAATTTCGCTTGAGAAAACCGGTGGTGTCTAGTGAAAAAGAAATTACAAATCCGGAACATAACTTTCCGAAAATTTGTGCTAGGTAATAAAGTAATTCGCCACGATCGTGGGTCCCATCGTTGACGAATAGACAGCCTGTGTTTAATGGAAAATGACTTGGTCTTGCGAGACTTACGATATCGGTCCTCGAGGCAGCCGAGTGCGAGGGCGATGGCACCGCGGTCGGCAGGTACGGACTGTGATTCATGGGCGCGTAAGGTGTGTAGAGCGGATAGGACGGCTGAGTTTGCGGATAAGCAGCCATCGGTAGTGACGCTGGGTAAGTGGTGGTGGCGGCGCCATTCGAGGGCGCAGCCGGCGAAACGCCGAGACTGGCTACAGCCGGCGAGGTGGTCGTGTGTTGCGACGCCGAGGTATGTACCAAAGGTATGCTCGGCGGTGGATGAAGGCCACCTGGCTGCAGCTGCTGGGGGTGAGGCGGCCCAGCTGGCAGGCCCGGAGATACGGGCCGCTGCTGTGGCGCTATTGCACGTGGATTCGCTGCTAGCGGACTAGTCATCTGTGAATCGCACACAACAACATTAGGTTAATGGATCTTCGAGCCTTTGAAAGGCTATTTTTGATCATTATGCAATAATTTCCTATATAGACTAGTCGCACTATTGATCGTTACGAGCTTTCGCAAATTGCAGCTATGCATCGACAGCAATTGACCATTAATCATTCGGCTTTTCAAGCAGTATAAACGAGTTGGCCAAGTATCAAAACGCCAGTATTATAACTTCGATCGGATGTAATTAGTTAGAATCAATGTCCCAAGCACTAGTATCCATATTCCATTCACGTCTTTATCTCGGAATATCAAAAAAGATTATATTCATTTTGCAGTAACGCCACAGCCAAGTTGTTCGTCAATCAATATTTCAAGCTGAATAACATTGTTATGCTCTCGATACTGAAAGCCAATAATCAAATTAGTTTTATTTTTCGAGATAACTCTCGAGCAATCTTGTATCGACTGATCAACATAGTTGTCACGCGTGTGCAATGATTAACGACTATTAAATACCAATCAATGAATTCCTAACGAGTAGTCAAATTAAATTAACGATCGAGCGATAAACACGCAAGTTTATTGTGGCACCTTGGCATACTTTTTTACGGAAACTCTTTTTTTTTTCAACGTATTAAAATTTCACCGCGTGTTTGTGGAATAAAAAAAAATGTTCTCGTTATGACGAGCAAAAAATAAAAAGAGAAGAAAAATCCTGGTCGCAAAACGAGTTTGTACGAAAATGCAAATTGAACGTGAAACGTGTTCCCATCTCCGCTAATCATTTCATGAATTTGTATGAGCATAAATCTTCAATATAAATGTCAATATTTTTGATCGGGCCGAGAGCCTTTGCCAATGTATAATCCGTAAAAGTGTTGAAAAATGTAGCAGTACGTAAATCAATAGTGATTTTTTTTCAACGTTATGGACGTTGTCAGCGTTTAAGTGGATTTAAAAGTGTTGTATAATTGAGTTACTGCCAGAACACGTTCTATTTTTTCTTATTTTTAATTCAACCGTGTATCACAAGTACACTCTCATACGTTAAAAATGACACATAAATACACGCGTACCCCCCCCCCCCCCACACACACACACACAGTTATCTAATTGATAGAATGGGAAAATACATAGAAAATTGACCAACGATACTCGTGCTGTAAATGACACGAGAGGATGACTAATACCAGAAGCAACTTGTTATCAAATAACACTTTTTTCCAAGCTCAAAAATCAATCCACAAAGGCCCATGCCAAAACTCAATGAGATAGCATCAAACTAACTGTACCATTCAGTAAATCGGGAAAAAATACCCGTGTTTTTTCTTTTACCATTTACAATTTTTTATAAAAAGTTATTTCAATAAATTACCTAAAAAGTTGTTGTTTTTCAAATCTGATTGCGGCAATCGATTCTACGGGAAAAAATGTGGAAAAATGTGCATAACATTTTTTGTCGGGCTTCAATTTGTCATGAAAAATGCATTTCAACGAGGAATTCCGATTTTGATTTGGATTTGGTGAAGACACTGACTGCCGGAGCTGCGATTATTTATTGCCGTTTTACACTAACAATTTGAAGTCCGACAAAAAAAATATTATATACATTTTTTCCATACTTTTTCCAGCGGAACCGATTGTCGCAATCAGATTTGAAAAACAATGACTTTTTAGGTAATTTGTTTAGATAACTTTTTATAAATAATTGCAAATGAGAAAAGAAAAAACACAGGTATATTTTGTTCGATTTGCCTATGAACGGCACGGTTAGTCTGGCGCTAACTCATCCAATATTGGCATGGGCCTTAATGAGTTAAGTTTGTCGGAAACGACTGGTGTAAAGATTCGCAGGACCAACGAACGGAGAGACTCGAAGGTATTAGTGAAAGTGCAAGCGATACTTACGGGTGGTTGGGATATGTGGGGCGGTAAGGTGGGGCTAGGGGGACTGGGCGCCGTGGGTACGGGGGCGCTCGCAGGCACAGGCGGAGGAATGGGGGCCGGGGCATCGGTGGCCGGGTTGGAGATTTGTCCGCCGGTGTCCGGTGGCGAGCCGCCCGCCCCGTTCGCCGGAGGCAACACGTGCGGTGAAGAAGATGGCAACTCGTCTGAAAAACCATCGGCCATTAGCATTGAATTCGTCTCGTTAAACAACTACAGCCTTTCCTCTCGGAACACTCACATTTACGTGCAAGGGGTGGTGGACTCGACGAGAGTATCGATTCCGCATCCGAGTTCTGAAATGGAACGTTCAGCTTGTTAATCGATCGTTTGCTATTTTACAGCTAAACTTTACTCGTCTGTCTGCCCCTTCTTTCACGCTGTTAGCCGCTAGTGACTCACTCAAAATTCCAGAAGGCTTTTTTTTCCTTGCTTTCTTTTCGACTTTATCAGCATTCTTACATATGTGCGATTGAGTTTCGAGTCGAAAGAGAGTGTACTATCACGGCTGACAACGTGAAAGCGGGGGAAAATGCGCGCGTAGCCGTCTTACCTTATCGTCTTCTCCTTCACTATCACACTGTAGGAAAGAAAAAAGAAAGAGAAACGTGGTGGTTAGTGAATCCCATGGGCAATGGTTAATTATTATTGTATATCGAAATATCTCTACTGAACACAGACAAATATTCCCGTTTATAAGTTTGTCGGGTCAGAAAAGGAAAACGAGGATACTTACGATATAACCTTTACCCGAACTGCAATGACTGCTAGCCTGTGAATCAAAATGTTCCATGCTCTTTTTAACAATCTTCGCCTCGACCAAAGACAACAAACGCTTTAAGCTCTAGTTCGGCAAATGCACGTTCTTTCGTTTTCTCGATTGTATCTGTACGCACGAATGTCAAGCAGAACTCAGTCGTTCGAGCATAGACCTTGACTTTTCTATGTTTTTTCACATTGGATGACAAAATTTTGACAATCACCCTCAAAAACGTGTATGTACACAATTAAACACTTAATATAGATATTCAATGAATGGCCAGAATGAGCTAATGAACGACACCACAGAGTTTTAAAATGACGTGAAAAGCCAAAAACGTGCAATGAGACAGAGACGAGAGAGAGAGAGAGAGAGAGAGAGAGAGAGAGAGAGAGAGAGAGAGAGAGAGAGAGAGAGAGAGAGAGAGAGAGAGAGAGAGAGAGAGAGAGAGAGAGAGAGAGAGAGAGAGAGAACTCACATCGCTGAGATGGTCCCTGGAACTGTCGGCGTCCTGGCAATCCCTGGGGATACCGGAGCCGTGCAATTGCTCGGAAGCTCTTCCACTGTCGTCGCTCGTGCCCGCATCCAGGCCCTGCGTCACACACAAAATAAATAAATAAATAAATAAATAAATAAAAAGCGTGTCAGTCGGGTGCTCGCGAATTGGGAATTCGCCCGGCTAATTGGCGCGAGAGGAACATAAGGGATAACGAGCCGAAGGCCTTTTTTTCTCCGTCCCGGCTATCTTAGCACGCGAATTAGCACGCCATCGCCGAACAATTCGATTAATGAGCATGTAAACAAGCTATTCCCCCGCCAGTCGGAGTTGGCCGTTCGGAAGGCAACGCGATTATTCCGACGATATGCGTTCGATTTCAATTGAAATTAAGTCGCGCGCGAGCGAAAATTGGTGCGGCCCGCGCGCTCGTTCGGGCAAATCAATGGGCCGCGCTCGCGAGTGGATTATAACAATCCATCAGCGCGCGAGCCCTTCCGTTTTTCCGCTCATCCTTCTTCTCTTTGCCCACTCGTCCCCGAGCACTCGACGATTGACCGCTCGATAGCGAGCCGACGCGATCGACTTCGGCGGCGGTACCCGCGAGGCGCGCGACAAGACTAAACGCACGATTGCCCTACCTGATTGAGCGTCGCCGGCGTGAGTACGGAATTATGCGTGTTGTAACTGTTGTGCTTGTAGTGATTTTTGATGTGGTGGTGGTCGTTGTGATGCCGGTTGTTCTGTCCCGTGTCGAGCTTCGGCTTCTCGTCCAGCGACAACAGCGAGTGCAGCTTCTTGAAGTTATTCTTGCCGGCTAGCTTTATTGCACTCTGCAACACGCAAAGCAAACGCGCCGTTAATTGCTGTCGTGGCGCGCGCGCGTGCTACCGGCGGATCTCCATTACAATGGGTGCGCGCGCGCAGGAAGTCGCCGGAGAAAGAGTACGGCGGCGAGGAAAAAAGTGTGCGCTCGCGCTCCCTCCGGCGGGACTACGACACGTGTTTCGTCTTCGGGGAGGTCGAGTGTGCGTGTGCGCGCGAGACAAAAAAACCAAGAGAGCTCTCGCTCTCGGCAAGAAGGGAGCAGCAGCAGCAGCAGTGCCAACGCGAACGCGAATCCATTGGTGCATTTAGGACGAGACGGGGCGCGTTGCCGTGCGCGCACGCGTTACGTTGGCGAACCACATGCTCGAGGATAAACGAGCCGCCGGCGCCTCGCGGATCGGCGAGGCTTGCGCCGTTAGCTCGACTGCGCGTGGACTCGTTGAATCAGTCGCGAGGCAGATTCGATTAGTGGAACCCACGCTGGATAATGGAGAGAGAGAGAGAGAGAGGGAGAAAGGCTGTACGCGAAATGCCTCGAGCGCGCCGACTTTTTCACGAAAAACCAATCGTGTCTCGCTCCCCCTCGCTTGCCGCCACACAAAAACCAGCGCAACGCCTCGATTTCACTTCCTCGGCGAAGTCTCGCTCGCGCTCTTTTGTTGGCAGCACGGCTGGCGAGAGCGCAACGGTCGTCGTCGCCAGCGATCAAGGTGCGCGTTGCTCGAGAACGCGACCAAGGAGAGAGAGAGAGAGAGAGAGAGAGAGAGAGAGAGAGAGAGAGAGAGAGAGAGAGAGAGAGAGAGAGAAGCGATATCGAGCCGCCGTCGCCGTCGCCGCCGTCGCCGCCGCCGCCGCCGCCGCCGCCGCCGCCACCGTCGCCGCTCGAAAAAGCGCGCGCGGAGGGAGGAGACATTGACCGAAGGAGAGGAGGACGACGCAACACGCGCGCACGCTCGCCTCGTATATATCTCCGTTTCTCTGCGCTTGGCGGAATTCGCGCACGCGAATCAACGAGCAATCGTCTTGCCGAGAAAGCGCGACTGCGACAACACTCGGGCGCCCCGCGGCTTATCAATCGGCTGCCCCTCTGCGCGCTAACCGAGGGGGGACTTCGCTCTTGCTCTTGCTCTCTCTCTCTCTGGAAAATCAATAGCGGCCGCGAACTTCACCTGCAACCGGCGAACAACAGACAAACCACGGCCTCGACGAAACGCAGCCTCGATCACGGAGACGGCAAGGACGGGCGGTCGTCTGGTCACGCAGTTCTACAGCCGTAAAATTGATTGTCGACCGGTTATCGCGAGCTTAATTGCCGCTACGTGTGCCCAAACGGCGCGCTTTCGCTCGCGAGCGCTCGTTTTCGTTTCTCTCGCGCGCCGTAGGTACGTCGGGGCGAGGCGCGACGCGATCAGTCGCGAACCTCGGTGCGCCAGACAAAGTCCTCGGTCATTCTTATCACGCGCGGGCGCGAAGTTGGCGGAAAATTGATGCTTCGCCTCTCTTCGGCGGCGACCTTGCGGGATAAATATTAAAGCGAGGACGACGATCGATGCCGTAGCGAGAGCACGGGAAACGCTGGCTTTCCGAGCGCGCGAGCCTCGGGCTTTCCATGATAGAGCCATTAAACGCGCTGTCGTCGGCGTAAAAACACACGAGCCGAGCGCGGATCAAACAATCGAAACGCACAGCGAGCGCGCGACGCCGACGAGAGAGAGAGAGAGAGAGAGAGAGAGAGAGAGAGAGAGAGAAAGCCGCCGCGTTCTCGGGAATTTTCGTACTTCGGCGGAAACGAGATTTGTCGAATCATTTACTTTTGTCACGAAGGAATCTCGTCGGTCGAGCCGCGAGCAGAGAAAAAGAGACGGAATCTTGAGAAAACACCGAGACTCGTTTCGTTACAGGAAACTTTTTTCTTTCTCGCAAGCTAAGCCCGATGTTCAGTCGTTGCGTATAGAGCAGTCAAGTGCCGTGAGACATTCTCTCTCCCTCTTGCTGGCTTTCACGTGTATTTCACGGTCACGTAATCAAAGTTACTGTAACGGTCCCCGGGACAACAAAAAACGGCAAAAGAACCGCGTTCTCGATGACGAGTAAGCGGCAATTGTTATTAAAACCTCGAAAAAAAATAGGCGGGCGCGAAACCCGGGTCAGAGCGAGTAGTCTAGGGACCAGGGAGGTTTCCGTGGTCGATCGATGTCCCCTCCAACGCCAAAGTTTTCTATACGTATTTTGACCTCCTGAATCCGAATATCGAGGGTGTTTTGCCGTAGGAAGTGATTTTCTATAGTATAATATCAACGATACGAATGTATATAACTTTTTTTTAATCGACTCGCATAGACTTTAAACATGAACATCGATCCACTATTTCTGTCTAGGATTTTTCAAATCGAAAAAGTAATTAGAATCCGAGATATTACTGTTTAACTAATAAGACCCCAACCCACTACGTGGGACAGCTCAATTGTTTGAAGCACTAGTTTTTTTTCGAATCAAATTACAGATACCGTTGACCAATTAAATGACTTCCCGCGTAAAAATGATTACATCAGTTTTACGCGGTTCGCTGTTTTACAAGTAATTCACTGTTTTTTCTAAGTTAGAAATATAATAATTAACCCTTTCAGTCACGCAATTCAATTTGCTTTGATATAAAAGTGCCGATATACGTTTCCAATGTATTTTTCGACGCTGAATTTAAATCTGGCGTTATAATTAAAAAAAATAAATACAACCCCTAAAATGGAGTGAAAACTATACTTCCAGTCACAATTCAAATTTTCTTGTTGTGGAAGAAAAATAAAGTAATTTTTAATGTAAAAATTTTCAATGTGGAAATTGTCAAAAAAATTATAAATCCGTAAATAAAGAAAATTAATATTATGAGAAAAGGTGTAGTTAAAAACTATTATAGGCGTTTGCTTTTACATTTATTTCATTTTTTATATCGGATTCAGATTCGGCGTCGAAAAATACAAGGCGATCGTACATTTGCACTACCAAAATAAAGATTGAATTGCGCCACTGAAAGGATTACAATTCAATATTTTTCAATTTGGAAGTGCAAATAATATGTTTATAACAGTTATAAATAATTATAAACTAACAAATAAGCGTTACGGATTCAAATAATAATTCAAATAATGGAGTCTTCTATGTTCTAAAAATGCAAAAGACTTCACAATTTTTAATGAAATAAAAAAAGTATGACCAAAAACATAAAATAAATCAGATAGCCACTATAGTGGCTTCTGTGACTGAAAGGGTCCAAAACCAGAGATATGGCAATTGCGCTGCGACCGCGACTTCAATTGTTTATAGATGTACACGAGTAATCAAATGATTTTTGCTTTTATAAGAAATCCTCGAGTTCTTTGGAAACGTAAAAAGTTATAACTAAATTACTGCGAGTCGAGCGCAAAGTTTTCATCGTACGATTACTCGCACGCTGTGACCCACTCACACCAGAATTTTTAACATTTTTCAAATCATTAAAGCTCATCGTAAATAATAGCTATTTTATTGCAGCAAGTTTAAAGTACCATCAACTTGCAAACTAAACTCGACTAATCAAGTAATCTCAGCTACACGAACGCAATCACTATTATCTTCTTCTACATCGCAAAAAAAAACTTTCGTACACTCATGATGAACGAAGTGAAGTGTGTATTAGCCAAGCCAGTTTAAGTTTAATTATAAACACCACGTTTAAACTTATATTTTTTTAACGCTCTCGGTTATTAAAAAAACTTGGATTGTTTTGTTCAAAACAGTATCAATTGCATCGTATTAATAATCATCAATATAATTAAAAGCCAGCGAGAGCTACCTATTGCCTATCTTTTGATAATATCAGCATCACGATTCTCATTGATTTATTAAAAATATCAGTGATAGAGATTGCATCAATGATATCGTGAATAAATAAAAAAAACGTCGTTTCAGCTATATACATCCACGTAGAAGCTGTTCTACTTTTTCTGGCCAATGAAACTGAAGGAATTTTTGACACATAAACTGATGCATTAGTTCGTGACAAATCATTTGGTTAGCCGCTTTCTGTAACTTTATTCGAAAAAAATAGCGCAGAAGCCATTGAGCGGCCCCTCATCGTGGGGTTTCGTTAGTTAAACTGTAATTAAGTTTTTCAATTAGAAAAATCCTATATTGTATGAATTTGCTAATAAATAGCCGATCAATTTTAATGTTTAAAATTTATGCAAGTTGATTAAAAGAAAGTTACAGCCTTGTAAGCATTGATTACGAACTGCTGAAAATCACTTGCTACGGCAAACATCCTCGCGGTTCGGATTCTGGAGGTCTAGAAAGCTGTGGTATTGGAGGGGGCATCGATCGGCCAGGGAAATCCCCTTGGCCACTGGGCTTCAACGAATCCGTGAAAAATCAGCTCTCGCTCGCGCATAAATATCGCCGCCGGGGTAGAGTCCTCGCTAAGCAAAAATATTACGCTCGCGTTTGGCCGTCGCGGCGTTCGCTAGCCGTGGTCCCCGATAACCCGCGAGAGAACGGCGGACAGCCGAGTCGAGAGGGAAAGAAAGAGGGAAGCGTCGAAACGATTGACGGCGACGAAAGAACGCGCGGATCGCGAGGAGCATCAAACGCGCGCTGAAAAGTGGGTCAGGCGGGGAGCGCGCGCGCAGGTGCATTACATAGATCTATAAATTTTGCCGTCGCCGGGTCGACGGTTACAGACACGTTCGTTCGCGTTGCTTTCCCGTCGACGAGGCGTGCAACGGCAGTGGACAGGCGTGCGCGCGGCATTAATTGATCATTCGCCGGTGTATGCATAATTCCCCGCTTCGCCTCGCGCTCCCTCTTCGCGGCTTTCCGCCTCGCGCGCGGCGCGCACTTGACTCCTCTCTCTCTCTCTCGCTCTCTCGCTCGCTTCCTGCTCACCTGGATTACACAAAGCTCCGTTGTTTTCGTGTCGCGCACTCTTGGCTGAGCTCCGTCGCCGACCAGATATCGATCGCGAGAGACCTCCTTAATATTTAATTTCCCGCTCAATTACGCCAGCGGCTGGCTCGGCGGATTCAATTGGATACTTCTCGGCGGATTGATTTTTGAACTGCCGGCAATTTGCTTAACGAGATTATTATCTCTCGGGTGAGCGCGAACTTTCAATTAACCGCGGCTCGCGCGAAGGCGCCGTCGTCGAATGCGCGGCAACGCGACGAGCCCGTTGGTCCCTTCGCGCCGGAGCTCGGCGGCTGCGGGAAAATCGCTGCTCGATAAAACCGGAGAGCCGGTCGCGATCGCGGCGCGAGAGAGCGCCTCCAGTCTGCGCCCGAATTAGCACGAGCTGATTAAAGCCATAATCGCGCCTATAATAAGCGGCAATAAGCGCAAATAAGCGGCGCCTGCGGTGCGTCCGTACGGCCGATAGGTGAGAGCGGCGATACTTTATCGGCGAACCGGTACTCGGATCGCGCTCAAGCTCGCCAGCTAGACAGTTGATTTCGGTAACAAACAGATAAAGAAGTGGCCCTGTGTTTGCGCAACGGTGAGATCCACTGCACATTACGGCACATCGCGCGTAGATAGCGGAGGCAAAAATCCGATGCAGTCTCCCTCCCCCCGACGCTGGCTTATCGCGACAGCACGGAGAAACTCCGAGGGAGAGAGACCAGTTCGCTCGAAAACTTGGCGAACGTATAAACCGCGCACGGACGTGAATTATTGCGGCTCGTCGCTCGCTCTCTGTGTTCCTCTCTTTCTCTCTCTCTCTCTCAATTTGTACTTTAGATCCAATTAGAAGCGCACACGAGTCGCTCGGTTAATGGCACACATTGGCGCGTCACGTCCACGCTAGCGACAGCGGCCTCTCCGCTCGATCTCCCATTGACTCGTTCTCCTCGGCGCGCTCGCAAAACTGGATGTTCCCCCTGGCGCGCGTCTCCGCAGCTCCTTGCCGCCGATTCGCGCCCAGGCTACGGCTCTCGCGACTTTTCACTTGTCGCGTAGTCGTTCGCGCCGTTTCGCAAAGGCGCGCGCTCGGCTTAACGATGCGCGCCGGCGAGTCGGTAATCAGGCAGCGACAGGGGAGGGAAAGCGAGGCAAGATCCTCGGTTACGACGAGCCATCCGAGCGCCGGCATAATAACGAGCCTCTATCCGGGGCTGTATTTACGATGCGAGCGATAAAAGCGCGTCGCAGACGCAGACTTTCGCCGGGCGAGAGAGAAAACAAGCCAAGGTGGTCGGCTGCGATTATTGACTCTTGGATTAAGGAGGAATGGTTTACAATGATGTTTACACGAGTCTGCGGCGCGATGATTTACGGTCAATCAGGCGACTATAAAGGCGACGAGGCCCCAAGAATCAACGCGGCTAATCACCTCAGCAGCGCGCCGAGCGAGAAGAAAGTGTCCGCCGCGCGTACAGTCGCGTCCCGCGGACACGGCACCGGCCGAGCCGGCGAAACGAGGGATCGGGCGAGAGCGGACGAGAGCGGGCGAGAGGGGAGGGCGCGCGAGCGAGCGGGGCGAAGGGAAAGCCAGCGGGGGTCGACGCCGGGGAGCCAGCTACCAGCTACGGATGCGAGGGGAGACGAGCGAGCTGCCGACGACCATTTTTGCCCCCCGCCGACGAAAATTAAAGGCAAGACGAGAAAATAAACGAAAACAAAAACAAGAAGCAGGAAGAAGCGCTCGCGAGCTCAGGCCAATTGATTATAGAAGCGAGCCGGACTCGCGAGGTAGATAAATAGCGCGCCCTTGGAATTTCGGAGCAACGCTCGCTCGGGTGTCCCTCGCCTCCTGCTCGCACCCTTTATCAGATTTCCTCCTTTTCATTTTCTCTCGCTGCTGCCCCTCGCCGTCGTCGCCGTCGTCTTCGTGCTATCCCCCTTTTGCGTCCGCGATACACGTGTCGGGAGAGCGTTACGGCGCGGAGCTTTTCTCGCCCTCCACGCAAAACTATGCTAACGAGAGGGGCTTCGCGCGCGCCTCTAATTTTAGACGTCGCGTCGAGCGCGCGCACGTAGCTTGCCGCCGTCGTCGCGCCGATTCGACTCGAAGGATCGTGGGCGAGGAGAGCGGGATTGTCGGCCACGCGACGACCGATCGGTTACGAAGCATCACCGCTGTCGGTGCTGAAGGGGTTAGCGTGGTCTTCGCCGCGCTGACGTCAGAAATCAAAGTCTCGACCGATTGCGGTGACTGGCGGGGACTTAATCGGCGGAAAACAAACGCTAATTAAGATAGCCGCGGCAAAAGGCGAGCGAAAAGTCCGCGGCGCGCATATCGATTTGGCTTCCTTTTAACGGCCAATTAAGCGCACGAATCCCGCGGAGGAGTGCAGCTGGCCCGCGGACTGCACTCTCCCGGCGTTTATCAGTCGTCAATTAACCACAATGTTTTGAGTTTCGCGGCGATGATAAGGCCTCGCGCTCGCGTCTCTTTTTCCGGTTTATCGCCGATAAACTTTTGCGCAACGCCGGCGTCGGATACATAATAACGATATTATCCGGCTTCCGACGAGTCCTGTATTGCCTATCGAATTCCAATAATAAGGCCATTATAATTGGAATTTAAATTTAGATAACCGGCCGCGAAGGTCGGCTAATTGAATGACTACGAGAGCCCCGCGAGCAATTGAGTTAACGAGTTACTTTCTAATTACCGCGACAGCGAGAGCGAGCGGGCGAAAAATCTCTAACAGGTGTTTTGCCAAAACTTGCTGAACACGAGTAGGAGGGGGTGGGGGGAGGGGGAGGGGAGGGGGAGGGAGCCCTATTACGGGGACGCTCGTAAAAAGAAGCCGCGGAGCGTGGGTGGTCCCGCCCACCCCCTACCCCCGCCGCACGGCCCTCGACAGATTTTGCGGGATCGACGTGCACGAGAACGCCGCCGGCCGCAAAGCAGACGCGCGCGCGTAGCGTGCAATTAATAGAAACACGGAGTGCAGGCAGCGGGACAGGAGTTTTATCTAATCGTCCGATTGATTCTCTCGGCTGTTTCCGTTGTCGACGCGCGCCACACGGCGCAAAGCGCCCCATCGCCGCCCTGCCCCGGCGACGCGGAGCTCGCGCTCGCGAGCGGCAACAACTGGCACGCGACCGGGGGGCAAGGCCGACCGGCGGCGCGACACTCACCTCGAGCTCCTCGTAGCTGCGGAAGGCGAGTATGGCGAAGCCGTCGATGATGTCCTCCTCGAAGATGGGCTCCTTGGGCTCCTTGCCCTGGCTGTTGGCGGCCGCGGCGGCGGCGAGCGCGCTCTTCTTGCGCGGCCGGGGCGGCCGCGGCGGCCTCGGCGGGCGCTGGTGGCCGGCGGCGGCGTGGGCCGCGGCGCCCGGCTCCTTGGCGCCCTTGAGGCCGGCGGCCGGCACGACCTCGTCGTCCTCGGCGCTGTCCTCGGCGTGCGGGTTGGCCGGCCGCGGCTTGGGCTCGCGCTGCATGCGCTGGGCCCTCTCGCGGCGCCGGTTGCGCTGGCTGCGCTGCTTCGCCTCCATCGCGCTCTCCATGCCGCGGCTCGCGGGGGCGGCCGGGGGCTGGCGGGGGCCGCTGGCGCCCGAGCAGGTGGCCGCTGGCCCCGGCGGCGAGCCCGGCAGCGGCTGCGGGGGCGGCGGCGCGGCGGCGGGGTAGTACCTCAGTGCAGCTGCCTGCGAGGAGGCTGCGGCGCTGCTGCTGCTGCTGCTGAGGAGCGCTGCTGCGGACGGCGTCGCCGTCGCGGCATCGCTGGGCCCGTTGCCGCCGCCGGGGGTGCTGGCGCCGCCGTGGAACGCGCTCGCGGAGTAGTCGACGATGCTCGCCGGCGGCTGCTGGCTGGCGGCGAGGTGCTGCTGGAAGTGCAGGCTGCCGAGGGTCGTCGCGCGATTCACCGTGCCGCAGGCGGCCGTCGACGCCGCCTCCTCCTCCTCGCGCCTCTTGCTCTTGTACACGACGTTGTACACAATTTTTACGAAGCTCGGGGACTAGACCAGCTCACCCGACACTCGCGGTCACAGCGCGCGCACTGCTATCTAGCCGCCTGTTCGCGACGGCCTTCTCAGAGGTGATCCGCTCGGGCACGAGCCCGAGCAATCAGCTGACACTTCGCTCTCGCACTTGAACACGCACTAATTGAGCCGCCGACCGACCGGGCGAACCAGCATCCAACTCCTTTGTCCTGCAACACAGCCGTCAAGCATTTTTTCGATTATTCTCACGAGTATTTGCGCGTGCGACCGCGGCCGCGAGAGCCAGAGAGAAATCGACAATCATTTGTCAACACGACTCGCTTTCCTAATCTGCCTTTTTTCGCGACAGCAGGCAGTCAGCAGCAGCACACGGCTACACTTTTTACATTTTCTTATATTCATTCTCTCTCTCTCTCTCTCTCTCTCTCTCTCTCTCTCTCTCTCTCTCTCTCTCTCTCTCTCTTTCGGCTCCCCCTCTCCCGAGCTCCAAGAGTCTTACACACACGGACGGAAATCCGCGAGATACTCGATTCGCGGCCACTAGCTCCGTTACTTATAACCCTTCCTCGAGCCCGAGCCGCCTGTCGTGCTATAACCCATCTGCGATAACTCGTACAACACGTACACACGGAGGCTCGAGCGAGCGAGAACGAGAGAGAGGCAAGTAGGTCGTGGTGGTTGCGAGCGAAACTTACCGCAGTGATGGAGACGTGGTGTTCGAAGCGGCGTTGCCCACGAAAAGGAAGCCTAAGTGACGTGCCACAAGAAGCAGTGGCACAGCGGAGGCGGACAGCGACAGCAAAGCCAAGGCAGCCTTCCGAGATTTGGTGTGTTGTTTGTCGGAATGGCGGACGCGCGCACACGCAGAGGATGCGTAGTACTCTCTACTCTCTCTCTCTCTCTCTCTCTCTCTCTCTCTCTCTTGTTCACACACGTATGTATGCACACACTAGCACAGCACGCACACACAGGCACGGTCACTTTTGCTTCCTTTGCTCTCTTGGCTGGCTCTCTTGTATCGCACGCGCGTGTATTTGCAGAGCCGTATAGCAGCTTGCCTCTGCTCTGGCTCACGCTCACTCAGCGAATGAACGGGCGCCGCCTTTGACGAGGACGCAGAGTCGAAGAGAGATCTTGCGCTCTGTCTGTCGCGCACGGGCTAGCGTTCGGCGACAGCAGCAGCAGCAGCGGCGGCGAGAACTTCTTGTCTCTCTCCCGTGTTGGCTGACTGAAACATGAGCAGCAGCAGCGTTCAACGGGCGCACACAAAACGCGCTGTACGGCGGCGGAGCCGACGAGAGCAGCAGAACGACTAGCGCCCTGCTCTCTTGAAGCTATGCTTGCGGACGTTGCCGCATCGTGTAACCCCGCTGTGCTAGCGGCGGCGGTGGCGACGAGGTCTGCTCGGTCGCTACTATAACCCACGGACAGAGAGGGAGAACAGTACTCTCACGTACACACTCACGCGGACACGAACGCGCGATGCATATTGTATGTACCGTTCGACGACACCTTGTCTCTCTGCTACGCTGGTCAGACCGAGTTGGCAGCCGCAGCATACCAGGCCTCTCACTCTCTGTGAGTCTGTGCGCCTGTGTGAGTGCTCCCGACAAGTTCTCACGTTTTGCCATAGGTAGCGCTGTGTTTGTCGTGCGCCAGCCGGCAACGTCGCCAACCCAGGCCGTAGCTAGCAGCATCTGTCGGATGACTTGCTAACTTACTCCTTGAACTTTGAATATTGGCGGCAAATCGATGACTGACAATTCACTTGATTCGCTTTCAATTACTTGATAAAAAACCACGATCATAATGCATTATTCACACTAGAACAAATTTTTTCACCTACGTAGCATTTTATTTGGCAAGCTCTTGTTTACCTACGATAAATCAGATACTTTACGTCTGCAATTACCGTTGATAGACAATTATAATTGTTTCAAATTGGAAAGAAAAGCGAAGAACCTTCGAGTGCCTGAACACAACAGACACATTAATTGCTCTTATCTCGATGATTGTTCACTTTTGAACCGTATCCATCTCGATATACAAACAGCGATTACCGAGGCAAATCACCTTTCAATTTGTATTCATCGTGAAGAAGCAATTAAGCGCCATTAGCAAAAATTGTGTAAACAAACGGCTCGCCTTGAATTATTATACGCTCTATTTGGCCAATATTCGCTCCGTCAAAGGAAATCGAACGCACGAAAAGCAATTAACATTGACAATGTCATCAGAAGCGGGCAAGAGTGAGAGTCAGCCGAACAGCATGGGTAAGAGCGCAGGCACTTAAATTGCACTTTCAGTCGTCTGCTGCTGTCCACGAGAGATGGCGCAAGACGCGGCGATCCTGGCCGCACAAAGGAATAGCGGTAAGCGCGCCGATCTAATCTTATCTCCGGCGGGCCGCTCGACTAAGGAAGAGAAAACCAGAATTCGCGATTGCCTTATCAGCCGAGATAATAACTTGGCGTCCCGCCGAGTGTCTCGGGGCGTCGCGCGCAGTCCAGCTGCAGCGCTGCCTCATGATACGCACGCCAGCCACTGCATTGCCCGTCCAATCGCCGCGGTGGCCTCCGATCGAAAGCGTGTCGCAACATATGGTAGTAATCCTTGCGACGGCGGATCTGTCAAAGCACATCGCGGCGCGCGCAAACGTACAAAATACTAAGCGCGCGCGCTTCACGGCCGTTGCGCGCAACGTAGCGTCGCTCGCTCGCGCACGCCGCATCGATTTAATTGTCCTCGACACTTTCCAGCGCCGTATCTCGCAGATCGATCCGAACCGATTGCAATTGCCGCGCGGTTTCGCGACGAGCTAATGAGAGGGCCCGAAAAAGAAGTAAAGTAAAATTGCACGCCACGCGTTGTTGACTCTGGCTTTAGCATACAATGCGCTGCGAGTAAAAAGCGATCGCGCACTGAAAAGTGCGTTGATAGACCGCGACGCGCAGCGAGGAGGAGAGCAGAGTCCACTCGGCTTCGGATACTTTTTCATTGAAAAACACGTCTGCCCATCATTTGGATCAATAACGTTAACTGCTGATTTCCTATTGCCATCTTTATTTCTTGGCTGTGATACAGGATCGATCACGTGGTACACTGGTACATTTACAGATGATTTTAACCATTTTTTCTTCACGACAGTAGTCGGAGTTTCTCCGTTGCTTCGAGCTGCGCACGAACGTACTCGTAAATCCGTTCCCGTAGAATACAAGATGGCTTGTGGTGCGCTGTTTATGGTAGTTTCCTACTTTGCTGAAGCTCGTGTTGAGAGGAGATATAAAGATGTCAGGTGGCAACTTGATTAAAATGTTCGTCCTTGTCAGTGATATATCCCAAATTTAAATGAGTAATATTTCGAACAGACTTATGCCGTTTGTGAAAAAATGGCTTGGCTCTGCAAAGAAAAAAATCTACTCCGAGAACCTATATAGAGACAGAGTCACGAAGATTAAGGTCAAAGAGAATGCAAAATATTTTTCTGAAATTAGCTCAACTTGAAAACTGACTTTTTACGATGATTGTTTTCCTATTACAACACTAACCGGTGATGCTTGATTAGAACCCAAAAGTATTTCCGTTCGCTACTCTTGGCTGCACACAAAGGTATTCTGCCATTTAAAATGAAAGTTCTACACATTAGACAGTGACTTGATACAAGATGTGCCCCAACCGTTAATTGAGTCGGTTGTTGCTACATAGCAAGATAAGCAATGATAGCTGTAGGTATGTTTACTGTGAAGTATATCGGGTAACTGCAGTGCTATCATTGAAAGGATGTAATTGTGCGCGTTGACGACGCAAGTAATCCACGCAAAGTAGTTCCAAAGTCACTAAAGATTATATTCTCAGATTCTTAGGCACGTTCTTTCAATGAAAAGCTTATCGATAAAACAGGCGCTCTTTCACACTGCTTTGAATAGGGCAAAATGTTGCTTTGTTGCCAATTCCGATTGAAGCAATTAGGGGACTCAGGGCGTCGGTGGCGCGCGGCGCGCGGCGCGCGACCAAAGGCCGTGCCCACAAAAACACATTATGAATTCATCGGTAAAAAACGCTAGGCCAGTCATCCTACGCCCATTACGGAAATGGCATTGTCATAAAAAAAATACAAATAAGTAATAAAACAAAGACGTACGGCTCGATTGTCTCCCATAATTACAGCACGAAATTCTTTCGCTCGGTCGTGAAAAATTAATTGGCTCGACGCTGATATCGCGAGCTTGCGTGCCTAATTTAATGCGCCAATAAATAACCCCGCAAACAATATCGTAATGATCGCAGCCAACCATTTATAACATCTCGCGCGAGCGCCAATGCGTACGCATGCATACGCGTCGCTTTTTATTAATAAATCCAAACGAGAGAGAGCGTGGGTGCGTGTATGCCACTCGGAGCTTGGAAATGAAATTCAGCGTAAGAGCGAGGACCCTGAAAAAAGAGAAAAATGTTACGAAGATGATGGTTTCGCAATTTTTGCGCGACGCTCTCCCGAACGATATTTGCATTCGTTTGGTCGCGCGGGGGAGCATCGCGGGCGCGTAACGCCCGCGCGGATTAATGGAATTTACACGCGCGTAACGAGTACTCGCCGCTCGAGCGCGCGGCATTATTGATACAGCTGGTTTTATCGCATTCGCTCGCTATTATTTATACATCGATAAGCGACGTTGCAGAGATCTGTCGTAATGGCGCGCGCTTCGATCTTCGACTATTTTACTGGTGCTTCGCTTGACAATGCGTTTTCGTCGATTACCTTTCAATTTTCTTCATCTTGTGTCTTCACGGCGCATCTCGACTAATTACTTAATTGCACGTGGCTGGCCATTGATTACAGCTTTCTACGAGTCCAATTCGAAAGTGACAGTGAATTGATGACAGCTTGTAATTAAAGCGCCTTATGAATTTGTTTCCGCTGCGTACACACGTTGCCCTGGCCTTTTCATGCCTTTTTTCTTTATTCACATCCACATAACGAGCAACCGTATAGAAATATCCTCTTTGATTGCAACTCGCTACTCAAAGCGTCGACTTTCTTTGCGTTTCACATCCCTGCGATGATTGAAATTTCATCAACCATTCATTTTTTAAATTACACTTTTCGATTAAACAAATGGCGTAGCTCAAAGGACTAACGCTTTCGAGTCCCCTGAGCGAACCCAGTTGTGCTGTTCGAACGTAACTGATCATCGAAGATTAGAAAGTGAAGGCAGTGCATTTGTCAGAGAGGAAGAAGAATAGGAGAAAGTACTTGTACGAATCATCGGTTCTTCGTCGGTGACGTACATTAGCAGCACTTTAGCACCTCTCTCACGTCTCGCGCGCGCGGCCTTGGACTCGTCTCACCTGGAACGCGCGAAAAAGCAGCGAGAACAATGCTGTCTCTCCGCGATCCGCGTGCGTGCGTGGCTCTCCGAAAATAAAAGCGCATCGCCAAATCGAGCTGCAGCGAAAAGGCCGACCGCCGCGGAGTATTGCGAATTTGCCATTGAAATGAGTGAGAGAGAGAGAGAGAGAGAGAGAGAGAGAGAGAGAGAGAGAGAGAGAGAGAGAGAGCGCGCGCGTAGCGCGGCCGACTACAGCCGCAACCATTTATGGCGAGATTTCGATCGAAGCAGGTGGCCCAGGTGGGGCTTCGAGCTCTCTCTCTCTCTCTCTCTCTCTCTCTCTCTCTTTCTGTCTCAATGTTTGGCGTGTCTCTCTGCATTGCCTGACCCCCTGACCGCTTTCGAGTATTGTCAAACTCGTTCTGTCTTGAAGCACGGTCGATGCCGCACTTGCTCGGGCAATTATTCCAAGAGCGCGGACGCATTCGACTCGCACGAGGGCCGATGATTGATTCGCTCGGCTGTCGGCCAATCGAGAAAATCGCTTTTCACCGCGAGATCCGCGAGCGACTCGTCGTGCCATTTCCGCGGGCCTCGGTCACTCGTTTTCTTTACTTGTTTTTTTTCCCGTGATACGTTCCTACTGTACATCGTGCCTTTGGCGAAAGCCCCTAGTTCTTTGTCGTTCGTCGGTGGCCGATAATGGGAATTGTTCAACGGCGAACACTGCTTTTCGGGAGAGATAAGCTTGTTCGACGGTGTACATATAACAATGCAATTGTTTTTTTTTCCTTTAGTAGATCTCTCGATTTTTAAGACTGTCTATATTTGGCTGCGAATGTAAGCATCGACGCGATACCATTGTATTTTAGAAGTCTTGCCTTTTTGCAAAAGTCAATTTTTACGGAAGAGTGTTGGTTTTAATGATAAAATTGTCGAGCGCGCGTGTCTTACCGCACTCGACCTTTTCCACCTGAACGTTTCGACTCGTTATCACAAGTCGGTGGGAATTCTCACTCGCGTCGTTAAATGCGAAGCTACACGAGTGCCGCGCTGAGAGAAAAAGAAATCGTGCAAACGCTGTAATTAAGGTTGGCGTGTTTACCACTGAAAATTATGTAGACGTTTCTCATTTTTCGAACAGTCGACTAGGCGTGGGAGCGAAATACCACGTAACAGCGATCACCCGGTTGTTTCCAAAAAAAGAGGAAGGCCAATTGCGAAAAAAGCTGATCGTACGAAAGGCAAAAGAAAAAAAGTGCGTACGACACACATTGCTTTGCATAAGTCCGGCATCATCGTCAACAACAACAATAACAACGACGGAGCACGAAAGAGAGAGCACGTGCCTGTATCTCGCTATACAGAAGCGCGCGAGCGCGAGACGGAGACGGAGAGCTCTCTCGCTCCATTCAAGACGCGCGGTTTCCGACCAGCTCTCCCCACCTCGTCGCGCGAGCTCTCTCTCTCTCTCTCTCTCTCTCTCTCTCTCTCTCACCTCTCTACCTGCCTGCCCACGACGGCGACGACGACGGACGGCTCGCGGCAGCGCAACTCTCGTTCAGGAGTTCAGTCCGCGGCGGCTGCAGCAGCGGATCCCGCGCACTACCTATCCAAGCGCCGCTCCTCGCTCGGCGCGCTCTCGCAATTGTCAGCTGTGCGAACGACCCAAGTCGTGCTCGCGGTGAACTGTGCCCCCCAAGTGTGTGTGTGCGCGCGCATAACGATACGAAAGGTAAACCTCACCGAACGGAGAAGGGAAAGGCTCTGGAATTTTGCGCTCTCGAGGGACTCCTACGCGCACACGGTGCACGTCTATCGCTATGGTGCCATTGTGCCGAGCGGTGGCACGTTGCGCAGCAAGTGAACGTTACGTAACGTGTAATGCGACTGCTGCTCTCCTTCTCTCGCGGGAGAGCAGGAGAGAGAGAGAGAGAGAGAGAGAGAGAGAAAAGGCGGCGAGAGAGGCTTAGCAGATCTACCTCGCACTTTTTGCCGGCTTCGGTTCAGGAATGCGAAAACACCTGCTTCTCTTCTTCGTTTTTTTCTTTTCACCGCTCGCTCGTTCGCTCGTTCGCTCGCTGCTCTCCCTCGTCTTCTTCTTTACGTGGAATTGTGCTCGCTTCCAGAGAGACCGCCGCCGCCGCCGCCGCCGCCGCCGCCGCCGCCACCGCTGATGTGTTATTTCGTGCGACTTGCAATTAGAGGAATTCTCCGAGGGCGAACGTTCTAATCTAATCGATAGCTTATGTATCCGCGAGTGGCTTGCTTCTGTCGTTTTCTCCTTTGTTTATCGCCGCGACTCGCGACGAAGCGAGACGCGAAAATCATCGGTCTCCCCGGAGAACGCGAAATTCAGTGATTCACGCAGGCGGTAGGCCTCCGCGCCGAGCGAGCCGCTGTTATTTCCTTCGCGCGAGGCGCGTACACAACGCGTGACTCAACTTCGGCTGGCGCTCGGCGCAGGAAACTTGGCGATTCGCACACGTGGTCGTTTGGAAAGCGAAAATACGCGTTGCCGTTAGCCGATAGGCGATCTACCATTTTGCGCAACGCGCCTGAAAATTTCGCGGCCGCGCTCGGAAAAGCGACGACGATCCAGGGTTGCGCAAAGTACGAGAGAATACGCTGGCGGCGAGCGTGGGAAAGGAGTAATTTAGATCTTCGGAGGAGCGCGCCGAGCCTATTAATATTAAACGTCCCGCGCGACGACGAGACAATGAAACAATAAAGAAAGTTCGCGGCGGCGGAAGGATCTGCATTTGTGCGCGGCCGCGAGGTGAAAGTTTTTTCCCTCTTTCCCCCAGCCCGGGAGGAGAAGCGCGAGCGGCGCACATGCTCTCCGCGCGCCGAAAAGCGCGACGGACACGTGACGCTCGAGTTTTCTCGTTGAAAATGGCTGCGTCCTTGGGCGAGGTCACGTGACTCGCCTACTCGCGGCCACCCACGGGACACGCTGCCGCTCGCGCCGGAGAAAGACCTGGTCGCGGATCTGCCGTTTCTCCGCGACCAGCGGGTTCCTTCGTTTCGCGCTCCGGTCGCTGCTGCCGCGGCTACGCGCGCGATTCGCTCCGCGGATAGCTTGTATCGCGTCGCTCGGCCGCGCGCGCGTGCCTCCGCAGAGGGCAACAAAGAGTTGTACACGCGAGATCGGTATCGATCGATTAGAGTGGCGGCCGCTAATGCGACGCCAAGCACGTACCGAAAGCAACGTTACGTCCGTCGCGGCTGACGCATATCAATCGCCGAGGAAGTTTGCGACGAGGAAGCGATAATTCGATTTGACGCGACGCGACGCTCCGGCAGTCGACGGAAAGGTGCTCTCGCGCTGTCAATAATTTTTCCCGTCCTGGCAGTCGTTACGTAAAACTATTATACGTCAAGCTCACGCTCGACTAGTTTTCGATGTCACCCGCGTCGCAAAAACAACCGAACCGAGATTCTCTCTCTCTCTCTCTCTCTCTCTCTCTCGCTCTTCATCCTCGACGTGCGAGCGATTGTCACTCCGCGGATCTTACATAAAAAGAAAAAAAACTGCATCGCCGTTATCTAATGCGCACGCGCGGAGCGTGTCAAAATTTATCAAGGCCTCGCGGAAAGAGAGAGAGAGAGGGAGAGAGAGAGTCCTATCGTCGATGAGGAAGGGAAGAGTGCCTTTATTTATTGCACGTTGCGATGGCTCACCGCCGCCAATTCTCGATCGTCGTCTCCTCAACTTGCGTCGCGCGCATTTAAATCACCGAGCGATTCGAACGCCCTTTCGTTCCGCGAAAGTGCGATGCGGCCGTTCTAATCGTCGCGCCCATTGTTAGCGCTGTTTCTCCGCGGCGGCATTGAGCGCGCTGCGCTTTTCATTAAAGCCACTCCGCGTGTGTTTACACTCGGTTGAAATTCGAGCGTTACACGATCGTTACCGCGCGTGATTAAGATCTCGCGTTCGTGATTGCCTCCCCGACCCCCCTTCCCCCCTTCCCCCCTCTCTCGCTCACTTACCCGTCGGCTCTCTCTCTTTCCCGGACTTTTCCTTGAGAACTCGGCGCGCTCGCTCTCGAAAAAGCTAAATTAATTAGGAGCCGCTCGCGTTGGTCTACACACTTTACGATGCGCCCTAGTGTGTATTTTTCGCGGGACAATCAAACGTACCCACGCGACTCGTTAAAGCGTGTGCTTTTTGCGTCCGCGAATTCCCGACGCATTTGCCTGTATGACCCGTCCGCGCGGCCGCGTTCGGATACGCACAAACGAGACGTTAATCCAGCCCGAAAATATACACTCGCATCGGTGGCCGAGTACGCCGTCAACAGTAGACATTGCGTAGAGCCGTCGATTGACATGGCAGCGATCCGAAGCCATTATCATGCTAACGCGACGCTTCGTCTGTCCTTTGCGACCTTTAACGCCGTTGCGCAGAGCTGCTGCCGCGTACACCAGCGATGAATACGGGAACAGCGCACAATACGGGACGCGCTCGCTATAGCGGCCAGCGCCGCGTAATTGCTGGATGCGAGCGAGCTCGACACACATTCCCTTTTTCGGGGAAGCGAGATTCTGCTGGCCGTTGAAAAAAAAAGAGGAAAAAAAAGAGCGGCACGAGCGCGGCTCTTTGACGCGCACCTCTTTCCTGCAGATAAAGTGATTTCGTGTTGCTCGCCTTTTGACGCTTTACGGCTCGAATGTATACGCGTATACGACTCGCTTCCTTTTATTTTTACGACTCTGAGAAATGAGCTGAAAATTTACATCGGACGACTTTGTTTGCTCGAGGGACTTTGATGAATCGTTTTTTTTAGACCTCGCCGAATCGCAAATAAGTACGCGTCACTTGGCCGCGAAAAAAATTATTTCCCTTGTTCCGCGTATGAGTGCCCAAGGGCTTTTCAGCGCCGCCATATCGCCAAGAGCAGAACAAACACTCGCGCGCCGTTTGCCGTTAGCGCCGATCTCCGACCGAGGAGGCCCGAGAGTAGCCGTAACGGATGGGTCTCTAATCTGTTACCAAAATAAACAAGGCGCTATTAATACCGGCAGGCGAGCAGCCGCCCAGCGCAAAAGTAGTCCGGCGACGGGCGACGACGGGCGACGACGGGCGGCGACGGGACGATAGCCGCCGCGGGCGAGAAATTTTTATACGGCGGCTATGAAAGTGCACTGAACTCGGCGAACTTTCCAACGACGCGAACTATACTATAAGTGACATCTCGGTCGGCGCGCGCCGCGCGGCATATCTAATCGCGGAAGGATGCGCACGATTACGCGAAGCCAGCTAGTCGTGGGAGTGGCGCGCTGATAAGCTCTCTCTCTCTCTCTCTCTCTCTCTCGCGCGAGCTCAATACGCAAAAGCAGACGTGCCTGCCCGTGCGCTGGCCGAGGCTGACGTCATGCGCATATCCAATGGACTGACTGGCGAGTCAGGCCTTTTACAGCTGCGCAATTGCAGACGCGGCGAGGACGAGCCTTCCTCGCGGCTCGCGAGCTGCGCCCTTTGCCGAGAGGCTCCCGAGTGCGCTCTCTCGGCGAGGCGGCGTTTCGGCGAATCGCGCGCGCCGAGCAACGACGAGCGGTGCCGCGATTGAAAAGGAGAGACAAAGCGCTTTCGCTCGGCGCGCCGCGGCAATTAGCTGCGCCCTGCGTTTGTTCTCCGGCGGCTTTTCGAGCGCGTCGCCGAGGCACAGTTTCACCTCTGCCCGCGCGCAATACAGCCTGGCCGAGGTTTTCAGGGAGGACGCCGCGCGGCGATGACTCCGTAGCGCGAGCGACCGCTCCAGGATGGAGGTGATCTCGACGCGACGGTACGAGGCGAGGCCGCCGGCCGACTCCCATGCCTCCATTCCAGTAAGTATAGGCGAGCGCGCGCGCGGCATACATCGCTCATCGCTTGCTCTCTTCTCGGCGCACAGGTCGACCCGACGAACGCCGTGGCGACCGTGAAGGAAGGTGAGTACGAGCGGCGACGGCGCCGCGCTCGCGGAACCACCGCCTGTAACGTCGGCTTTTCGCAGAGGAATGGGAGACGCGGAAGAAGAAGGAGATCACGACGACCCGGCAGATCGAGACGCGCGTCAAGCGCCAAGTCGTCCTCGAGGACGGCGAGGTGGTCGTCGACAGCGGACCGCAGGTCACCACCAATACCACCGAAGACGTCGAGCAGCAGGAGCACACCACGCAGGAAGTACGGCTTTTCCCGCTCGGCCGTCCGTGGAAATTCAGTCGCGCGGCATTGGCCTACAAAAGCTCCGCGCTGGTTTTTACTTCGACGCGCTATTTTTATTCAAGGACGCACTCGCGGCCTGCGAGCACATCGCTTCTTTGGTCGTTCGATCAATGAAAATGGAAACGCGACTGCCGTCGACTTTTTGTCCTTTCGAGTCTACGAAACGACAACAATGACTAAGCCGCTCGCGCGATATACGAATACGCGCGAAATACGGATGATTAACGCGGCATTAATCTGTCGTTCTGCCGCGGCACAACACAAGAACGCGCATGATCCGTTTGGAGTTTTATCGCGGGCAGCACTGATTATATTGACCAACGACCGGGACGATTACGCGCGCAGCGATAAAGCGCTGCTCGCTCAAACGCGATTCGAAGGCAATCAATTAGCGTTCCTTTCCCGGCGTGGTTATCGCGTCGGCGTTAACGAGGCGCGCCCGGTCTGCTCGCTCGAGCGTCCGACGCGCGAGCAAAGTGTCCGACTGTGCATCCGCGGTCTCCGTTGCAGAGGCGCACGACGGGCGACGAGCCGCAGAAGATCGACTGGCCGGCGGCCGCGAAAGCTGGCGCCCTCGTGCAGAAGGAGCTGAACGAGACCATCATGAAGAGCCGCGAGGAGGTGGAGGAGAGGCTGGAAACCGAGGATCGACGGCAACTCGGCGACATCAGCGACGAGGTGAGTCTCTGAAATTAGAAGCCGTCGCGCCGCGCCGCGCCGCGAATTGCGCAACCGGCAGGGGCAAACGAGCGGTTAAAGACTCGCGAGCTTCCTGCGCGTGCGCGTCGGACAAAAGTCATCGGTCGCGCGAATAAGGCATGGAATGCCGCGCGCAGCTCGGAACACCGCTCCTAAGCCGCGCATCGACTGGCCGACTGCGAGAGCGGCGGGAAATTGCAGTAATCCATCTCGGATTTCGCGTCCTCGGACGATCTTCCGCTCGCTCGTGCTCTCGCCAAGAGGCAGACAGATTGTTCGCGGAAGAGAGGAAGATTTACCAGTTTCGAGGATTGCATGCGCTTTTTAACTTGTTACCAGGAGAGCTATTCGCGGAAAACGCCGCAGTCGACATAATGATGCCAAGTCAAATGCCTCAAACATCGTGTATTTCACTTTTACTCCTGAATTTACTAAATCTTAAATAGAACATTGCTGCTATGGTATTGGTCATATGGATTGGCGTCTGCTGGATAGAAATCACAATTGGTTTGAGTAAAATTACAAGATATATTTTATTTCAAGACGTTACGACACGAAAGAACTTGCCTGTGCACTAAGCAGAGGCTAATCATCAACCAGTTCTCGCACCCTTGGCTATTTAGCCCCTCGCTCGTTACTCTACAGTTTCTCTCGTGCTTCCCTCTTTTTATGCGATCCCGACTTCGGATTCGCTCTCGGCAAACAATCAACACATGACAACAAGCAACACGTAGACGCTTTGTCGAAAACTCGAATGCTCGCTCCCCAAAACTATTCGCTCCTCTCGAAGTATCTCGCATTACTCCATACTTCTGACGATTGATAAAAAAATCGTTCTATTGAATCATTCTCTCCGTGCACGATCTTTGTTTACGTTTTCTTAGCCCAAGCAAAACTATTTACTGAAACCAAACACAGAAACACAACATTTTAAATCAAAAAGCAAGATAATCATAATCAATACTATCGTTTTAATAAAAATCAAGGAAACTCCCTATGATTGATTGATGAATTGATTGATTTATTGATCTACGTAATTTTATAAAAAATACAAGGATTCCTCCCTTAACATTTGTAAAAGCCTAAAAAGGTCTAAGCAAGTTACCTGTATGTAGGCTGGATACATTAAATAAATTTAAACAACTAATAATAATAACTTAGAAACTAAAAAAGAAAAACTTTATTTCTTAATTAATTTATTTTTTATGTATGATTAATAAATTCGAATAATACTAGTTTTTGCACATTTGGGAAATTTGCATCCTCATGGCCTTCCAATGTAGCATTCGAAATTTCCTTGTACCGTTTTGCTGTAATATAAATTTCTTCAGTTTACTTATTTTAATTTGTCTTGCTAGTTTCTAAATTTTCAAGTTCTATTTGTAATTTATTGAAAATGTTTACTACTTTTACGTAACTGAATTTGTCACTTATTCTTCTGTTGTACTTTGGAAATTGCATCAATTTATTTCTTGTTATACTTTTTATTGATAGGTACTCTCTCTTAGATTATTATAATAATATATTACTGTCTCTAATTGGAATAGTTACCTGATTATGAGAGTTTTATCTGGTTCAGAAAATTTAGGTCTATTTATAATTTTTATTATTGTATTCTGTGTTTTTCGTACTGAATTGAAATTGTTGTCATACACTTCTCCCCAGGCTATTATTCCATACTTTATAACATTATAAAAATGCAAAATACACTTGGAATGTACAATAAACATACGCACAAAATCTAAATTTAACGTAGGAATAGCGTCGTCTTTCATCACATACTCTCAGATTGATAAAGTTGGATCGAATCCACCCGAGCTTAGATGATGGAATGCAACTAATTAATTATTTAAGCCAAGCATTAATACGGTACGGGGAAGATATTTGTATCGCGAGATAGTATAAAATCGAGGGAGCAAACCAAGTGTTTAAAAAATGTTCTAATCGCGGCGAAGCCGTATTCGAGTTACGTGCGTATACGACGCAACTGCGGGATATCCTTTCTGCTGACACGAGACCCATGTGCTAGGACTGCTAGGCCGATATATCGAGAGCAACACGGCTGCTATACGGCTGTTTATAGCCGTATTCGATTTAACACGTGCAAAGGATACTCAATCCGTAAATAGGTAGTATACGCGCGAGGGAGCTCTTCCGCTATACAGAAATACCCTCTAATGCTCCCTGTATGTATGACTGCATGAAAGTCTATACAGCCGGAGACACTATGCAGTTGTATAGCCTGCCCCACACGGGTTAGCGATAACTAAAAGCATAGTATCGCAATCATAGTTGAAATTTTAGTAAAATATGATTATTAACTTACGTTAATAATTTATGAATTATGGTAATGAATTATGCTATCTAGTTAATAAATTAAGAATATACTTATGAATTAAAGATCTTATTATACACTGTAAAAATTAATAACAAAATTATAAAGAATCTGTTTGCAGGTGCGTCGTCTACAACCTATTTAACTATTGAGTGCCACCTGCACGTAACTTGTATACGTCTTCGCTAAGGTTATAACATTTTTTACAGCCTAGTCGGACGTATGAGGGCATTTACGTGTAGAGGACCCTCAATCCCTAAATAGGTGACGTACGCGCGGGTAAGACCCCAGCCGTATGAGCGGCCAATACGGTCGAGGAGCATTAGGGTGCCGTATGAGCGGCCAATACAGTCGAGGAAAATTAGGAGGTTATGTTCTCCTAGACCATATTGGCTTCATACAGCCGGGGATGATTTACCATCGGTCGTATATTGGCTAATCATACAGGGCCAATGTTTGTAGAACAGACTAGTAAAATAGCATTTTTTTGTCTGTCAAAGTAGTGTCACACAGCGTAAGCTGTCAGTTTTAATCGACTTGTGCATGTTCGCTGAACATAGTGTTTTTATCAAATATTCTGAAGTTTACATAATAGATATGAATATGGAAGCAGATGCAATTTACGATGCTAGTAGTGATAGTAGTGAAAGTGATGTAGAATGTGATAATCAATAATAATCTATAAAAGAATGTGTGTATTGCTGCGCCGTACGCCATCGTTCGTGAATTAAGTGTCACCTGTACGCAAATACCCTCATACGTCCTCTGCCTAAACTGTAAAATTTCTTAAGTGCCATGATCGTGCTAAGCAGGAAATGCTATAGGATACGGCATGGGAAAGATATTTGTACTATTCCGCACTACAAACATCTTCCCCGTACCGTAATAGTACATTACGATACAAGTGCGGGAAAGTAGATTCTTGCCTCGTGTAGCTTTTACGCCCGAGCGAAGCGAGCAGCGCCCTGACCTTCGGTAAATCCATAAACATGGCCGTTCGATGAAAAACCTGCCTTCGCAGTTGGTGGCGCGCGTCGATCGGTCAGTCGGCCGCCAACATTGCATTGATCACCGACGCGTTCTCGAAATATACAGCTCGCTCGACGATACAATTCTTGTGCAACAAGACATCAGCAATTAGTCGGGGCTCCTCCTGATAGTGCTGGCTTAGTCTTTGGAAGAAGAGACGCACGACCGCCATGTTGTCAAAGGTTCCGATGTCGACGGTGCGCTACAGCGGATATTTTTCGTCGATGACGATTGAGAAAATATTGGCGGCGGCTGCCAACAGCACACCGATGGCATCGGTCAGACTGTTCGCACTTTACCATCAATAGCATCGTTATTTGCCCCATGTTATCCTAACAATTAATGTCCGCGCCAGAGTTGTAGATAGAGTAGGTCGACGATCTCTACGTAGCCTCATGCGGATATATAGTACAGCAAATTGTCTTCGTTGCAATACCATTGTCGACAGACGTCGGAGCTCCTCAAAATAGTTCGCACCGCCTCGATGCGAAGCAGAAAAGATGCTCCTCAAAATGGCACTGGCCATCGCTTAAAAGAACGTGCAAGTAACATATTCATTAATGAAAATAGTATTAGCGCAGTAAAAATTGTTATAGCATATGTCGCGTGAGAACATTTAAATTAAAAAACTGTATGCGATTAAGCTACGTTTAGCCCACCATTTGCCAAACTTAATGCAAAAATCTAGATTAAATTATGGGTTTTATCGATAAAGGGCTATATCAACATATGGAGTAAAAAAAACTATTTTATCGATAATTCGAAAAGGGACTACTGAGGCTTTCGATTCCAAAACGAGCTATCTCGATAGATGGTTCAATAAAGGGCTATCACGAGGGTCCAACTCATCCAATCTTTAACTAGCTTCTGACTTATGGTCTCTATACGGTTCCTGTTACTAATAAAACGACACAATTCAACAGATTCCTTATAGCGTTTTGAATCGATAAAGTAATGATGAGTATAAACTTATAAAATTACAAAATATTAATGAATTTGATTTAATTTGTGTGAGAGATGCCAGGCAAATTTCATACAAATACTGACGACAGCAGTCAAATCAAAATTAAATCGATGTAACTTGATTTTCAGAGTTATGATTTTATTGAAGGTCTTCTAAGTGCAAAACTGAAGGATTTATTAGTACGTATACTGAGGAAATAAGTTCATTGATTCACTGAAAACGCAATAGATTCATAAAATGAGTTCATCGTCGGCAATCCATTAAATATTTTAATCAAATGAATTTGTTTGTTGGTAGATGCAAATATATAATCGATTGATGCAAATATTAATATATTATTTGCAACAGTAAAATTTATTTTCTTTACAAAAAATGTTTCTTTGAATGAATACAGTATTATTACAACAAACGTCCAATTCATGAATATGAGCATAGATTTCTTTTAATTAATCTAATACTTAATTAACTTAATCGGATATTTCATTAAAATAACGAAATCTTGAATAGGAAACAATTGTTCCTTTTTAGAATTTATCAAATGTCTAAACAGTTATATTAAATCATCATCGACCGAATCATAACAATACCGACATTCTTCTTTGTATTAAACCTGCATGTAACCAGCATAATAACATTTTCCATTGAAAAGACGACATATTTGTTTAAATTGAATTAATATCATCATATTGATATGATACCCAACCAACGAAAATATTTCAATATAAAATGTTAAATTTTAAATATAAAAGCTTTTTCTTTAAATATAAAATGTTAATTCAACATCATTGTAACTTCTCTAAAATAATTCATTTTTGCAAAAATGTTGTGTGAATGTTAATCTCTACAAAAAAAAAAATAATTTGTCTAACATTGAGAAAAGGTTGTAGCAAGATTGAGTCTCTGTTTCACGTACTTGTTATAAAATATGTTGTAGAAATGTTAGGCAAAGGCTGCTTCTCAAAATAAAAAATTATAACTAGCATTCTAGAAACGTTTTGGTAACATTACTATGCAAACAAAGGCAGACATTTTGAATGTTGTGACAACATTTATTTAACATTTGTGTTTGGTTGCCGGAAATGTTGTAGATGTTGCAAAACGGAAGTTTTAGTAATATTTTTTAAAATAATTCTTACTACTTGGGACATTGTTTCATTGAAATGACAAATTTTTTTTTATATTTAGTACATCAAACTAAAATACAGATTTATATGGCATTGCAGTAAGTTATATACAGAAAACTATAGATATAGGTGTAATACGATAACAATATGATGTATGGTTGTCGGTTTCATTACAAGATTTGCTTTTGTGACAAAGTCAGTGAGGTTTTGATTGCTAGATTATAATTTGTGCAGAAATTCAATAATACATTTACGAGCGCTTACATTTAGGGTCGATAAGAATTCTGCAGTACAGAAAGAAGGATAGAGTTTGATTTTGTGTAAATCTGTGAGAAGTTTGGTTCTTTACGCGTTAAAAAAATCGTTGAACATGCTAAACAAATAGGATCTGGTTCATATCTTGTTCCCGCATTTATAGATAGGGCTGGCTGCAATGTTCATCCTAGCTAATAGAAGCTGCTATATTATAATAGTTAGCCCTTAGACAATTTCATGTTGCAATTCAAATGCTTTTCAAGCTATTAGTTTTAAACTAAGGTGTTTGGCAATCTCGATATAATTTTTCAAAAAACATAACGCCTTTTGTTTGACCTTGATTTTTAATAATATTATCAGTTTCAGTTTTAGCTTGTTTCTTAAAAGTTTCACGTAGGTAAGTGAATGGAATTTTGGCTACGTTAAAATCATTAAGTTATGTTGCTATTTTAGCTAACTGATCAGCTGTTTCATTTCCTTGGATGCCTCGATGGGCTGAAATCCAAAAACATTTCACATTGGTGTGGTGATTATTATTGTAAAAATCTAAATATTTTTGTTTCATGTCTAGAATATATCTATTTGTTTTTATTCTAATGGTTTTGGACTACACCGACATGAAAGCATTCAAGGAATCTGAAAATATATTGACTTTGCGATCTTTATGTAGGAGAGCAAATTCCACAGCGTCATTTAGTGCTATGTATTCGGTGGTAAAAACGGAGGAGTTGGAATGAATGCATTTCAAGACAGAAACATTTACTTCAGGACAAGTAAAGGCAGTACCCACTCCCTCGGGAGTTTTACTTCCATCCATGAAGACCGCCACAGCATTGTTATGTGCAAGAAAACAATTGAATTATTTTCCACGTTATTAGAATTTTGTAGTTTGGTGTCAAAAGTGAGATCGATTGGTATTTGGATCGTTATTAGATTAAAATTGTCGATGTAAATTGTGGATTGGTTTTTCATGTCTATTAATTTGGATAGAATGAAGTTGTCGGTTATACATTTTCTTAGTATGGACTTTGAACTTGTTTGTAATTTCTGATTTATGCAGAAGAATTTTGTTACGCTATCTCTATCTCTGTATTTTCGTTCGATAAAATTTTGACTAAGTTGCAATTGCATAACAGTTTTGATCGGTCTTGGAATAATTTTTTTATTGTTAAAATCTAACATTGTGATTTTAACGACCGAAAGTGTAAGATTTGAATAAATTTCGTCCAATGCTTTTTATCGCATTTTCAATTATTTTTTAATAGTTCTTAAAGTCATAATACACATTTTTCGCATGTACCGAATGCATGAGGCAGTTCCGTGATCCTTGAACAATTACACAGGTATCAACAGTATTTGATACTGCATATACGCGCGCTGGTCGACGTGGTAGCGTTTCGTCGTCACATTTTCTATCACACTTTTGAATCCCATAGGTTTTTTTTTTCATTTATACGAATCCTAAGCTTTGTTAAAAATACTGATGTGCATTACCAAACAATAATAACGAAACGATAATTTTTAACCATTTTCATAAAATTGAATAAAAATATTTTATTTGGGATTCTTTGAATCAATAAAATATTGAATTAATAGAATGAAAAGTATTCTACTAATTTAAAAAATAAATATTTACCATTATCTACAATAAGTTATTTTATTACTTAAACCGGACCTTACTGTTTTTGTTTACATCAATTTCCTAACTCAATGAAGTAGTTATAGAATGTATAATTAATTTAAAAAAATACAATAATTCTTCCTTATGGCAATTGAATATTTCACCAAGGAGATCGGACGTCAACAAAGCAGTTAAGTTTGTCTTATCGTCAATGTTATGAAAAAGATTATTCTTATTCTCGTTTGCAGAAATTCTTTTGTAAAACAAAAGACTGCACCTTATACCATTGATTAAACACATTATTAATTCCAGAATGTCAAATAAAATATTTTTGTTCAATTTTATGAAGATTGTTAAACATCATCACCTTGTGATTATTATTTCGTAATTAACAGCAACAATCCTAATAAATTTTACGATTTATGTAAATAAAACAATTATGGGATTAGTGCTATAACACAAAATCTATTCGACGAGACGCTACTACCTCGACCACAGCGCACATAAAGTACTAAAATGTTGAAACTAATATTAAAAAGTTAGTAATGGGCTAGAGTTCTACGATAAAAGCGAATTCAATAATTGAATCAGATAAATTCAATTGTTGAACCAATCTAAGCACAAATATTTGTTTCCATTGTTACGTTTTTTGAATTCATGAAATATTCAATCTGTTTCAATTATTTTATTATCTATACGTTTAACATTGTAAACTGAAAGTTTGCTTTAAGTATTTTATTCATCGGAATCCTATTCATTCACATTCATTCATCTACCCCTTTTAATTATTATTAATTGTCAACTAATAAGTGGCATTACCAGACGCAAATCTTTTACAATGTAATCAAGATAATATTATAACCACTATACTTTATTAGCAGGACAATTCTTTTATTTTGTTTTTATTTTCAATTCACACGATTACTTTAGTTTCATCCGAGTTTCAGCGCGTAAGCGTTGGCTCAAAAAGAGTATTCGTTAAAATTATGTTTCATACTTTGACTAGCACGAATGCCCCGGAAGGTGTGTTTGAAAACCAATTTTACTCATTAATCAATGTAGTATTTAAAGAATATTTAATTTAATTTTTTTCTTGGGATATTTGAATAACAATTTATACTATTGAATTTATATAGTATATTTGAAATATTGAAATTTTACAAAATCGATTAATTTTGTAACAAAATATTGGTTATTTGTGACTTAAATTAGTCTCACTGATTTTGAATATTTAAGATTTTAAGAATTTTCTTTTCTTTCAATTTTAATTTCTCATAAAGAATATTTTATATATATATATATATATACATCGATATATATACAATAACGGAAATGAAACAAACTTTTAGGTTCAATAAATCGATAATCGTTGTCGACGTAAATATAAAAAAAAAAGTAATAATCGTCCAAGTGTTTATTTTTTAGCATTCAACGTCTCACAGGCGATTCAACCTTTGCACGTCATCGTAATCTAGATAATTAATTATTGTATAGACAACGAGGTGAATCTGATTGTTGGATAATCCTAAAATTTTGCATAGTACGAATGCGGCGTTTTGTATCATTTGAACTTTTGGAACAATCTTGTTAAGTCGCTTTTGCAAAATACCGAAATAATAAAAATTCGAGTGGGACTTTTTATTGATGCTAATCAATTTTGAAAGTAACGCGGGACTGAACCTACAGCGTTTCACTATTGCTTCTTCGGGCTTAGCCAGAATTGTAAACGTGGTTATCGTATCATTAATACTAATGTTGTTCATTTTGTCGAGCTTCTTTAAACAAGAATCGAAATAAGTCATGAACATCTTGTGCGAAGCGATGCTGCTGAGTAAAATACTAGTCGGTGGCTGGCCGAGTTTGTGGAGGATCGCCAAGTGCGCGAGCAGCGTCTTAACGAAATCAAATTTTCTTCTTTTTTTGACAATGTCGAAAACCGTGTTCCTCGGCGTGTCAGCCAGCTTGCAATTTCCTCCGTATAAAAAGAGCAGCTGCACGACGCGATCGTGTTGTTTGATGCACGAGTTCTTGGCGTACAAGTAGTACAGCGGCGTCAGCCCAGCAAAATTTCTAACATTGACTTCGGCGCCGTTCTCGAGCAGAAACTGCACCATGTCTACATTTTTGACGTACATCGCATAGAAGAGAGGCGTATTGTTGAGATTGTCGAGTGCGTTTACGTCCATTTGCAAGTTTTCCAACTGTCTAGCTACGTCCGGATGCGTGTTCGAAGCCAAATAGTGAAGTGCAGTCTTGCCTTGCCAGGTTGTCGCGCTGAAATCGACACCCAACTCCAGCAATATTCTAATGGCTTCGGCGCTTCCCTGTATCAGCACCGTAGTCAGCTGCATGTGCCTTCCGTTAATGTCGAGCTCGGTCAGCTCGGTCTTTTCGTCGACCACCCGTCGGATAATCTCGGGCTGCTGAATCTTGCGAATGCAATAATGGTTGTAATAAAACAAAGGAATGCGTCCCTTGAAGTCTTTGGCATTGACATCGGCGCCGTACTCGATCAACAACTTGACGTTTTCGAGGTCCATCAAGTGTACAGCTGCGTGGAGTGCGGTGTGGCCCAGCCGAGGATGGCGCTCGTCGACGCAGCATCCCCTCGCGATCATGATCCGCAGTATCGAGGGCTTGCGCAGAAGAGCGGCTCGCTCGAGCGAACATTCGGCTGCCAGCAGTTTTTCAACTATCAGAGCGTCGTCATTTCCACACACGGTCGCGAGCTTCTTCAGAAACATTTCCGTCACTTCGATCACTCGGAATGATTTACTGTAAAGAACTGTCTGCAGCGCGTACGCGCCCACGTAATCCGCTGTAAACATATTCGCGTTCGCCTGCAGCAGCACCTCCACCGTCTCTGCCGAAATGTCGTCTTGATTGTTCGATACGGCCAAAAGCAGCGGCGTTCGTTTCTGCGCGTTTTGAGCCTCTACGTTCGATCCTTTATCTATGAGGTATTTCGCTATCGCCGCATTGCCAAATTGAGCCGCGTAATGAAGTAAAGTGGCCTCTAAAAAGTCCCTCGGTCTGATTACATCCTCATTTTCTAAAATCGCCCGGACCTTAGCATTGTCTTTAGTTTCGATGTAATACAACAATTGCTTGTCGAAGTGGATTTCACCATGGTCATCGTTCAGCTTGAACGACAAAAATTGTTTCCAGTATTCACAATATTCTCGATAAGAGCGAAAAATTAAAATTAATTATCTACTTACGAGCGTCATCATTCAATGTAGTCATTGGCGCTATGATATCTATGCAGTCATATGCATATCAATAGTTGTGTACAGTTGGAATAATAATATAATTTCGATTATAAAATGCTTACATAAACGACAATTGTCAGTCAACTCGAACTTGATATTCAGATTCCTTATATTTTACAAATGTTAAAGCAATTAGAAACATTTACATTTCTAGAACAACACTGAAAATCCTATATCGCAGTACAACAATTATAATTTGGTTAAACTTTGTTGATTATATAATCGCTGAGAAGTTGGCATGAAAGCACACTTTGACAAAATTTTAATCGAGTTATTTCAGTTGAATGTGTCTTTATAAAACTATTAACAGTGAGATTGTAATCAGCGAATTTATGAAGCTTAGAAAAAAACTTGACTTCACAATGGCACTCGTATCACGGCGTGTGTTTGGGTCAGTACTAAATGGTCGAAGGATGATCTTGGAGAGATTAGCACGGCTTAAAATTAGTCCGCTTGCGTAGACTGGAACAAGGGGCCTGAGTTTAAGGAAAATATTGAGACAGTATAATGTCTTAGGTTAAACCTCTCGACGGTAACAGAGGTGCAATTATGGTAAATATACCTGCCCAACGACAGTTTGATTAAAGGACGGGGGGCTACTCTTCTCAGTGGCGTAAACTCAATTCCACAGCTTATGGCGTCGATTCGTAAAAATTTGCACCGATGAATTAACTTAAAAATTTAACTTTATATTATTATTAAGTATATTTTACGAGCTCGGATGAGAAAGTCGAGATGTCTCGCCACTTTTAGGCAATAGATATAACAAGACCCCTCATTTCCGCACGTTAGCGGTCAAGTTCCGAAATGAGTCAAGAATAGCGTTGGGCATCGGAATACATATCTCTTTGCGTTTATCTGTCGTCATCGTCGATTAAAGTCCAAGCGTTTCCTAACTAACAGGCTCATCGCTGCTAGATTGTTTAATCTCATGCCACGCTCCGAGCGGTCAACGATTGCCTTCGCTACAATCTCGTTGTTTTCGCAATGCATCTCGAAGGTTCGGTATATGTATTACGACGTCGCGCGTTCGGCTCGGCCCTGTAAATCGACGCATGGAGGGAGGTACATCGGTGGGGATCGTTCGGGCGGATGCTACGTCAGGTGTCTGTTTACGAGCTAGGACAGCGGCCGCTGTCTCGATCATACCGCCGAGAAGAAATCTTGCCAAGTTGTTTGGTGCGACGTTCAAGTCGAGATCTTATCAGCGACGAGGTAGGGGTTCGCCCGGCGAAAAGTTAATTCCCGTTTATCCGCTCTGGGCCCGTCTGCCTCGGTCACCGAGATCGTTCCAGCGTGAGCGACCCAGTCCCGGGACACTGCGAAGCCCGGACTCCTCGAGCGACGAGGGATAGCAGACGAAGATTTCAAGCCCCACGCAAGATCGACTCTGGCACACGGAGCTCGGAGAGCGCGCGGACCGCGGCACGCGTATACCTGCAGCTACCTCTCGACAATAGCAGCGCTCATTCTTTCGCTCTTCTCCGGCTCTACTTTATCTCGCCTCTATCTTCCTTTCTCTGGCGCGCGCGCGCGTATCCTTTGTTTCCTCCGTCTCGCTCTATTTTTCGCGCAGCTGTCGTGGATGATTATCCAAGTGTATTTTACGGATTCGCCAGCTGTAACGGCTCTCGCTCTCTCTCTCTCTCTCTCCCTCGCTCTCGTGTCACATTTACGATTACGGCACGACGGCTACCTGACTTTCCGGCCCGGCCGCTCATTTATTTGCCAATAGTTGCAGCGCGGCGTAAGCTCGGCCGGGAATACCGCTACTTGGCGCGTGTACCGCTAACGAAATTTCATTGAAATCTCTCGCGCTGCTGCGATGTACGATTGCGCGCGCTCGGCCGACGTGGCGGCCAATAACAGCCTAAACGCCCGTCTACGTGTACGGCAACGCTTAATCGAGGCTCGCGCTCGCGGCCGTCTGCGCGCAGGATCGCCCGAGGGCGCGGCATCGATAACGGGCGACGCGCTCGCGCGTACACGTCCCGGTTTCTCGCGCGTTGCAGAGGAGACGTTCGAATTCGGATACTCGAGGCCTTATCGCAATGGAAGCTTCGGCGAGGCGGATCGACTAGACAACGCGTAACAGGCGGGTTCGTCCGAACGAGGAAAAGTATCGAATACCAAAAATAAAACCAGCCTCGCGTCGTTCTCATCGCGTGCTCGGGCATAGAATAAGGAAAAGCCGCTTATACGCATAGTAACTCGCGTGGCGAGTGACAGCCCACATGTGTATTCCTTAATTCCCCGGTCCATCGCATAGCTGAAAATCGGTGTCAGCATTTTGCGTGCGCTCTCTCTCTCTCTCTCTCTCTCTCTCTCTCTCTCTCTCTCTCTCTTCTTTCTAGCGCGCACAGAAGAGCGAGAGAGAGAGAGAGAGAGAAAGAGAGAGAGACGCCCTGGCGTAGAGAATCAAAGAACTAGAGTGTGCGCGAGGCAGGAGGTGGGGCCTCGTTCGGCGGTAATCCGCAGATTCCCCTCGCGCGCGCACACACACACACACACACCCATACGTTCGCGACGTATTCCTTCTCCTCTCTCTCTCTCTCTCTCTCTCTCTCTCTCTCTCTCTCTCTCTCTCTCTCTCTCTCGCGCGCGCGGTCGTCTTCTTGTTGTTCCTCTCGTCTGCGCGCGAGGATGCTGGGCCGAGCGACGACCCGTGCCGTTGGCTTTAGTCCTGCGTCAGCCTCCTCTGGAGACACACACACATGCGCGCGCGCGCGAGCGAGCGAGAACTTCCTGGTGAGAGAAAGAGAGAGCGAGATAGAGAGAGAGAGGGAGAGAGAGAGAGAGAGAGAGAGATTCCTTGAGGCGACCTTCGCTGCAGTGTCGGTGTGCGCGCGCGCGATTTGTGCAGGTTTTAGAAAGGGATCGGCGGCGGCGAGATGGACTCCGGTATGTGGGCTCGCGGCGCGCGCTCTCCCGAGCCAGCCGCGGCTGCGCTATCGCGCTATATTGTGTATTACTGCCAAGTGCCGAGAGCGAGTGGAGCGCGCGCGCCAAGTGCCGGGGAGAAGGTGCATTAACTCTCTTTTTCCTCGATCAGCTCGCCGAGATAGTTGCCGTCCTCCGTGACGCGCGTACACCTTCTCTGCCGATAGTCTCCCGTCGACGGCGCCCGCCCACTTTCCACCTCGTAAGTATATGGGAAAAGCGTCGCTTAACGAGAATATCGCTCGCGCGTACACCGTGCCGACGCAGAGGAGCTCGCCCGACAGACGCGCGATGCACCGAAGTTACGTAACGCGCCGGAGTCGCGCCGACTCGGGGACGGGGGAAAATTCGCCGAGTTCTCCCGCGCTCGCGACGTGGTCGATGAGTGGTCGACGAGTGGTCGACGAGTGGTCGACGAGTGGTCGTCGGCTGAACGACGAGTCCCGTGGGGAGAGTCGAGGAACGCGCCGGCCAATCGGTCTGAACTTTGACCGCATTCCGCGGGACATCGCACCTGCACGCGCGCTCCTCGAGGCTCTTCCGAGGCTCGGTCGGAGAGCGAGTCGTCGTCCGACGAACGTGTCGCGCTCCGGTCGCAGTGATGAACGAGTCCGCGCTATGTCGCAGGCGTACGTGCAGGCGGTGCGCAACAACCGCGGTGACCTGCGGGTGGCGTTGGCCGAGTCCAAGCGCCAGCTGTCCAGCACGCAGCAGCAGCAGCAGCAGCAGCAACAGCAGGGCCCCCGAGTGGTGCAGCACACGACGAGGTCGAACAAGGTCGTCGACACGGAGAGGACTCTGGAGCGCAGCGAGCTCAAGCAGGACGGCCAGATCGTCACCGAGAGGAAGACCACCGTCGAGCACGAGGAGGTACGTACGACGCGCGTGCACTTTCCCTTGTTGCGCGCGACCTGTGGATCGCGAGCCACGTGCCGCGCGCCCCTAGCGACGCGCACGTGTGTCGTTCCAACTCCCCCGAGTCGATCCATCCGCGGCCCGGTATACCCACATGCAAAAGCGCAACGCACGCCGGATCGATCGATCGAGCGAGCGAGCGAGCTCAGTGACAGCCGCGAAAACTTTCTCCGCGCGCGAGATGGCGACGTGTACGCGAGTTATTTTGTCGGGCCATTGTTGTCTTGACGGGAGATCCGCGTCGAAAAGGGGAAACGGCGCTCGGGGCTCGCGAGCCTTCGCCGCGTTTCACTTCCTGCGCTCCTGGAAATCGAGCGACGGCGGCGGCGGTCCACCGAGGTCGAAAAAGACGAATAAGAAGAGAGGAGAAAGAGCGCGGTCGTCGACCAATCGTCGACTATACGCCGAGGGAAATCGCGGCGTGATCCTTTTAATCGCGAAATGACGAATGACGAATGACGCGCCGACGCGAGCCGATATGGCGATTTATGGCGCTAATTATCGCGAGCCTCTCGATATTCATCATCGCTCGCGAGCGCACACAGCAGGCCCGCGACGCGGTGCAGCGCGGCGCGCTAGGCTTATTAAAAATTTGCGCTTTAAGTGCTTTTCAATGTTTACCGGTCGCCGCGCATTTTTATGTCCGCGAGCACCTCGTCGCGCGGAACGTTTAACGCCGCTTCTCCCCTCTCTCCCTCGCGCGCTCCTTTTAATCACTGGCCGAACGCCTCTCAACGCGGTAAATAAGTGAGTCGCGGGCACGCGAAGCGTCGACATGTTCGCCAGCCGCGTTTCTTCTATTCCGATTCCCCTCGGGCGCGCGACGAGCGCGGGAAAGTTATTTTCTCCTTCTTGCCTCGCGAACTCTATCATCGCGCTGTGGCACTGCGCGCGCACGACGACCGTACGCGAGGCGCGTACCCGAGGCGCGTACCCGAGGCGCGTACCCGAGGCGAGGCGTGGAAACTCATTTGAATTGCATTCGCAGCCGTGTCGGCGTGCGCGCTGCACTCGTGCTGCGATCAGCGCGCAACTCATGAATATGCGCCTGTCGCTAACTCTATTTTTCCGGCGATGACCCATCGCGCGCTGCCGACTCGTCGTGGCGCGATTTCCTCTCGCTCGCATTGATGGGCGGCGTTCTGCTTACCGCGCAGATCAAGGACGACGAAGCTCCGAGGGAAGAGATAGACGGCGTGCAGCGCGACGAGGTGGACGAGGCGCGCGAGGTGCGCAAGGAGGCGACCCAGCGCTACGTGAAGCGCCGCGACGAGGACATCGTCGATTACGTGGCGAACGGCGGCGAGCGCGTCACCCGAGAGATGCGTTACGTGTCCGAGACCACCGAGGCCGAGCGCACTGGCGACTGGCCCAGCGAGCCCATGCCCGGCTTGCGTCCCGGACGGCTTCGCAGCAGCCAGCACGGTAAGTGGGCCTCTCTCCCATCTCGTAGACTGGCTTTCATTAATCAGCGCTTTGACTGCTGTTGCTCGATCGACTTACTAAGAGCCTGGTTAACCCCCTAATCCTTTGAAATATCGCTGTTTACTAAACGTTACTCCGGTGACAATTTCGCAAAGCGACGTTGTAACGCGAGAGCAATTTTCGTAATGACGCGTTCGCGCGATATGCCCAGCACCATGAGGATCGGGACGCGTAAAGTCCGTGTCAGTGCCAGAGTGGGCCAACCAGACGCACCAAAGTCAGAGAGCAAAGTAACACGAACGAGAAAAAACACACATACTCGCGCAATGCACAGGCTTCACGACGGAAACCCATCAGCAAAATCACGCGACGACGACCGCGGCTGCGGCGGCTGCGGCGGCTGCGGCGACTGCGGCGACTGCGGCGGCGGCGCGTAAAGACGCGCTGACTCGTAAGCCCCTCGACCTGGAGGAGGAGGACGAGGCGCGCAAGTTCGAAACCTGCAAGTGGCTGGAGTCGCACTTCGGCAGCGAGTCGCGCTCGTCGCACGGCTCGCTCGAAGACGAGGAGCACCACCGTCGTCACCACAGCACCAACACGAGTTACATCAACGTCACGATGAAATCGGTGCCGACCACGGCGAGGGAGCACTACAAAGAAACGACCACGACTACGACCACGACCAAGCAACAGAGGCGCACCACCACCAACGGGGCTACCTCGCCCAGCGGTTACTTTCAGGGTATCAGCGAGTGGTCCGAGAGATACCAGTCCACTGGTGCGTTTCAGATTCTCTCTTTCCTTTCTTTATATCGCGGCGACATTCCTTGTGCGCTGGACGAGGCTGCCAATATATTTGGGACGCGCGCTCGTTACCGCACTACGCTTCTTGCGTATTTTTTATTTTTTTTGCCAATTGTTTTTTCGCCCATCAGCACTCGCATACGAGTCACTCTCTATTGCTATCTATCCGGAGGACTCGCGCGATCACGCGATCAAACATGTGTAGGTTTCTCTTTTTATTTTTATTTTGTTTAATCTGCACTAATCACGCATATAAACGCTTAATTTGCATACATAATCAATTACGATAATAATACGTTTAATGAATTTTAATAGACTTGAATAGGTTGCGTGTGGCAACCTTAGGTTGATTAATATTATACATGCCGAAGAAAACATAACGATGCTAACTCGCGTCATACCAAGCAACTCAAACCTATTGTTATTGTTATTATTTTAATTGACTTGAGTCGATTCTAACGTAATGCATCCGGAAAATGCACGCGCGCCATTCTCAATTTCCAACCAATTGCAGCGAAGCAAAACAATCACGTCCGGCCGAGATCCCCGCAATACACAATGGACTCGATGCGCGAGGCGAGCCGCAGCAACGGGCATCATCATCAGCCGTCGTCGGAAGGCTTGCAGCGCAGCAGTAACCAGCAGCAGGCGTACACGCGCAGCTACGAGGTCTCGCGTCGCCATCAAGAGCAACGTCACTCGCCCCCGTACGACCGGCCCAAAGTCGAGCCGCCCTCGCCTCCGCTCAGACGGAAGGCCAAGGAACAGGTGGGATCCGCTGCTCCGCTCTCTTGTGAATTTATAACGGCGAGCTCGGCCTCTTTTCGTTCGCTCGCCTTGGCAATTTGGACTTGGTCTGAAGAAACCACGGGCAATTTATTCCGATCGCTCGCGCTCGCGACGATGACGCTTTTTTTTCCCCTAAGCGTGGGTGGGGTCGAGAATGGAAGACTTGGGCTACGCGCGCGACCTATTATTAGCCGTGATTTTAATCGACAGAGCGAGCGTCACGGCGATCATTGGGAACGAGAGATTGTTCTGTGAAAATTAAAAATTCAAATGATTGACGACCGTGAAAATGTTTGTTGGCAGGTAATAACGACGAAAACGGAGCGCAGTTACCATCAAGAATCGGTGCCGCGAGCAGGTTCGGTGGAGCGCGCTTCGAGTCCAGTTCACGTTGTGCAACGCACCTGGGAGAGTCGCAGCCGCGACGAGCGCGATCATCACGAACGCCGTGAGCGCACGAGAAACGGAGAGCTACGCTCGAGCTCGCGGCGACATCGCCATAGTCCCGAGCGCACCAGGCACAGGCCACGAAGTCCTGCTTCGAGATCTGTTTCGCCTTCACCTGTCAGATCGTCACCTGCCAGAAGGGACGACAAGGAGAAACATTCCAGACCTTCCAAGTGTGAGTTACGAGCACGACTTTGTCGGCAATTTCAAAATCAGACCATGGCGTCAAGATTCACAATACAGTAGAGCAGCTTTGATTTTGGCGCGAATGAAATCATATTGGGGGGGGGGGGGGGGGACGAAGGCCTGTTTATATATTAGAAAAAAAATGTGAAAAAATAGTAGAGCGCCGGAACGATGACTGTTTTCAAATATTGAGTTGAATGGTCATCCAATTGTGTCGTTGTCGATATTTGGAAGAACGACATAAACGAGGTTTTTCAAAAGCCGTAATCGACACAGAAACGATAGCGTCTCGTTTCTAGTTCCTTCGATCATCACGGCAGAACGGCGTGACGTAGAAAACGTGAGCAATAATTTGCCATTACAGCGCCAAGCCCGTCCAAGTACAAGATCGGCGAGTCGTTCCGCAAGCTAGTGGGCAAGCTACGCTCGGCGAGCTCCGAGCGCAAGAACGGCAAGCGCCCAGGCGGCAGCAGCTCGACCTCCCAACTGACGCAGACCGACGACGGTTCGTACGTGCAGTACAACTCCGTGGACCGCAACGTGCCATTAGGGCCGGACTACGACGCCGACGATCGAGCGCCCGAGCGACCGCCCGAGCGACCGCCCGAGCGACCGCCCCGATCGCCGCGCAACAACCTCGCCACGAGCGCCGCCAGCCACGTGATCAACGTCCGCGAGTCGCCGAAAATGAGCCACGCCGGCAGCAAGTACCGGAGCAGCAGCAGCCCGCGCCAGCACGAGTACAAGGAAAGCACGACCGTGAGCTCGCACTCGAGGAGCGAGCAGCCGATTCACAGGTATTACTTGGGGGAGGATCCGTACGGCGGCAGCATCTACGGCAAGGAGAAGGGCTACAGGGAGACGAGGCTGCACACGTCGAGACATCGCGGCAGGCCCATCGACGAGGTCGATTACAGGTAAATCCATCACTACTGCCTGTCTCTCTTCCGACCGCTCTTCCGACCGCTCTTCCGACCGCAGCGGGTCGGTCTTCCCCGTTTTATTATCGCCAATGCGTATAACACTTGCCTTCGACGTTGAGTCTTAACCGAGTCTTAAATGTTTTGTAACCGCGCTCGAGTACGCGCAGCAGCTTGCTATACCGATGTTAACGAGAGAGCAAAATAAACGAAAGACGAAGCGAGCCACGCTCTCACTAACCGTTTACACCTTAATACTCCACCAATTTTTATGTTCTCCGCTCTACATCTATTCCAATGCACATGCATATTTCACCGCTGTTGTTCTTGTGTGTTCTCTCTTCACGACGAATGTAATACTTTGCTATCGAAATAAATGCTCTCTTACTCAAAAAAACTACACTCAGATGCGTCCACTTCTTTCGCTCTGACCCTCGCCACACACTAACTCATCGATCGCTCTTTTTTCTCTACACTTTCTACTCCCTTCGAAGCTTTGTGCAGCTTCGCGTGGCTCGAGCGCCACGTTTGCCGACGCGCGAGAACGATCCATCGGCCGCTTTGCGTATCTCTTCGCGAAGCGAGCCGACAAGCCAAAAAGTAGCTTCGAAAAGAACATCGGCTAGCCTGGACGCTCTGAATTTCAGCATGGAGTCGAGCTCCCTCGGGCGCTTCAGCAAGTCGACCGGGCGTCTAGTCAATGAGCTGCAGAGCGAGTACGAGCGCGCCAGGGAGGCGCAGACCTTGCCGCGCAAAGCGCACAATCAGGCCTCGTCGACTCGCACGACCACGACGACGACTCGGCGCGTGACCAACGGCACGACGCCGCTCACGCCCGCGCGCTACGTCGGCGCCAGCGATGCCGTCAACGGCAATGGCTACGAGCCATCGAGGCAGTACGGCAGCATGATCAACATCTCGTTCCGTAACCAGGTGAGCCCGCCCAAGACCACGCATTACGTGCACACGTCGAGCAACGCTCAGCCACCGAAGCCCGAGAAAACCTACAAGTCGACTCTGTCGCGGAGCAAGAGCTTCAACGTCGAGATCACCGACGACGGGGTCGTCGCCGCGCCTAAGACCAGGCCCATCAACAAGTTGGACGAGACGCCACCTCTGAAAAGCCCCGGCATCTTGGCGAGCATCAGCAGGAACAACAACAGGGAAAAGTTGTTCACCAACGGCAGGTTGCATGATCACTAGCCGTCGAGCGAACAAGCCATTTCTATAAATAGTCACGAGGATAGAAAAAACGTATTAAGAGTCTTATACAGTTTCTCACTTATAATATATTTCTTTTCCCTCTCTTTAATACTTTACTTTTTTCTTTGTCTTTGTATACAGCAGAGATTAAAAAAAGACTCGTTACTATTTGACAATATCAAATTTTATAAACACTTGAGAGTTGTTGATATATATAGTTTTTCTTCTTACATTTTTTTTCTCTTTCTAGAGTCTTATATAAAATTAGGTCCTCGCACGATTTGATTTCACCTTTATCGCCATCCTCTTTACAAAACGAAGATATATACACACACACACACACACCCACCCACACACACACGCTATAAGATTTTGTAATAAATTGTATACATCTGTTAAGAGATATGTTATGTAATAATAATTAATTGAATAGTGGCTGCCATTCAAGTCAAGTGTTGTGTCTACTTGATGAAAGAATCATAATAGTAAAAAGTTCGTATGTGTATCTAGTTTCCATTAATTAAAGGATCTAAATAGATCGTAGCCTGCCATTAACCGTTTTACTACTTTATAGCTACATCGTTGCGACAAAACTTTATTTAAAATTAACAAGTTCTATTTCTCTCTTTCTCTCTCTCTTTTGTTCTCTTTGTTTAAACGTTAACAATGAAATACAAATTAATAAGTAAGCCTAAGACGATTGACAACGTAATAAAAATGTGGTTATAAAATATAATCCTGTTGTTATAATCGAAACACTCAAAGCAAATTCTCCGTTGAATCCTTTGGGGAAAAATCGACGCGCAAAGTAATATCACACATATGAATGAATAAAGCTTGCTTTGCTTGCTCAAAGCGTTAGACACGGGGAATGTGTGTACATAAAGTATAAAAAATAGACAGTCGAAAAGAAAACTGATTGCGTACACAAGAAGCAAGCGCTCGGATTGTTCCGCTTGAAATCGCTCACTTGGTCTTTCTTTTCTTACTGGGAGCAGCCTTGATCTCGCGAAGCTTCTTCACTGTCAGCACGAGGATCAACGCGTTCAGCACGTAGGTTGCTACGCAAACAACGCAGACGTCTCGAAGAAGATAAAGGACTCGGGCGAGATACAGTGAAAATAGATTTGACATGATCGAAGCGACGAGCATAAGCACGGTGTTCCAGTAGTTGTTGAACAGACCTGCAATCACGTGCGACGAGAGCGTACGGTCAGACTAATGATAATGAGTGAACGATAAGCGATAGTGTGCATTATTGTACTCACTCAGAGAGGCGACTACCGTGTAGAAGATTATGCCGAATATACTGTTCGGTAAGTGTAGAGGCGAATTCTTTGGGATTAGGCCGAATCCTTTGCCGTAGCTGAAAAAGATTGCAATTCCCCATAAGAACAAGCGTTCGATAACAAAAAAATTCAAAAAAGAGCATAAACAAATCTGAGTTGACGTAATATTCGACAATGCGACAATATTTTGCAGAGTTGCGCATCACCAGCCATTTTGGACGGTTATAGATAGGTAAAATTAAGAACAAGGTATACAGAGATATTTGACGTTTCGAGCGGACGTCAAAGCGCAAGATGGTTGCTTTAAATTTTTAGTCGTATTGAGGTTGAATGCTTTTTTCGTCGAGGTCGTATGAATTTTTCTCGGTGATCGATCGCAAGCGTACGTCCGGGTCGGAAGCAATGTTCGAAAATTTTCTCACTCTGCACGAGCGTTCTAAAATCAAGACGACACGTTGAGTGAACTCATGATAACGACAGATAAAACTTGATATAAAATATCCGTTCGAAATGCCTTCCAATCGTAAAGGAATAAAAAAAGGCCTTTCGTCGCGCTTCTAATTATAGGAAAAGCTTGTAAAGCACACTATACGTGTGTGTTTGTGTTGTGTGTGTCTATACAGAGGGGAAGGGAGGGAGCGCGGCAAAAACAAAATTCCGTAAACGAAACGCGTATACGTGATTCGCGCGGCGTAGGCGGAAAGCGACGATTTCGATTACTTGTTGCCTTGAATTCGCGCGCTCCGAAAATAATCGATCGACACGCTTGACTTTGTTACACGAGCATGGCGCATAACGTACGTCGTCGCTCGCGAATCGAACAACGCAACGATCCCCCCCTTCCCACAACGAAAGACGGATCGCTCGATAAAAATAACAATACAAAAGCTTGCTGCGCCTCTGGCACCATAAGCACGGCCCCTGAAAGCGCTCGAGCTTGAAAAATCTCAATTAGTGTAATTACCTGGGCTCGCGCGAGTAGGAGCGATCGATAAACATGCGCGTGGATGCGTCTTTCGTCGGCGAAATAAAAAGAAGTTACGTATATTCTTGCGTGGAAAGTATTCTGGAGCAAAAGCTCTTTATCGACATGTTCGAAGATGAAAAAAACAAACGGAATAGGGCGGGGGGGGGGGGGGTAAAAGCAAAGCAGAACTCACTCGGACATAAAAGCCTTGGTACAGCTGACGTGCTCGCTGATGTCGCAGAAGGGCTGGTAATCGTGGTCCTTTTCCTTGTTGGTTTCGACGACGTAGGCGTAGTAAGATATTCCAACGCCTGTGAGACAAAGCCACAAAAGTGCGGCGTCGAGCCGCTGCATGGAGTAGGTCGCCATCTTAGCCACTGACATTTTGACCGACCTCGCTGACTCGATCACTCGTCGTCCGCTTCGATGCTCCGTGCGCCGCACGCCTGTCGCTTTCCGTACTCGCGTCTCGCGCGAGTGGAGTCTAGCTTATCGCGGGACGCTCACCTCGAGAGTGCTCACAAAGGCGCTGTTGACGCGCTAGTGCGACTCGACCGCACGACTGTTGCGCGCGCCAAAACTGCCTGCCATCGCGATCGATAACCGCCGCCGCGACAATGCGCCAACAAGTGTGAGTGCGTTGCGTGCGTGTGTCGGGCTGGAGCGTGCGCAACGTCCCAATCGAACGCGCACAGCTGTCATCGCGAGTTCACCAGCTGTTTCGGAGCTCGATCGCCCGGAAATTGCTAGCTCCTCCAGCTTTTAACAAGATTGAGCTTTGTTATTCTCGATTACGCGTTTATTCGCGTACTTATGTAGAGTTTTACTTCGATTTTATTGATTTTGAGCTTACGAGAAAGGTGTTACCGTATTATTTAAAAAACGGATTTTTTGTTCAATGAAGTAAATAAACAGATATAAATTCCTTTCATCGTTATAAATATATTATTGTAAGGTTTAAGCATGCGAGTGAGTTCAATCAAAGAAATCTTATAATTTAATTTTAAATAATTTCGGACAGGTTCAATTTTTCAGTACGAAGTATCTTTATTGTCTCATCTTGATAGATCAATCAGAACGATTATACCCATAGAATTGATTAATTGTCTTGATTATTCGACAAACCATTGAAGCCTTGATTTTGTATTTTATATAAAAATTCTTTATTACTTCCGTATTGCGAATCGCTAATGTTCTTCTAACCATTTCAAAAAGTATTTAACCTGGTATTATGAAAATAAAAGTTGTTCATTAGAATATATATATAGCTAAAAGTTTTTTGCCGTACAGTAACAAACAGTTTTAATAGTGATAGCGTTGTCAGAACCATAACGGACAGACTGACTGTTATTTGTACCTCTGAATATTGTTCACCGGGAAAAGCATAATCTGAATCTCGTAGGCCGATAAAAGCCATCGATTGGTATATTTTATTAATATATCCCTTAGTCAACGGATATAGCTTGTGTTTGGCATCAAATTTTACTCCACTTTGCACATCTAGGAATGGAAAGTCGACCATGTAACCAGTACAAAATATAAAAGCGTCGGCAGTTATCGTCGAGTTATCCTTAAGGATAAGGTGATTGCCGTCAGCTGCTATAACTTGAGGAACTATTTTCCACTTTTCTAGTAATGACCAGTTACTGTGAGATGCATTGAGGATCAAATTAGTGAAATTCATTTGCTTGGAGCATGTCGAAACGTCGAAACAATGAATAATACCACTCGACTGCATGAAGCATATCCATTTGATCAATACTTTTTCGCGAACTGAGATAAATAGTTGTGGCGTATTTACTGAGATCTGCAGCGATACCGAGAGCAGAGGCCGCGCCTCCCAAAATGACCACCGTCTTGTTGGTGAACGGCTGCGGTACTCGATAGTTACGGCTGTGCAGTATTTGCCCGGGAAAAGTCTTTGTTAGTCCGGGAATCTCCGGCATGTATGGTTTGGAGTAAAGTCTTTGATAATAAATTTGACGCGTTAGTCAGATATCGTTCCACTGATTCATCTACTCACCCACTGCAAACAATTACCCCGTCGCAAATGATCTCCTCCGAGACATTCATATTCAAATTAAGCTTCTTCAAAAGCCAGCTAATTTTCCCACGTCGGCATCCATTGTGCGCGGGCTTTACTTTGGTCACGAGTGTGTTGAACTGTAAGAGAACAGGTAAGTTATTCAGCAAGCTATTTTCGCTTGTTGTTAAAATATTGGCGGCTGATATTCACCTGGATGTATTGGCGGAGTTGAAAATGAGAGGTGAAATTTCTCATGTACTCCAGGAATGTCTGGTGGGATACAAATTCGTGAATTTCGCCGCTCAAGAACGTCGGATAATCCGGATATATCATAGACGCTATCGGCGTGATAGTTCTTTATGGAAATCGATATTCGTACTTTATGCGAGCTGCCGTTTGACTTTACAACATTTTTCTAATAAATGAAGTGGAAAACTTTCGGCACCTTAGATTTTTATAGATACCACTGGGCGCTTCGATTCCATGCTCGTCCTTTTCCGGATCATCTCTGTAGATCCATAAACCACCGACATCCGAGTTTCGCTCGATGGCAATCGGCTCAAACTTGTCAATTGACTCGGACACCACTCTTAGAGCGCTCAGTCCACTTCTTCCGGCTCCAATCACGCATATCCGTTTTCTCGCAAAAGCCTCGTTGTGAAACGCTATCAGACAAAACATAGCGAATACGGACCACCTGTAATCGATAATAAATTTCCTTCTAAATTCGACTAAGTTTTACAACTGACTTTGGTGAAGTGATCCATGTGATGCTTTTCTTATCAAGTCAAAGCAGTTTATTCGCGATCAAATTAGCTGAGAGGTAGTCGCGTGACATTAGTTAGTATGTGACAAAATTACATCTGGCACAATAATTAATCAAGCAATACTTACCTTTTTGCAATCCTTGATATCATGATCGTTTCGTATTAATCTTTTTTTCACAGATGTACAAAATATTGTATTAAATATACCTAATCAACCAATACAATGGAACGTTATTTCTCGTATTAAATAATATGTATTGTCAGTCAACATCTGTCATGATAAATCACGCGGTGTTTTTTTTGTAGGACATCCTACAATAATATAAAAAACTTATAACTATATATATTACAATAAATACAAGAAACATTAGTTGTAATTTATGAAAAAAAATATTTCTCTGATCATTTCCACATATAGAGTAAAAAATTTGACTTACGTGATAAAAATATGGCAATGGTTCAGTTGTAGAATGTAGATATCTTACATTTTTTTCCTTAATAAAGCAAAAAATTGTATTTTATAGTTTTTTAACGTCTGGTTTTATATGGATATACGTAAAAAGTATTCACGAGACAGTTTATATACATATGTAGAGATATCCTCCAATATTTTTCCTCACTTTATGAGCCTAAATATTATATATTGAAGTTGTTTGAAACAGTGAGTTTATTGATGTATACTTGAGGAACAAAATGTTCTTCGTGTTTTTAAATTATATATATTAAACCACGTATGAAAGATTTAAGAGATTCTAGGGCATGTGGTGGAACGTATTGTTTTTACATATATCGTATTGTATTTACCTACACATTATCATTGAAAGAATTTTGTCAAGGATACTTCGGAAAAAAGTTCAGTTGAGATATGGAGTGATATTATCAGATTAAGTGATTTTCAACAAGCCCTCTGCAAAGCACAACTTTCTCGTACACACTACGAAAACACACTTTCCGTACTTTGTTTTGAAAAATACCGTATACATGCTTGAAAAAGTAGATTCTCCTCTCGTGTGCTTTTCCACCTTCGCTTTATTCGGGCATAAGATTGACACAACACAATAATCTACTTTCCTGGACTAATTAGGTAATGTACTATTCCAGAATATATGGGGTGTCCCTACTGACAGAACTTTTTGGGAAGTTCGTGAGAGGAAAGATAAGTATGTAGATTATTCAAACCATTATGTTTATACATTTTTATTGTTCCACCAATTTACATGGATTATAATTAATAATAACTTTATCCTTTAATCGTAACAACTGCTTGGTAAAATTTGCATCCCATATCACATGGTGCATAGTCTGTTATTATTTGTATTGTTGTAATATTTCCAGGAAGTTAAATATGAAATAAAAATATAGATATATAATTTTTAAATTATGTAAAATTTTAAGCGTGATCTGAAGATATGTTTAAAATAGCAATTAATCGTAACAAAGCAGTTTTCAATGAAAATTTCACAAATCATGCTGAGACGGCCCATAATGAACTACAATATAACGATATAGCACTGTGCAGCAAAGCAATTGAAATATTCTCACTTTGACCTTCATTAATATTCATAGCAAAGTTTTGATAATATAATGTAAGAACACGCAGATTTAATGAGTGGCTCAGTACATCTTCCACCCTGGCGTGTCATAAATGATGTCATTGAGGAATTCTACGTTAATTTTGATTTGTATATCAAAGAGCCGTTTTCACTTCTGAATAGTACATATCAGTTAGTCATCGTTGTCACGGAAACCGATAAAAGCCATTGTGGATGAATGTAGTTGATAAAGTATTTGCGCATTAGGATCAATTTATGTCTCTCGTTAAGGTCAGTGCTACTCTTTTCGCTTTCATAACGCCAGGTACTTTTTTTATTTTGCTCGGCGTCATATAGACTCTGAAACGTGTTTAAGATGAAATTAGAGAATATAATAGTATAGTAGTAGCTTCGAACAGCGACTATATATATACTTTACATTGTGCTATATATAATACGTAGTATATATTTTGTCTGCTTTAAAATGAGCGCAACCGGATTCATATGAAAGTTATGTTATTTTTTGTTAAAAAATATCACTTGTTTTTCAAGTTTCATTATCTCCAAATCTATGCGTTATAGAGAAAAATTCCAGAAAGGAAAAATGTTTGGTTTTGCGTGATAAATAATTACTATTAAAATAAATTATGGAAAAAATGTTTATTTTTTATCGTGCAATTTTTTTAAGGAATTCTTGTATAAGCGAAAAATTCAAGTAAATATTTAAAAACCATTTATTTTATATATATAATTATGTGGAAGATTTGCACCCAAAAATTCACGAATAAACTAATTTTTACCTCGAATTTTTTTTCTGTATAAGAAAATGTATTACAAAAAAAAATATATTGGTTACAATTAGGTTCTGACTTTGTTATGTATTCAAAACTACAGTTTATATATTTTAATAACAAAATAAATTTATAATGTATTATATTATTCAAAGAAAGTGTCTATCCATGTAATAGCCATATCAAAAAAGTCAGTTCATTATCTGTTCGTTTTATCTTATCTGTAGTTGTTGATATCTATTCGTGTAGATCCGACCATAGACTATACCTCCGTATGGATTCCGTGTCCATACGGATTCTGTGTGGCTGGTTGTGAAGCCGTTCTGCGTGCACTCTTCTATATGGATTCCATGCGGATTCTATGTCCGTAAAAATTCCGTGTGTCTGGCTGAGAGGCCGTGCGGATGTGCAGTATACGTGTAGTCGAATCTACACGTATACTGACTCGATTGTTACACAGATTCCGGCCGGATAAACACTTTCATATTCAATTGCCTGTACTTAAAAGTTTTTAGTTATTTCAATTTAATACATATTTTCAAAATACACAATTCTACACAAAGAAACTGTACACTTTCATAACTAAGTAAATACACTGTGTTATTTTTAGTCAAGTAAATAATAATTTATAATGAAAATTAATCAACGCAAAACTAAAATTACTTTGCGTCAAAAATATTTTATAACAAACCTGATTTAATATTTTGTTAACATTTCTTTCGATTTTATCACAATTGCACAATAGTAAGGCATTGATACGATTAGTTTTTCAATTATTTCGCTTTGTATTCTTTCTCGTAAGATATTTTTATTCCAACAATCTACGCCTACTAGCACTTTCAATACCTTTCGCAAGTGTTCGATTCAATTTAAATCCAAGAAATGACTTGGTTATTCAAAAATATTGACATTCGTTCTGAAAAAATCTTGGAGAAAACGGAATGAAAAAAAAAATTCTGAAATGTAATTTTAACAGTAAATCCTTACATGTAAAAGCAAACACTTACTTTCTCTGGAGTTTTTTTTTCTACGGTCCATAGAATCGGAGATAATAAAACTTGAAAATATATGATTTTTTTTTAAATCAACATAATTTATTATCGGCTCAACAAAAATCGTTGCCCTCATTTTAAAGGAATATCAAATACGCATCTTTTCCATTGAAATTTTTAAAAAACAGTCGAGTGATTCAAAAGTTAAAAGGTGTTTTTTGCAAGTTGAAGAAAATAACAAACAATTGGTTTGGTTTTTTTACTGTAAAAACGCAGTTTTTTATTTTGTCTTAACTTGAGTATATATGAAAAATATTATACTACCCATTAAAATGAGTCCCTGTTTATTTCTCCACAACTATTCTAAAGATACACACACACACACACACCAGCAAAATACACAGGATTTGTGAAACTGATACCATTTTTTTGTATAGTTGAAAACAATTCACGCTTTGTTTGATTTTTATTATTAATATATACTCTATTATTAATATAGTTCCAGATACTCTTATTGTCATGACCTATATTATTGAACCGTTTCCATTTATATTTATTTTGCCGTCCAGAATCACTTTACGTAAGACATTGTTAAATTTGTTGTACTCCTAATTTAGTGTCAAGTTAAATATAATTGTTCTTTGGTTATACATGAATTAATTATTCTTTTAGTAATCCAGGATTTACACTGCCTATTATTATTTTTCTTTCAATTTGTATTATTGGTAGCTAAAATAATAATATACTTAATAGTATCAATTAACCGGTTACATGCTGTATCTGGATCTTCATGTATCGCTATGGTTTTCTAATCAATATAGCTAGTAAAATTTTTTTATTTATTATAATCGATACAACTAGAATTAACACGATCCCGCAGCTTTGTATTATTAGCTTCAATATCTAATATAAGCGGATAGTGATCGGTAAAAACTAAATTTATTATAATTGGATTAACTATTATATCAGTCTTTGCAAAAATATTATCAACACAGGTACCCATATTTACATTAATAGTACTAGGCCTTACTACCAAATTATAAAGATAGATATATTTTTGCTCCAATACATCCAACAGTAAGTCCATCGCATCATTGTCATATTTCAGTAAATCTATGTTAAAATCATCAATAATGAAATGATTCATAGTATCCTTGTTCAAAAGGAGGTATTCATTAAAATTTTTAATAAATATTTTTCTACCAAATCGTGACATCTGAAATGTCAGTTATTTTGATTGTGATATTATCATCAAGTATGATACAACTAATTGCATTCAAAAAATCTATTTACTCCTTAACAACGTTGTGATTTTAGCAATCATCAATGAAAAGTACCACGCCACGGATATTATTTCTACATGTGTGTGTGTGTGTGTGTGTGTGTGTGTGTGTGTGTGTGTGTGTGTGTAAATCGGCTAACTGCCTCTATATTGTTGGTTTCGAATATCTCGAAAAATGAAACATTTTTTCTATCTTTGAGCATTACTAATCTTCTAAGTCACCTTCACATCAGATATCCCGTTATGTGATTACATATTATTGTTTCCATTAATCTTGTTAATATGTGGAGTTAAATTATTCATACTAACCTTAAATATATCTACGCTTGATACCGATATATCTGCTTGATCTCTCTTGTGAATGTTTAGTGTATCTGTATGGTTAAAATTACTTATAGCTTTCCTGTTGTAACAAAAATATTTTGGTATCAAAGGTTTCATGCTATAGTCCATTTGATTAATTTTCTTGTTTATTCTGAATTTAAAGTGATCACATTTGTTCGCATTAGTTGCTGAATGATCAGTAGGTAAGCTCCTATTACCGTAGATACGGTTAGCACACTGAATACTATTAATACTATCACAATCTTTGATACAATGAGGTCCTACGCATCTAAGACATATCTTTTCATTTCTATATTTAGCACCACTGTGCCAAAATCTGCAACAATTGTAGCATGGTATAATATTTAAGTTATCAAAAACTTTACAACGTTTACATGTGTGTGTGTGTGTGTGTGTGTGTGTGTGTGTGTGTGTGTGTGTGTGTGTGTGTGTGTGTGTGTGTGTGTGTGTGTGTGTGTGTGTGTGTGTGTGTGTGTGTGTGTGTGTGTGTGTGTGTGTGTGTGTGTGTGTGTGTGTGTGTGTGTGTGTGTGTGTGTGTGTGTGTGTGTGTGTGTGCGCGCAGAAAGGAATTTTCAGTTATATTACGACAAATTCCATCAAAAATTATCAGTATACAATTTTTTTTAAATGCAACAACTTCCCACTGAAACCTAATTAGCAAACTTATATAGCCGACGAACGGATTAACTAGTTAGGAAAGAAAGTTCACAACAAATAAGAAAACCAAAAAACAAGCATATGCGCTTCATAAAAAGATTAATCACATATATCGAGTCAAAGAAAGGAAACAATAATTTATTTTATTATATTTATTTAACAGAATAGACAAAATAGCAAAAGAAAACCACTACAGAATAACGGCAACTAATGCAGGGATTGCCCTCGGAAAACCAATGCTTCAGTCACGAAGTATTCGTATGACCTATGAGAACATGAATTATTTAGGTAACAGCTGAGCAATATGCTATTTTGATAGATGGCTTAGAGGTAAACAAACAAAATTTGTAGGGTCGCAGTTTTTATACAAAGCCTGCGCCCCACATATTTGGATTATCTTCCTGTTCTTTCTTTTTTTTTCTTTGTCGTATTTTCCGTGCCGTATCATAAAAAAAGGAAATAAAAATAAAACCGACCAAACTCTAACACTACAGGCAATTATCGCTCCTAGGCACGCACAAGTTATAAATCTTGATTGACCGTTTTCGGCTGTGCCTTGCTGCCAGGCCTACTGCAGATTTCTTTCACCTTCTTCAAGTGGATAGAGTAATAAAAAATGTTCCTTGGAAAAAGATAAGGAAAACTATACTATAAGGATGTACATCTGCATGAAGAGAGTGAACAATGCCGATTCACCGTCTTCAAATCTTCGAAGCCAAGATTTTGTACATGAATATCTGTTAACATTTCTTTGCAGTGCTAGTCTATTTACAGCACATTTTCAATTATTTCTGATTTTTCATTAATGAAAAAAAATCAAATAAAATTTGAAATTACGCTTATATTCTTTTATTATCATTGAAACCCAGAGACCCCAAAAAATTGTTATCAACAAAATGTATTGAAACAACAACCGAAGTATAAAGATCTGGCAGTAGTGGGTGACATGTCCCTTGCATGTGCGACTCATCGTTACAACGTAAAATTATGTTTCCTCACTATAGTATTACATGTGCAATAGGCCTCACAATAGAGAGAATAATTTATGCAAGAGATAAGAAAGTACCCGTCGGGCGGTGTACAACTGCAAGATTGATACTCATCAGATAATGGTGAAGAAAGATAAACGACAAAAGTGCAATTAGTACGCCGATGTTGAGCTAGTAGTGACATACTGTTTGAGCACGGGAAAAGTAGAACTTTATTTGTGTACATAAGAATATATTTTCATTATAGTTTTATTAAGTTCAATGCCAGACCAGCGAACAGAAAACTATTTCCTCTGCTGGATTACAGGCATGTGTAATGTATATCTATATTTATTATTATTATATAAGTAATATATGTTACTCTGGTTAAATAAATAAAAAATAAATAAATGCCACATTACTTTCATCAATCTTAGAAATAATAGGTAGAAAAATTATAAAACGACACGTAAATAAATAAGTATAATGGGCATTTATCAGTTGTCTAGCCAAAATTCCTATCTCACTATTAATTTTGATTTGTGTAACGGAAAGTAGAAAAACAATATTTTATTTGAATGGTTTATGTATAACCGTAATACCACGAGCATGATAACAGTATTTTTCAAGTTCATTGTTGTCACGGCTGTACTTGTAGTATAATCGCTAAGTTTTATATTTTCTATGTACTTTAAAATAAAATTGCAGAGATAATTTTACATAGATTTGAAAAATCTATCTTACGGTGTTTCTACTTTTTTTTTGATAAAATTTCGAAACGTCTTATTCTATTACTTAAATTTTAACCTCTAAAATAATTAGTATAGCTGTAAACAAAGTAATATTTTGAAGGGTCGAAGCATATGAATATTAGTAATTAATAACAGAATCATTTATATAAGAAAAAGTTATGATATTTTAAACAAATATCATATTTTTTGACAATAATTATCTAACTCTGCGAAATTGTATAAACAAATTTTATATATATAAGTCCGAAAAGAGTAGAATAATGACTCATCACGAACGTTTGAAAGTAAAATATATTTTATTTGCTATTTTCTAACTGTATATTTGTCGTATTATTCAAGCTAATTTTAATCAAGTCTTACCACATTATACCTATATTTTCATAAGTTATTTGTTTGATCATCATCAAAACGATACATTAATATTCCTTTATTATTATCAATTTCCATTTCTCAAATTTGTATATTTGTGACATTTTTCAATAATGATTATAAGACTGACGAAACCACATACTATTATTAGGCAGCTGTTTTCTATAAGTGCATGTATAATGCGGTTTATAACACAGGGGATTGTGGAGTAGAAAGTGACAAATAGTCACATATACGCCGTTATGATATTACAATATGCTTACTGTTCTATAATTTAGAAAAATGTAACATCTTTAATCTTTGACAAGAAAATATACTTTTAAACAACTTTTTTTATTTTATATTTTTTTCATTTATATTCTGGAATTTTAAGAAATATCAAAATATCTTTTTGCCTCTATAATAATATATTTAGCATTACATTGCAATTTATAATGGAGTTTTTAAGGAATCAAAGCGTACATCTATTGAAAATTTGCTTTCATCGCCGACGATAATTCAAATCGCAAGGCATTGTTTAATTCTGAATCAAATTTTCTAATGAAGTGCATATTACTGCCAGTTGACTCTTCGAATATTGCCTGACTGACGTGAGCGGATTTGATTAGAGAATCGAACTGTGATCTGCTGAAGTTTCATATTAGACGTGAGGAAATCTGTCATTGAAGAAACACCTGCTCGAGCTTTACGGTCGAACGGGAAGCCCATTCCACGTCTGTCTGGATACTTGAGGTCCCTTAAACCACAGAAGCTAACTCCGTCCCGGCATCCAGTTGGTTCAGCTTGATCAATCTATAATTAAGTGAGCGTTATTAGAAAGTTGTGTGCTGAAATATTTTTTATAATAATTACCTTATCTTGCTGATAGTCGGAAACCATTAGGAAGAGATCCATAGCGAATCCATTTTCAGTACCCTTTGGGACGAGCATGTGTTGTGGCCATCCACATCCGCAAAAGTTGAAGGAATCAAAGTTTTGTAGATCACTGTCTTGTGGACGATTATTATTAAGGTCACGGAACGTAGCCTCAAACGGAATCGTCACAGCAGATTCAGTGGAGTTTCTCGTAATGATATTTTGTCCTCTTCTTACTTAATTTACAATAGATAGTTAATATCATGATCATTGGAAAGATATATTCCATATCATATAGGAAGGCATAGTACTCACGTCTAGTTGTAAATTTGTCCATTTCAATCATAAGCATTCTTTGTTCATCTTGGCTCAACTGGCGCCCGTTCTCGTCGGTTTTAGGCGCAATGAATACACGAATCGTTCCCGTGACCTCCACATTATTGGAATTATTGATAGTGAAGCTGTAGGAGAAAGCATCGTGATCGAGATGCTGTATGCGCGCAAGAATGGCACCTCGCGGAGTAAAGTCGAGGCCGCGCGATAGGTCAATGTCCGTTTTGCTCCAGTGGCTATTCAAAGTGTTGGGATTGGAGTTAGGGCTATTGATTCTTATGTCTTGAACAATAATACCGGGGAAGTTCAATTGCTGTTCCGTGTATGGCGGCAGACTGTCCAAAAATTGATGGAAGAGCCAGTCGACAAAAGCGTGCCATCTGTAAAAAACTGGATCCCTCATAGCGGTAGTGTTGCTTCCCATCACGCCAAATGTTTCCTACCAATACAATATCACCGATAAAATCGTACCTTATTCAACATGTAAAAATATGAACACGATCGGTAAATTTCATTATGTACCAAGTAGTAATGATTGGGATCGTGGATGAATGCAATACAATCGTGCCCGGAATTGTGAACGCTTCCATAATAATCGGAATTAGGGCTAAGAATACTGGCTTCAACCATATTTCCGAGAATGTCAATTCCGGTCTCCTCATCAAGTGCGATTAAGCCACCAGATGAACTTTGGGCAGCACGATTTCTAATTGCCTCTAGTATACGATCCCTCCATGTCTCGAGATGATCGACGGTAAAGTTAATATCGTCACTCGGCCGATTGATGTCACTAAGGTTCATGTTAGCTGGTCTGCTGGGCCATGCACGACCAGATACGGTTTCCTCCAATTTCGGAAAGTAGCCGTCGGAGATTGTCTCTCGGAAATTCGTTAGTGGTTGAACTCGGGCCAATCCGTTGCAGATGCGCTCGGTGTTATATCTACGACAAACGCAAACAAATATTTGAAGTGAAAATCGTTGATGAAGAAATTTATCAACAAATTTAAGAATTACCTTGCCATGGCTTGGTGGTGCATGTAGTAAAACAGTTCACCGCGACGATTTTTGGCGACTGTCTCGGGAGGACCGGAAGCAGGATATACCAAATGCCAGTGCCAATGATGTAAATTAATGCCAACATCTTCGCGGAAGTACGCGACTCGTTGTTCCGGGTTGGAATTCGACCCAGTCCAGGTCAGAGGAATTTCAATCGGCAGCTGAATTATTCAAATAATTTCAAAAGTTTGTATTGTTCCGAAAATATTTGAAATGCACATAGAACATACCCTTGTTCCAACAGGTGCGACATTGGCAGCCTCCTTAGCACGATTGAATATTCCACTATCCAAGTACTTGGAAGGGAAGATTTCGGAAAGGTGCGGGATCGGTAAATGTTTAGTGTCCGAGCGATGGAGAATCGCAACGGACAATGAGTACGTAAACATCTCGGGATTAATGCGATCGCGGCAGTATGCAGCCAAAGATATTAAATCTTCAACAGTTCTCATTCCTGAAAAAAGAATTGTAGTTATATTTGTAAAAAATACTGAATGTGAGTTCGACTGATGAGTTTGATTCATACCTAAGAAAAGTTCGGTTAAATAAGCAGCACTTTTCTGATGACGAGGGATGAACAGAGAGAAAGCTTCATAGCGTCCAACGGACAAAGGTATTTTTAAATCTGGAATGGCAATTTGTTTGATAGGAATAGTTGTATTAGCTTCCTCGCCAAATCGTGTTAGAATTCTCTGTGCGATTGGCTGGTATTCTTCTTTCTGTAAAATAAAAATTAAAAACATCGTGTTACAGTTTTGTTTGGAAGTTGAACGATATTTTCTAAGAATAATACTCTCTTATCCATGTAAAACAAATAGTTTTGATTTTTCAATCAAATTAATATATTATTTGAATATTATAGAATTACATTACCAAATAGCTCGCCGGTACTTCAAAACCAACTTTGTTTTCGCCTTTTGGTACGAATACAGGCTCGCTAGGGCGGTCGAACAATAGAAGTAAATTCTTCTCCATGTTGTCTTGATTTAATAAGATCTCAAGAAAATATTATACTTTTGAATATATTTCCGAATTTCACAGTAACAGCTGAATTTCTCTGAAACTGAAACGAAGCTCTGAGTGACCTCTTTGGAGCAGAAAGCACAAACGATAGCTTATGTATTTTGCTGCTAATATTTATAGCCAGTTCGATAGAAATTTCGTGGTTTTTTTCTGTAGATAATGCTGTTATTTATTGTAGCGTTCATACCTAGCCGCAGCGTTTCCACATGATTAAAGCTTTAATCGTAGCAACTATTATATGAGAAAATTTTAGGCGCACAATAAAGATTTGGTAGATAAGTGTGGTTTTCTGCATTGATAAATTCGTTATCCATTATTTCCTGTTTTTTAGTCGTTTATTCGGGTTAGCACTTTTCAAAGTGGTTTTCTTATTCGCTGTCATATCTTCATTCCTCAGTGTGACTTATTGTAAAACGTATTCCAAGTTTTGATTTTCAATATAATTTTCGAATAATCCATGAATTAAAAGATTTCATAATATTTTGTAATCTGTAAAATTTGAATGAATGGTATTGTTTACATCTCTTTGAATAGTGACATCTTCAGTGAGTTACACCGTAGAACAGTCAATGAACAAATCATCTTAAATATTTCGAACTGATATGAGTGATTGAATATAAAATTAAGGAGTAATATATGATATGATCTAATACTCGTTTTTAAAGTCGACTTATTTATACATTATTTAAACAATTTTATTAATGACGCACATTCTTTGAATAACAAATAAGTGTTTTTCATGAAAATAGACAGGTACAGAACTAGATGCGGTATTTTACAACGAAAATAATTATTTTTCAACGAGTTGATATTTATTGTTAACGTAATAAGCGCGACATATAAAACTCCTGTTGATACTATGTTGAGTTTTATGTCTAGTGACTGTTATAATAAATTATCTATACTTTATTTTACATAAAAAATTATGCCAGTCGTCTTGCCATAAATTAAATCTGATATAATTTGGCATATTTTAATATTTAGGCAGTTATTTACTGTTCGGATATTTATCTGCTGATTGGATAATGACTTCTTTAAATGCGCAATGTCCAAAATCCTCAAATAACCGATTATGATTGAAAACTATATTTACTTGTATAGTTTCTTTTTCTTTGAAGCTGACAATTTCTAAATAAATAGTAAACTTAAAAAACGAACACGTTAAAATTTTATAAATTTATATGAAGGATATTCTTAAACTATAGGATGAGTAAAGTTCTTTTGCGAGAGTTATCTTATGTTCTTTACATTCATAAAATTCAACCATTTATTTAGTAAGAATGATTCAAGTTCGTTCTTCAAAATACACGAAGATGATCCATTATATCATATTGGAATTCTTTAACATTGTTTGATAATTTGGTAATTCCACAATGCCTATCATTACGCTCGCGAAATCTTCTACCTAAAATTTCAAATATAAAAATTATATAACTTAATATATAAAAATTTTACTACATCATTAACTATCGTAATTATGAATGAATTCAAGTATTAAGAAGCAGCCTTGAGAAAATGGTTATACTCGTTAACGAGGCACAAAAAGTGTTCGCAATATCTCTACCATATAGCGATGAGTTAAGCAGAGCCGAGTTTAGACCTTTCCCTACCCCTGGGCCAAAAAGACGGCGGGGCCTACTTAGCTGATATTTTTCATGTTCGCGAGGCCTGGTTTCCACGGCGGGGCCCCGGCCTGGGCCCAGGTAGGCCCATGCCTAAACTCGGCTCTGGAGTTAAGGTATTAAATATGACCATGACAAGAATTAGCGTATTTAAAATGAGAGACATAAATTATATCGTCATCATTCGAAGTGATTTAATTTGTAAATGAACAAAATTTAAATATACCTGTATATAGTACCAGTCATTATAGTAAATATTGTCGGTCAATCCGATAAAGCCCATGGATGGATATTCCACATTGAAAATTTCAGCATATAACGGGCGTACGGCGTTTTTTTCGAAAACAAGACCACTTCTATTGTCCAAAAAGGGAAAGTCGAACGAATAGCCCGTACAGAAGATAAAATTGTCGACTTTTATGGTTGAATTGTCTTGAAGGGTGAGTTCGCTGCCGTTGGCGGATAGAACGTTTAATACTTCTTTCACGTTACCAGGATTGTGCAGGTCGTGTATACTGTAATGTGACGGTCATTTTTATAACATTAACGATTGAAATTTGATACAATTAGTTTTGAATAATATAAATAATATGATACTTACAGGGTAACGTTATTTTTATAACTTCTATAACTCAGATAAATCCTTTTGGTATAATTACCAAGGTCTTTGGCAATGTCTATAGCGGAATTACCTGACCCCAACACCACAATTGTCTTGTTGGTGAAAACTTCTGGTACTCGGTAATTACGACTATACAGTATTTTTCCAGGAAATGTCTCTTTCAGTCCGGGAATTTCTGGTATGTATGGTTTAGCGAAATGTCTAGTTGATCGAACATTCATTTGGATTAGATGTTTTTTTATAAATAATTCCTTTGTTTACTGACCCATTGCAAATCATCACGCCGTCACAAATCGTCACGTTCTTTCTGTTCGTATTCAAGTTTCGCATCTTCATTTGCCATGTAGCTGTCCTCCAACCACCGTTGCCTTTCACGGGAAATACTTTTGTGACTAGCGTGTTAAACTACGAAAAAATCCAAGTTTAGTAAAAAAGTTTTCCTTACAAGTTAATTTATACATTAATTTCAATGGATATACCTGAATGTATTTACGAAGCTGAAAGTGATCGGTGTAATTACGCAAGTACTGAAGAAACACGTCGTGGGAAACGGAACCATTGATTTTAGTGGGGTAATCTGGATACTGCATAGATTTTATAGGAATGTTTGTTCTACAAAATTATAAAAAAAAATAATTTGTATACCTACTTTTTATAAAATCATATGGTATTATAATTATTTTTAATGTAGAATTTTTCGATACCTTAGATGTTTGTAGATGCCACTATGCGCTTTTAAACCATGCTCATCCAGTTCCGGATCATCCCTGTAAATCTATACACCACCGACATCCGAATTGCGCTCAATGGCAATCAATTCAAAAAGGTCTGACCGGCTTGCAGTTAATTTTATACCGACAAAGCCAGCCCTTCCTGCTCCAATTATACATATTCGTTGCTTTGCGATAGCTTCATCACTAAACATCACCACAAAAAATAGTACGAACAGTTCCCATCTAAAAGATTCAAATGTGCATGGGTTTCCAAATAAAATCATGAATGTAGAGCTAACATGTGATATTAAGATAATACTTGGATAAAATTACATCTAGTAACTGTGAATTTTTTCACTTTAATTCGTTTGGAGAAAACATAGTTAAAAGAATATTTTGTATCAAGTTTTCGTAAATGTTGAAATTTCATGTAAACAATAATGCTACATTTTCTTGAATCATAATCGTTACTATTCTTTTAGAAGATTACGATTCAGGTCGATTTTGTGTCCTGTTTTTTTCCGTTTAACAGGGACAATTCAACAAAAGCAATATACAACATTTCGATAAAAAAGTAACTCTTATCGATGCAGTTGGTCTACAGCCAATACCACTGAGCAATAGTTGCTTATTTCTGATAATACTTTAATCTCATTGCGCTATCTTACAAATTAATCCACGGTTACATGTTATTCCATTTTCTCTCTATCAATGAATCGAGTCAACAAATTTTCAACGTTAATTTCATTACAACTCGTGATAGCAACATTTCGAAATAAACATAATTTCTCAGGTTTGTCAAGAGGGGATTTTACACCAAGGCAATAAGTCAATATCTTTTCGACATCAAACACATGTCCGCGCATATTTTTAGAATTGCCTAGATGATTTTTGTGGGGGTGGGGTGCTTCCAAGATAGGCTTACCTTCTCGAATAATTACAAAAATTAGATTTGAAAACACTAATAAGTAGGTTTAACTTGTACAGTAATCACGTAAATTCTATTTGAAGTCATCAATAAGTATGCACTTACGTGTTTGTCTTAGTCGAGATCAAGTTTCACGAACAAATGTTTACGGAGCCACTTAATATTGTCAAGTACAGATTAGAACTCCTCGTGTGGCACAATCGTAACATAATTTAATAGTGTGTAGATAATTTTTAAAAGCGATATTTATTTTTATTCTTAACTCACGGGTTTTTATTGTTGTTTGTAAAACATGACGTTGAATAAGTTTCTAAAATGTTCACGTCGAATTAAAATTCGTGGAATTGTTATGTGTGGAAAGCCCATCCTACCGGTTTTTTAAAGGTTTCTCTGTTGCATACCAGTACATGAAATATAAGAAAACGTCTTCTACTTGAAATGCTTAAATAAGTTAATTAATCTTTCAATGAAATCATCCGCATGGAAAAATCTTGCAGGATAGGGTATATGACGTGAAATTTTTCAAGACGTCGTACGGAAAGTAAGACTGTCGCAGGTTCAGCGACAAACTTCGACTAATATTTAAATTATTTTTATAGCTGGCATGTCTACTGTGTTTCACAAATGTTCAAACGTTTAGCGCAACACTCGAAATCTTCAATATGAATGTCGTAAATCGGTACGGTAAAATGATTTCAATTATTAGCGAATTGAAAAATGATAATATCCATATTGTTTGTAATACGTTGGTATGATGAAATAATATTTTTTTATACAAGTTTTATTCTTTTCATTCATTCGCTCACATTCGCTTGTATTTTTTCAAACAATTGATATTGCATAATACGAAACCTTATGAGCATTACAAGATATGTATTACTTCGTTTCAAAAAATGTCACCAGAGATATACGTTCCTTCAACGCTGAATATTATTTCTCGACAAATAATTTACATATAAAAAAGACAAACTCAATATAAATGACACAGGACCAACTGCAAAGAATACTCTTTAAAATGATTCGAAGCCAGATGGTCTAGTTATCTGGGAAAATGACAAAAAGCAAACTTCCTCCTTTTTAAAGTCGGCTAAATTAAAGTTCGAAAAAGGTTTTGTTATAAACCTATAAAATAGCTTTTTCAAAAAAGCAAACCATCATATATATCTCATAGTTGAGGATGGAAATTTCATTCTGTTTTTTTGTCACCACAAAATCGACATAATAAATAACACGTGTGATGCGATTATGAACTTCAATGATTTACGTAGACATGATATTTTTCAGGCATATCACGTGCGATATCATATTTATGAATTTTGTGTCTATAACGATCAACAAATAATTTCACCAATTATACGACAGCTTTATCACTTTACTTACAAGGAAACTATCCCAGGTGTATCTCATTGATTTTCTTCGTTTTTTGATATGTTGTAGTGCATTGAAAAATATTTGACCCGTGTCTTTTCGTTCGTGCTAATTCGGCGATTTAAGGGGTGAAAACCATCTCTACAATTAACCCCCAAAAATGATTTTTTTCTACATTTCCTGGAAATTATTTCGAATTTCTTAGTGAAACAAAATAAATATTAATTATTATTTAAAAACAAGTATTTGTGTATTATTTTTTGTATAAGAGTTACATTCCTTTGTTTTATAAATTTTTGGGGTGAACTTTAAAATAGCCAAATTAACACGAATGAAAAAACATGGGTCAAATATTTTTCGATGTACAATAATATATCAAAAAATGAAGAAAATCGGTGAGGCACACCTGGGGTAATTTCCTTCTTAGATAACTGAAAATATATTAAAATATTTATTTATCACGTTTGACCGTGACTATTTGATTTCGAGAAATTACCATGATTATAAATGTATTATCTTCGAAAAACCTGACACGACTATCGCTATATTATTTTTTATAAAATATGTTCTGTATTTTTTTAATCATAGGGGGGCAATTTCTAAAATAAATCTCATTTTATTAATCTTTTCAAATAAAATGAAATAAGAACCCTACATTTATTTAATGTGTACGTAAAATATCAAATACAAAAGGAAAAACACAAAATAATAAATATAAATTTTATTTTGAATGTTGAAACTAATACACATAATATAATTAGAAGAAGAAAGAGAATTGGACGCATTCTCTTCAATAATTTTTTTTGTAAAACTTTTCAGACTGAATTGCACTTAAATAAAACAAATAAATGACAGATAATTTTATTCAAGTTTTTGTTTTCTCTTTACAGTTATTTTAGTAGTGAGGTGGCGCTATTGAATTTGATCAAATTGGAAAGACTCATAAAAATATTCAACAATAACATGATTTATTAAAAAATTAATCGGTCCTTCAAAGTTACTCTAAGTCCAAATGAACCCATGATCTTTTCCAGTGTGATAAAACTCGATAAAACTCAACTGTCATTAAATTTTTTGATACACAAGTAAAAAACTCGTTTTTTATTGATATGAAAAGGTTTAAAAGGTTTGTTAAAATCCGTTGATGAGAAATTAAAATAATTTCTATTATATTATTTTATTAAACGTTCCATTAAGCGTTATGGATGATGGAAATATTAAAATATTTCATATTCTTCGACAATGTATATTGATTACTTTGAATCAATTTTATTTTTAGGAAGTTTAAGATGAAATGTTAAGTAGATAAATAAAGTCCATGAGTTACATATCGAATTTATTACATAGAAACAGTGATTTTACGAGAGTACTTATTAGTAGGATACATCGAATTTCAGTATCAATCAAAAATGTTTCAATAAACTTAATGTATGTACATGGTAGTGGATGTAATCCAAAATAAGTATATCAAACATTCGCTATAATACATTACTTTATTATACGTGATAGTCATTAAGATTAATGTTTATAATTATTATAAAAAATACTTTTACCTAAAATACAAAAATGAAAAACGCTGAATTATTTTTTTGACTCTAAGAATTTAAACAGGTCAAATTTGTACAACCAATTTTCGTGCACTATCAAATTTTATGTAAATTTTGCGTTGTGTCTTAAAAGGAAAGAAAAAATTCTTAGCATGAATCCTATTATAACTGGGTTGATTTAATGGATTCATAGAAAACATATTCTAGAACTCGATGACCAGCGAGCTAATAAGCCTAACAGATGAAAATGTACTTTTAACCGAGAGTTTCTCGACTAAATCAAGTAACGCTCAATACAAACAAGGTACCTTTTCGACTTTTATTTGATCAATATTGAATGCCGATCAGTTAAGAAGAAATAAATAGTAACAGAAGATTGAGAGAAAAATCCAAAATAACTTGCCGTCGCTCTAGGTGAAAGAAGTTTATGTTACTACCAAAACAATGATTGGATGTGACCGTCATTTTGCTTCAGTACACAGAATTACACACATGAAGCAAAATGTATAAAATCCCAAGAGCGAAGCATAATGTTCATATTATATCAGCATATGGTACATGTCTTATTCTTGAGGTGCCATTGCTCTTGCTTGGACTCGAACTCGCTTCTCATATTCTAAACGGTTTTGGCTGCAATATAAAGAAATACAAATGCTAAGAAAAGTAGTATTGAAACAACATTTAATCAGACATCAGAAAGAATATTCGAACATATATTAGAAAAGTAATATTGAAAGAATATTCAAATACATATAATACATACCAGTAAATTGTGTAAGCTTCTGCTTGTGCTGGATCCTTGACATTCGGCTCATTTAGTAAATCTTGAATACCCAGCAAGATTTGTTTAATCGTTATTGCTGGCCTCCAGTCTTTTTCCTCGTCCAAAAGGGATAAGCATACTGTGCCAGATGGATAAACATTTGGATGAAATAATGGTGGCTCAAACTTGCACTTTGGTGGACTTGAAGGATAGTCATCCTTGAAGATCATTCGCAACTTGTACAATCCACCCTCCCAAGGAGTCTAAAAATTTTCAACGAACGGTCTAATTTTCTGCTAATTTTGATATACTGATTAGTCATTTGATTTTTTAAATAAAACTCACTCCTTTTTTTCCTGGTATTGCACATTCCCAGCTCATCAAATTCAATGTGCCATCAGGATTCTTTGTTGGACGAGCTACAAATCCCTATAATGATTGCAAAGAATTAATTTACAGAAAATCATATTATGTATTAGTAAAATAACTTTGACTAAAAGTAATAATTATCAGATATAGTATATTACCAAATTATTTGAGTTTCATTTAGCAAAATTATATAATATCATAATGCTCAAAATTATCATTGGTCAAGTTTTTTTGAATTGATCATTCAAGTCACAACTATTTAAAAAATATTAATTCAGATACATTTTCTAACAAATAAGTTATTAAAAAGTAAACAAAGAAAACTTTGTAAAAAGAAATTTTTTTTAGATTAACTTCTAATATAAAATAATCTAGATGAAGCGAGTTTGAGAAGAAAGATCCAGAATTTATTTTCTAGATCAAAACACATGATTATGAAATGAACTAATATTATAGTTTTTTGCAACTGTATACAGTTTTCGTATTTGGAATTGAACAAGATTTATTTGAAAAAGTAAGGTTATGTTGAAAACTATATAGCCCCACTACCAAAATAACATTAATTATAATAATCAGTCTAATTTGCAGCTAGTAAAACAAAAAAGTTGCAATATAAAATCAACGGTAGTGAATGTTGCCATGAGGAAGTCTCGTGGGTGGCAGCTTATAGCGCCGAAATCTTAACCTTCAAAAGCAGTAGCGGTGTGACAGCAGTAACGAAAAACCAATTTAAGCATGCTCAAATTAAAGGATGAAATCACTTACAAAAGGATGATCCTTTCTCCATGCTTTTCTTTCCTCAGCGAGCCTGGCAATCGCAATTCCTGACATTATCTACTGCAATGAAAACAATCAGCACTAAGTAAGCGTCTTATATATTGGTTCGATCAACGCGCGCTTTTCATCACGCCCGCGCGTAAATGTCGTCGCGTGTACGTGAGTAATTACCAGGTTGATGCAACTGATGACAAGTTGCGCACTCTCTTTCCCGCCGACGTTGATCTATGTATCTGTCGCACTTCACTCGTCTTTCCTTATGCCAAAAATTTTGCAAAAATCTTTTGCAATACTTCGTACCTTGGACAACTTTTCAGCTTGCACTTACACCAATCTAGCCAGATTTCTCTCTCTTTCTCTCTCTTATAAACAACTTTTGTGCTGTATTTGGTGGTGTTTACGCTTTTTCAATTCGGAGTTACACCGATACGACGAAAAATGTTGTAATGAAAATATTGAGAAGGGAAATGCGTAAACGTTCGCAAATCCTATGGAACTGTCGACGAAGCGTCCCTTGGATGGAGTAGAGTGGACTTCCGGTTAACCCTGGTGGATATATTTATAGGAATAAGACTTTTCGATGAGATAAGATTGTTAGATGACTTGTATAACCTGTCAATTGTAAGTTCACTTTAGAAAATTTCGTTCTTTCTGTTTGTTTATGATAACGGCTTTCATTTTTTTGCCAATTGCTAACGTTGTAACATTTTTGAACACTAGAATTAAGTTGATTATTTCAAATTGTAAAACTATTATCTTGACTAGATTGAAAAAATCTTATCTGCTGCTTTATGGAAATCATCTTGGACAAAATCCGTAGGTTGAAGCCAGAGTCCATTATTATTATTCACGTAATATATTATTTATTAATCGATCCAACTCATTGATAATTTATTTTATAATTTTTTAACATCAAAGCGATCTTAATGAGTATTAAAATAACGAAAATAAAAAAACTTGAGCAGCAGTCCACACGTGTGAACCGCCTTTATTTACGATCCATATCGCGTTAGCGCGAGAGCGCCCGTATGGTCGCACACTTACATGACTCACACAGTTTTGCTCAATCACAAGTGGTGGAAGAGCAAGAGAAAGAGTGAGAGAGAGAGAGAGAGAGAGAGAGAGAGAGAGAGAGAGAGAGAGAGAGAGAGAGAGAGAGAGCAAAAAACGCCCGTTGAAGCGAAAACCGCGCAAGCGCATGTGTAGCAGTACTGTTCGCGATCTAGCCAAGGGACACTCTGCACTGGTGTGCATGTGTATATACGTGCTTGTGAAAGATTGTGTGCATAGCTTTGGGCTTTTCAACTGTCGTGTGTGCAGTTGTAGTTCCTCTCTCCGTGCGCGTCGTCATATGAAACCTCCGCCCCCGTGTAGTATCAAAATATATGATCTCTGTTCTTCACGATGCGGCGTCGGAACGCGAGAAATTCGTATCAGGGTGAAAGTCGAGCGAAGACGACGACTATGGTTAACGAGTCGTGACGAGGTATATCGCACTCGCAGCCAAAGACAGACGAGAGAGAGAAAAAAGTCATCTGCTTTTGTGTGCCAGTAGTCAGTGCAGTGTCTACTCGTAACCGTTTTTTGTTTCGTGCAACCCGATCTTCACTGTACCACAGACAGAGCGACGATGATGGCTTAAAAGACAAGAGATACACTGGCTTTCTTGGTGGTACGTAATTATCACGATGATTTGTTTGCCTGGTGCGGTCTGTTGCCTCTCTTTTTCTCAGGAAGAGAAATCGAAAGTGTATGATGCTGCATTGATCAGATTTTTAGCAAGAGAGAGAGAGAGAGAGAGAGAGAGAGAGAGAGAGAGAGAGAGAGAGAGAGAGAGAGAGAGAGAGAGAGCGCGAGAGCAAGCGTGTAACATAGTAAATAGGTTTGCATTTTCATTGGACTGTACTTACAATAGAGTTACAAATGTCATTGTTGATCTATCAGTGTAGCAAAGCTTATGCTCTGATTGCATTAGTACTTATTCTATTGGATTGTGAAAGGATAGCTAGACCTGTCATTATCAATGATTTTAGCCTTCCATTTCAATCAGTAGTTCTGAAATTGTCGAACAATTAACAATGGGTTTAATGAAGAGTACAATTCTGGTTTGTACTATTTTCAAGATGTACTTTTAACGTCAGACTATCTTATACTCTGATACTTTGTGTGTGCTTACTGAAGTAGCAGGATAAAACAAGGCAAGTTAATTCTGATTGATGTTTTAATCTTGTTTTTTAAGCATGAAACTGAAGTGCACTGCACTAATTGAGTCAGGCAGATTATCTCAAGACTGAGGTAGACAGCTGTTCTTTTAAATTTCTAATTGTCTCGAGTCTCATAAAAGCCAACTCGAGTATATCACTAGGAAAGTTCTGGCACTGTTACGCATAATAGTTTTCTTTGACAAAGCAAGTTTTGCTAAGGAAGAAAAAACACAGGACAGTATTCGATTAGACTTTTTTTATTTAGATACAATATCTGAAGTGTCCCTCAGATAAGAGGTATTTATCAAACCACCATAACTGCCAATATAAACAGAAATAAACCAACAATAACCATTATTGCCAAAAGTTGTCAGAAGTACTGCTGATAGCAATTAACAAGGATTATCAGTGCTTAAACTCGTTGATAACAGTGGTTGAGAAACGAGTTTAGGATTATCGTAGAGCACTCTTCCAGAATTAGATAAAGCTCAGTGTTGATACGTCGCATCGTATGTGCGTGCATCATTCAAAAAGTATGCTCTATATCTTCCGAGGCTTGCGGTTATTCCCCGTGACCTTCGTCTGCAGCAGTTTTTCCTCGCTGTCTCTCGCTGTCTCTCTCTTTTTCAACGAACGCGCGCGCTCCTTTCTGTTAATGAGCGTTTCATTCCTTTATGATGATTATTATCGACGCCGCCGTGTGATCCTTGGCACGCATTGGCAGTTCTGTCCATACGCTGGCGGAAAAACGAAAGCGCAGCCGGACATTTTTGTTTGCTCCTCCTCGGCCACTCGCGCGACCTCTGCTCTCGGTGATTTATAAATTTATTTTTCTTTTCGTTGTTGCGCAATCGATGAGCCTCCGAACGGACAATTCATTAATTTCGCACGCGCGTGTCTTGCGATAACGCTTCTCCGAGAGGAAGGACACGCGGTTAGTATAAAAATAAGGAAAATACCAAGCAGGTTGTTTGGCTAAGAAAAATCGCCGGTATCGTGGCTTGTCTCTGCAGGATTTTCCCGGTGCTTTTGATCCGCGGCCAAATTGGAAAATTGACCGAGCGACAGATAGAGTCGCGCGCGCGGCGGCGGCGGTGGCATTATCATTATCTCGTTGGTGGCTGTTGCCGGCGAGCGAGTGTCCCATTGCACTTGCACTTGTCGCGACTTTGAGGACGCGTGTACATCATGCGTGCAACGCCTCGTGAATGTCCGCGTTAATTTGCCACGGAAAAGCTTCATTGCCGAGTCGACGGATCTAATATGTTTGACCGATGCACGCTGATCAGCTTGTATTCAACTCACAGACTTGTACTCGCTGAAGATGCCCGCTAATTAAAATAACTGATCGCTCGGCATATTAGACGAGGCGAGGAAAGGGTTGCGATTCCTCGGGCGTTTCAAACTTGTGCCAAGCGGAGAAGATATTTAATTTCAATACGTTTTGTCTGATTACTAATATGCATTACAGCGATACGTTACTCGAGCGTAAGTGGACGCTCGCGTTATCGCTGAATTATCAATATTGTTGTTGTGAAAATCACGCACGTTTGAGGATAAGAGGTGCACTGTTGCGTGTTTCGCCGTATTAATGCGATAGGACGACTTATAGATCGAACGAATTGACGGTTATTCAGAGAGCTGTAACCGGTGGCAATGGCGGACGAGGAGGGCACGGAGTGGCTGCAAGAGCTACTGCGCGACGTACAGCTGTCCCAATTCTTCACGCGGATCCGCGACGACCTGCAGGTGACGCGCTTCCACCACTTCGACTATGTCCAAGCGGAGGATCTGGAGAAGATTGGACTCGGCAAGCCGGGCATTCGTCGGCTGATGGACGCTGTTAAAAAGAAGCGCACCGCTCAGTGGAAGAAGAGCCTTATCACGAAAATCCGACCTGGCAGCGATAAAAAGAGCAATAAGCGAGCTTCGCAACCAGTGGAAAACACCTCGATATTAACGTGCCTGATACAAGAGAAGGATGTCGCGTTATCGGTCAAACTTGGCGATGGAAGCTTCGGAGTGGTGAGAAGAGGTGAGTGGACGTCACCTACGGGAAGAACACTGCCAGTTGCCGTTAAGGTTTTGAAAGCTGACGCCTTGACACAGCCAAATGTTGTCGAAGACTTCGTCTCGGAAGTGCAGTCCATGCACACGTTGGATCATCATAATCTCATTAGGTACGCGCTGATCGACGATAATGTTTAGTACCAATGAAAAGGAATTGAGCCAAACAGTTTGATTATTTTCACAGATTATACGGGGTAGTGTTATCCCAGCCCATGATGATGGTTACCGAATTAGCTCCGCTGGGTGCTTTACTGGACTACCTGCGCAAGCAGTGCGGTCACATCTCGGTGCTCACTCTATGCAACTACGCGTTGCAAGTAGCGACGGGAATGGCATACTTGGAGGCGAAGCGTTTCTTGCACCGGGACCTTGCCTGTCGCAACGTATTGCTGAGCTCGATCGACAAAATCAAGATCGGCGATTTCGGTCTAATGCGAGCGCTTCCGCAGCAAGAGGACTGCTACGTCATGACCGAACACAAGAAAGTCCCTTTTCCTTGGTGCGCACCCGAGTCATTGAAAGCCAGGCAGTTTAGTCACGCCTCGGACGTATGGATGTTTGGGGTGACGTTGTGGGAGATGCTGACGTTTGGTGAAGAGCCATGGATCGGATTGAATGGTTCGGAAATTTTGAGGAAGATTGATAGAGAGAGCGAGCGATTACACGAACCAGATGCCAGTCCACCGCCGATGTATCAGCTGATGCTTCATTGTTGGGCGAGGGATCCCGCCGAGCGTCCGACTTTTGCTTCGCTTAAGGAGAATCTTACCAGTAAGTGCTTTGTCAAATTGTTAAATGTTAGTTCATGGACAACCGATACAGAAAAATAGATTTTTTTTTATTTTATATTGCTATAACTTCCATTAAAATTATACTTAGAAGGAGTATTTTATGATTGTTAATTGGCACTCTTTGTCCCAATTTTCCGAAAGTACATCTTTCCAAATGTCATAAAGATTTTCCAACGAGCAAAAATTTTCGCAACCAGAAATCCTTAATTTATGAAGCCTCGTGGTATCCGTATTATTTAACATTGAAACCTTAGACAAATTAATTATTAAACAGTCTAAATAGTTGTTTCTTGCTCAAAATTATTACAAGAAAAAAGTTGAAAAACCGGCTAAAGTTATTGACTATTCTCTCTATACTCACACGAACTTTTGGCGACTGGCCTCCATTGGCGATTCGCAGCTCGTAAACAAGAGTAACGCCAAGGTCTAACTTGAAAAGTTCATCAGTGAATCCCATTGCTCGTAAAGTATTTTCTACGTTAATGTCATGCGTGCTATATAAGAACATTTTCTCGTTGTCCACGCCATCTCTCATGTTGTCCAATATGTGTTTGAGTAATGGGCCTGTGGGAGATATTTTATTGATAGTCATACGAGCTACTCGCCTTCTTAAGTCTTTGTTGCAATGTGTTGCTGGTGAATAGCGCGTAACTTCTTGCGGCGAGTTCTCGCATAAATGCGTTGTAGTATTTTTTGATTGATTCTGGAAGCTCTAATCCATTCATCACCTGCGATCAACAAATTCGTTCGCAACTTGCCCCATTCAATTTTTTGTTCGAATGACCGTACCTCGATTTCTAAGGTATAGTACAGAAACTTGACGTCCGTGATAGTTTTCATTGATTGGTTTCCCCGTGATATTTGTCAGCTCCTCGTAGTAAGATTGCAGCTCGGCGTCAGACCTGCGGGACTCATTCCTGTACGCTTCGGTCAAGGCCTCCGCCAACCTCGGACAATCCTTGCCGACAACTAGAATGTTTGCGAGCGAACCTTTCAAAGCCGTCAATCATCTAGCTGGCAGGCAAAATTATACCTGGTCCATGTATTCAGGCAAGTAATGCACGGGTATCGGCTTCCAAGGTAAACCCTTGACAAAAGCATTTTCCTCGCGAAACAGGCCAGCTAGCATTGCTTGAGTCGACATTATGCAACGATCCGAGTAGCTGCTGTTGACGACCACGCTCTTTCGATCGTAGGTGTAATTGCTGATCCAACCGTACTCTTTGCGGATCCATTGGCCTAACGTGTACATTTGCCGCATTCCTCGCTGAAAGGCGGTCAACCGGAGCGTCGTAACGTGTAATTTTTCAATAGTAGAATTTTTCGAAGTCTATAATTGAGATTGAAACCTTCGTTAATGCTCCCCATCCTCCTGGCCATGGATAATTCAAGTGCGGGTCGTTTGGATACGTTTCCGTAGGATTTCTCTCGCCGTGACGAAAAACCTGATATTAAAAAAGAAAAATAAGAAAAAACAAACAATTTAATATTAAAAATCCGCCAATTCGACGACAATAATCACGACGTGCAACGGTGGCCCACTCGATTATCGAGGGTCGTACAACATTTTACAGCTAAACCGAACTTATATCAGCACTCTCGGTACGTCTATTCGTCAAGGTTAGCGCCCTAGCGTCAACGAGGTATACTAATCCAAGCGTCTATCCGAGGTAAAAGTTTTACAGGTGCGAAAATCAGTGCCGCTCTTTTTCAAAGTCGCTTCTCGTAAAAATCACTCCGACGGTTGGTACTCAAACAGTCTACTATCGAGTGATAATGATTTTTGTGACAATGATAGGAAACAATCGCTAAGATGCGCTAAAAATTTCGAGTTACTCACGATAATACTTTCTTGAGGCTCGCGTCTGTTGGCGGCGCGTCGCCGAAGACAGCGTATGCTAATAAAAGACAACCAATCATCCTGGCGAGGATACCAGCTGCCTTGTACGTTTTCCTCTCTCCTGGCCTGCAGCCATGGCTCGATACACTCTTGATTTTCATGACTTTCCGACCAAGTTTAAGGTCAGATTATTATTTCGACTTTTTTATCAGTTTTTTTTTTGACGATAAGTGATTACGAAACAAGACTGGCTCCATAATGAAACTTTGCTCGATTTATCTGCTTCATGAAAAGCTAATTAGGAATTTTCTTCCTTGTAATGAGCGAAGATATTTATCGGAGCACGTAAAATACTTTTTTTTTTAAGTCGAAATGAAACGTAGAACACACAAATTGATTAGTGAAGGATGCTGTTACTCTTACCAAAATTATTTAAGTCATCGTACGCTCACGACGACGTGAATAGAACTGACCCCACCAGTCGTTCGGTTTCAAATATTTTAAAAGTTGACAGCTACCTTTAATAGAGATTAAATCTTATCACTTTCACAATTCATCAATCTTATTAATACTTAATTTCTCAATGTCGAGAAAATCAGGTGATAAACCAATTAGTTTAATTATTTCAAACCATTTATAAGGATATCGAAGTAATTACCCGTGTTTGAACTATAAGAAAAATGATATTTGATAAAAATGCTTTATTCAAGATAAGTTTGTTAATGTTTATGGTTATTAAAGCTTATAAAAACTATTTATATATAATTCTACAAACATTTTTTCTACGTTGCACTAGTAAATAAATTGAAATAAATTATTTTTATAATGTTATTTAAAATTCAGTGATCAGTTATTTATTTCGAGTGTACTAAAAAAAAATTTTCACTCTATCCAGGCATGGTACCGCCAGTAATGAAAGCTCTAAATCGTTTCGACGAGACGCAGCCGGACAAAATGCAAATCGAGCACGGCGACCAAATTGTTATAATCGATGGCAAGCCTGAAAACTACTGGTGGAAAGGTCAGAATCAGCGTACCTTCCAAGTTGGACTTTTCCCACGTTGCCTCGTCGATCCAATGCGAAAAAAGCAAGCTGAAGATATCAGCAAGCCTTTAGAAAACTCATTCATTCATACTGGTCATGGAGCGCCATTCGGTAAGAGTTGGGGTAGTCCAATTTACATCGATGACGTGTACCTAAGGAATCCCATGGAGCCACCCGACGTTGTCGGTACAACCGAGTGTACAAGCATCAAATTTCCTGGTTCGGCGCATCAGCGACAGCGCAAACAGTTCAATTACACTAAGCTACACAATGACCTCAGGAGCAGCCCTATTAAAGTACCTAATACATCAACGGCCGGTAAATCCAAGTTTGCTTTATAGCAAATCATTTAACGATTAAGCAAATACGCGCGCTGTTAATGATTTAACGAGCATGGCTATCTTATCGCACTTGCGTTACTTTGCCACTTATTTTTTTTCATTCGCTAGATAAATTGTCAGGAAGGAAACTTCTGCCTATTTCTAGTAGCATACGTTATTCTATTCATAGTTTGTTTTGCATACAGTTGAGAAAGATAAGTTTTGCCTTACCTTTTTTCCGTAATCTAGGCGATAAATATGAAAAATAATTTAATTACTCTAGCAGATTATTTTAATTGGTCAATTAATGTTTATCAATTAAATATTCTATTATTGGTTATAAATTTAATTATTGTGGAAATAATAATGCGGAGTATAAAATGAGAAAATTTTTAATTCACAGTTGCAGGTTCAAGCAATCAAGAAGGTACTCTAATAGATTTATCTCCAGAAGAGTTAGCTAATGTCGCAGCGGTAGCCTCGAGTCAATCAGATGCAGCATGTTATCGGCGAGTGGTGAACATTCTGGATGAGCCGATCGACGTTGAACGTTCGATGCCGCAAGAGTATTGGCCACCAACGCAGGAAGACGACCCGCGTACATACGCTAATTATCCAGAGAGCGATGGTAGTGCAATTTTACCGCTCGGGCCTGATCCGTTCGACACTTCTAGAGTATTTACCAATCCGCCTCAGTCGAGATACTACAGCCAAGTTACGCCGGATCTGCCACTTTCCTCGCCGACTACATACTACTCGACTGCATCTGTCGTTCAGGAAACGTACGGCAACGTACAGGAAGAAGCCTCGTCATTACAACATACGCTTAGCAAAGAGCTGCGAAGTGAAAATACGAATATCAACGTGAATATCGAGAGCAATGGATACGTCAGTAGTGACCACTACAGCGAGATCGACAAAAGCGGTACATCGAGTCCGCCTCCGAATCCTCAGAGCTGGCCGGAAGATTTGCAACACAATGAGGCACAAACTTTGCCGTCGTACGCAAACGTCGTCAGTCGAAATCTTTCAAATGTACCTGCACCGCCACCTCCGTCGGTCGGCCCCAACGAGAGTCCGACCAAATCGTCAAACGTCGACATTGCGCAAACTATGAACGACTTGTCGTTAACAGAGGCTTCGCCGAAGAAACTCGATCCAGCTTTCCTTGCTGAGCTAGAGAAGCATTTAGGGGAGAAGGAGGCAACTAAGAATACAAATGCAACGCAACAACAGCAGCAGTCTATCAGTAAGAACTCTGACAATACTGTGATCCCGATGCTCAGGCCACCACCGCAATCCATCAAACCCAAATCGCCGAATGTCGATCAAGGAGCGAGTGGCTCTAGCTTCCCGAACAAGGTGCAGAACTCTTGGCAGAATAAAAGCACAAATATTCAGCGACCGAGAAGTCAAATCGGATTTCCAAGTCAACTGTCGCAGAATGGTACTACTAGTGTTTGCAGCAATACGGAAGCAGTGGTTGCACAAGTCTGGCATCAGAACCAAAATGCATCAGCTGCAGCAGTAGCTGTGCCTTCGCCGAACTTACACCAAAGTGCGTCGAATCATGTGCCGAGTAATCTAGAGGTTGCAGCGCATAACGTTGCTTTAGCCTACCATCAGCAGTTCCCAAGTCTTCCCAGTCAACCGAACCAGTCAGTTCAAAATTCGTCGACGTTGCCCAGACCAGCTTCGATTGCCGGCAGCGTACTTTCCGAGCAAGTTTACGCGGAGCTCAAACAGACAGTGCCGAACCTAGAGCAGCTGTCACAAAGCGAATTCAATACTCTTTATAATAAGACCGTCCAGCAGAATATACTCAGAAGTTATCATGCCAATAGCAATGCCTTGGCCAGTGCGAGTAATAGTATGGTAAGTAAATATCTTTTTAAAGTCTTGATATTTTTAGCTATTCTGTTTGGAAAGTTAAATAATTTTCGAAATTACATAGTTTTATAACAGCAATAAAATTGATTATTCATTCTTAAATCGTAGATTCAAGTGATATTCAATAATATTTAAAAATAATTATTAATTTTTAGTGTTCAAAAAAATGTCATAGTTTTATTAAACAAAGATTGATAAAAAATTTTTTTTTATCAATAGGCTAGCCACTGTATCCCAGCAAGTCCATCTCAAAAAGTCAACACCAGGCAAACTCTTCCTCGAGAATTCAGTTCAAATCTGAAACAGCCACCTCAGTACAATCCACCACCCCCATTCTCCCCACTAAAACCTATCCAAAACGGTTTTGTCCAAAATCAAACTCAGCCCAACAAAACAGTGAATGTCGCGAGTGGCAGCCCGAACCTCATGCAATTCACGCCCAGTCGACCCCAAGTATCTCAACCACAGCCGGTTGGACCATCAAATGCCGCGAGAAGTTTACTGCCTCAGCTGAACGAAACAATGGTAAACACGCAATTAGGGCCTGGACCTTCGCAATACCCGAGCGGAGCTAGTCCCCCATTGACCGGGGCTTCGCAGCAGTTGGTTATGTCATTAAACGACGAGTTCCGTGTCAGCAAAGTAATGAAAGTACAGCAGGAGACTCCGGACGCTTCGCAACAAGAGGCACTTGCTGCTCTGCAGGCGACTGGCTGGGATATCAGTCAAGCAGCTAAACAAATAATCAAAGATCGATTGACTAAGGTTGAAACGCTTTCGAGGTAGGTTTACCGATTTGGTGTCTTCGTTGTTAAGGGTGATTGCTTACATTTCAAAGAGAAAGATTAATTAGATTTTATTAGTGTTCACTGAACGGAGTAGATCAGTGTTTTGAGTACAGTGTACGTAAAATGATCGCATTTTTTTCTTTTAAGGCTGGGGCTTGCAACTAGAAAGCAATGCGAGATTGCATTGAAACGTTCTGAATTTGATGTGGATCGGGCAGCTTCCTACTTGTTGGACTATTCAAGGTGAACTCGCACCTCGCTATAAAGCTTTTATGTATACACAAGATTCATCGTAATTAGAAATGTAAAAATGAATGAGGTGGCCTGCACAAAGTGAAACTTCACCAAATAATCCGCGAGGTCCGAAACAAACTAATACTCGAACCTCGGTTAAATAGGCAATGTAAGATTATAATACTAAATTAGAGAGTAAAACGACTAAGAGCAGAATTTAAGGAAAATAATAATTGTTATATTTTAGTTTTTCATAGTATTCCAGATAAATTTCAAATCAATTCTCAGCCGAAGCTTTGTTGAAAATTATTTTTAGTGTGAAACTGAGTACGATCAAAATTCAAAAAAGACTGTGAGGTTCTTTTTGAATAAAAAGCTGTAATTAGCTTAACGTGAATAAAGACACTCTTGGGATTTTGTTTTATAAATTACATAATTACTTGATCGATGAACTGTAAAATTATAGCTGTTCCAAAAATACAAAAAAGTTTTAAGGCAGCTGCAGTGACTGTAATTAATTATATGCATAATCATGGTTGAATAGAAAATGAAGATTTGATTAGTAAGGAACCGAATACAAAAGAATTTAAGTGTGCTCAAGTGTGCTTCCTATTCATAATTGCAGAAGGCTTGAGAACAAACACTTTGGAATACGATACTGTGATATGTGCTGTTAAAGGCTCTACGAGTAATTCTTTCTGTTAACGTCGATATTATATTTACTGTAATTCTGACCATGTAAATAACTTAGATTTATTATTTAGACTCGAATAAAGTTGATATCGAAGGTTTGTGAGCTATTTATTGTTTTAAGACAGATTTAAAGAATAGAGCTTTTTATAGCTTTACTTATTTGTCATTATTGTGATTTAATATTTCAATGATCTTACTTTGTCAACTGATAGGCAATCGGAAAGCGAATGTTCCGTATTTAATATTTTTATTAATGAGTTCTGATCTTATCCGAGATTCGTTTGTAAAGAAACCTTATAGTATTCACGGAATCACGTGAGTACTTTTTTGGCAAGCGTAATATAATGTATAAAATTACATGCAGTTTAATAAAATGCATATGTAAAATGCAATATTTCTTTAAAATGATCAAAAAAGTAGTATTTTAAAATACTTAATGTTTTATTGTGCCTTGTGTAATTATCCGTTAAAATATAAGTTTTTTTTTAATCAACATAATTCTTCTGTTGATGCCAAATAAAACAATTATATAGCTTTTCTCCTAATTGTATTTTTTTATTTAATGTCGTTATTTATAAAAAAATTATTCAAGAAAGTAATAGTATTGTTATGCAGATGATATATATGTATTTTATTATTTAGAAATGGGCTGATACAGTACAGTACATAGGAAAAGAAAAAAGAAGTAAAATGCAACGTAAAGCTCGATGAGACAATAATCAATATATATTCGAAGCTTATATTTGAAGATGTATTAATAACACGTAAATACTTATGTACTTACGTACCTATTAAAGTTGAAAACAATTGATAATCAACTAGTCACCTACGGTATATTTTAAAAGACACTATCTTAGCTCAAAATTAAGCCAAGTTAAGCTCGAAGTCCATGGGTGTATATATTTTATCACGTTATAGCTCAAATATTATTAATTTTCCTTTCATTTTCTTTGCAGATAAAATTTATAGAAAATACATTGCTCACACAGAAAGTCATTTATGCAAAGAGAGAGAAGTTGTCCCTTTTGTGACGACTGCGATCTTTATCCCGCAAGCGAACTTCTGTTTTATCTATTCTTTCTTCTAGTGAGGTTGTTTCTTTCTCTATTCACTTCAGTAAGTTCTAAATATATGTATGATTATTGTTTCATTATGTTTTGTGCTGCATTTTACTTTTATTTATTCCTATATATCCTATTGTATTTTTTATCATACTGAGAGTGCGTGATAGAATTTTAATTTTAACAGTAAAATAAGTGAAAACTTTGCAAAGTATTTGGAAAATGTTTTCAGTTGGGTAAAAGTTTTATGGTTCAGATGGGACCAACTAATGACAATTTTGACCTCAAATTTTATTTTTGAGGTGAACTTTATTTTGTTATATAGGAATGCCTATTTTTGATCTCGGATTTAAAATAGCAAAAAATTCTACGATAAGACGAGGTATCGTATGTTGGGTCTGGCAGTGACCCCAAAGTCATGCTATATTCAAACCTCGGATCATTATCATTTTGGTGCGTATTCCTTCGTTTTTGGCGGTGCACCGGATTACTCTGTGATCTCATTCCAATATTTATCACTTCTTAAGGTGAAGGATGGGAAATCTGAGCTTAAACATGACAGTAAATCTATTATTCCTATTGCATTCACATCACATTGTGAGAATGTCAACTACGTAATTGGGAGTTTATAGTTAGCCAGTTCGAATCATGTGCCGTATATCTCGATTGGAGATGTAACGGGAAGAAGAAAAGTTGATGGAAATCATTCTAGAAAAATCATAGGTCAACTGCGAGTTGTTGTCAAGGATAGAAAAATCAATTAACAAATCTACACAAAGTTTTCATTGAAAAACAATACAAAAGTTGAATGTCTCAAATTCGGTATTCATTGAATGTGCGTGTATGCTGTAGTAGTTGAATGTCACAAGGAATTTTCCCTTTCTTTAGTAAAAAGTCCGTTCAGTTTTTCTGTACTTTTGGTTTTTGAATCAGATGCTTGGTTCGTTGACAAGTAATTATTTTCTTGTGATATTTTGGCTTGTTTGTCGGAATAACCGAACGGATCTAAGTATACGGTACTGCACTCCTATTTCCAAACTTCTTAGACTTTTTTTTCTGCATGTTCGTAGTAAAATATAGCTATTCAATATGGCAGTGTAAAAAAAGATTCATTATCAGTTTGTTTTAATAAAAAATCCAGAATAGATTGTTGCGAAGGAGAAGTACAAGTAACATTTTATTTTTGAGATTGCGCCATCGGATGAAAAATAAACGTTCGGTAAGTTAGTGCAATCTTTATTCATGGAGTTCAACTAATTATTTCAACCTGTCAAGAGCAGCTAAAAAAATTTGAATGCTAAAATGTTGATGCATAATCTATGGAATGATATCATTCGACAACAAACTCTTTGCTAATCATTCAAACGTGTTCTTCGAGTAATAGTACATTACGACACTAGGCCAGAAAGTTGGATTTCCGGGGCGTGCGTAAGTGACGGGCGAGCCGAAGGCGAGCCCGTCATATTACGCACGCCTGGGCATCCAACTATCTGGCCGTGTGTCGTATACTATTTTTCCTTATCCCTGGCCGAAAGTGCCGTGTACACGGAGAGAGTAAAAATTATGGTGATCGTTTTGTAAAGTTGAAATACCTAAACTTTTAGAGGCTAACCGAGTGTGCGGGAATGACAGCTGCGCATGCGCGTCGCGCGTCTAATGCCGCTGCTCTATAGCGGACAGAAAAAACATTTGGGGAAAATCCGGGGAAACCCCTCGCTTAAATCATGTTAAGCTGGTCTAGCTGCAGTACGGTTAGGTGTCTCCATGCCCGCCTGACTTTTGTAAAAACGAGGCGAAGCCGAGGTTTTACTGGTCAGGGCGGGCATGAAAAACAAAAGTATTTTTCTTAGCCTTTCGGTCAAAAGATAAAAAAAAAACTCTAATTTTGCCTATCAGGGGTCTACATCTTTTAAAAACGCCGCAAAGGACACTCTTTCCGAAGCCTTTCCGCGCCTGGATAGAAAAAAGCATTTCAGCCAATCAGCGCCGCCTTTCCCAAACAGCCAATCAGCGCCGCTTTTCCCAAACAGACCGCAAAAGTCCCTCTTCCCGGAGCGAAATCAGACCGGGAAATAGGCACTTTCGGCCAAGGGATAAGGAAAAATATTTGTTTGGATCATCTTCTAGGTATGCTACAATTTTCTTAGTTTATTTTTCGATTATTAACGATAATTATACCACTTTCAATAGTTATCAAATCAGTATCTTAAAAAAATGATGGCAAATCATACTCTATCATAGATGCTTGAAAGTTCGTGTTTACTATAAATAAGTATTATGTAAAAATAGTTTTATCTACACCTCAATTCAGGCAATCCTTTTACAACATCGCTACATTTAGTAGATATTTCAAATATTATTGTTAATAATTAAATCGTTTATAATCCGAATCTGATTCGTTTTTTTAGGTATCTAATTTCTAAGATGTCGTAAATCAGTTTTCTTTGTGTTGATTTATCATTCAAATCTCAGATAAATAACTATTTAAAATATTACAGTATTATTTTATGCCGAGAATCTTTGCTTTTTACAAACATTTTTTGTAGATTTTCATCATAAATTGACGCATGAAATCGAAGTCAAGATTATATAGAGAAAAAGGCCAAGAATACCCTGAATTTAAGCATATAATTATTTTCGAACTTCTGCCTTCTGCCCATGTGCTTGAAATAAAACACTTTATATAAACTGATTCATTAGTATGCAAAAGCCATGACAAAATTATTCATTTCATGTACCAATTGACCGCACGCACAGCTTCCAAAGTCAGTGGCTGAAAAATGATGTTATATCAATAGTGGGAAGTCATTGTTGTAACTTAACTTACACTGGATTTTGTTATACTCATGGCACTTGGAGTAAAATTTGTCAATAAAAGCAATATATTGAAATTAATGGTAGTAATAAATAGCAAGTAGAGTAACAACCAAAAAAATGTGAAATTTCTTTGAAATGTAAACAAATTCAATTTAATAACTTGATGTCAATGGTAATTCTTATTATATTAAAAATAGAACTGTCTTACTAATCACCCGAAAAGTGTATCAGTGATACTATGATGAAGTGTATATAATTGAACTTTATAATTATTAAGAGAAAAATGAATACGAATCCGTCAACATCCACTAAGAAAAATATTTCAAATGTATGATGAATATCATATATAATTGTAACAATTACATTAATATTAACATCTGACTATAGAATCTCAGTAATTTAAAACAACCATGCAAACGACCATGCCGTCTATAGAAATTGAGAAACAAATTCTGCACTGTTCGTTTGCGATTATTAATTACTACGAAAATTGTGGAAAAAAGTATCTAGAAATTTTGAAAGTGGAAGTCCATTGCCGCAGCCCGCATGCGTAGATTCGCTTCGTTATTTTGGCAAATAAGCCAATATAACAAGATGAAAATCATTATTTATTAATGAACCAAGCATCTGATCAAAAACTCAAAAGTACAGAAAAATTACGTAGACTTTTTGTTTTGAAATTTTGAAAATTTCTATTGACATTTAGCTACTATCAGAATCCACGCAACTTCAGCGAATACTGAACTTGAAATATTCAAATTTCGGATTTTCTTTTTTAATGAAAACCTGATCCCACAGATTTGTTAAGTGATGTTCATATCCTAATTAATATCCTAATATCGCTAACCATTCGTAATTAACAGAGGCCTTATTGTGATGATGGTCATGCGCACTTAGACGTTATGCAATACATGTACGTTGATCGTGTCCGTCACAAAACTAATTAACACCTCGAAGCTGACGACTGACACTTATGTTCATGACAGTCATGACCTAGTATGTATGTACCTTCAAGGTTAGTGCCAATTGGATCTCAAAATTTAACGCCCATAATTACTTTTTTTAGACAATCGTAAAAGTAATAATAACATTAGATTGTTCATCATATTTATTATCAATTGCCTAATTAAATTTTATTTATTCATCCGCAATCGATCTCTACGAGGGTGGACCGATATATACTTAGCCTACAAAAGAAAAACGAAAATTTTGGAAAAGTGGCGTTTTATTTTTCAACATAGTTTCCTTTTAGTTCGATACACTTGGCACAGCGATGCTTCAACTTCTTTAACCCATCTGAAAAATACGTTTCCTCGAGGTCTGAAAAGTAGGCTTCCGTGGCAACGATCACCTCCTCATTCGACTCAAATTTCTGCCCGGCGAGTGATTTTTTAAAGTTTAGAAACAAAAAGAAGTCGTACGGGGCTAAATCTGGAGAATACGGTGGATGGGGCAGCAGTTCGTAGCCTAATTCGACCAATTTGGCCATGGCGACGGCGAAGGTGTGGGCCGGTGTGTTGTCATGGTGGAAGAGCACTTTTTTCTTCGCCAAATGGGGCCGTTTTTTCTGCAATTCGACGTCAAATCGGCCCAATAATTCGGCATAGTACAGACCTGTGACCGTTTTGCCCCTCTCCAGGTAGTCGATGTAGATCACACCTTGTGAATCCCAGAAAACGGTGGCCATCACCTTTCCGGCCGATGGGGCAGTCTTCGCTTTCTTCGGAGCACTTTCGCCGGGTAAAGTCCACTGTTTCGACTGTTCCTTGGTCTCTGGTGTATACTAGTGGATCCATGTTTCGTCGACTGTCACGAAACGTCGCAGAAACTCCTTCGGATTGCGCTTAAACAGCGTCAGACATTGCTATGAAGTTGTCTCACGGTTGCGCTTGTTGTGCGGAGTGAGCAAACGCGGCACCCATCGCGCCGACAGCTTTCTCATGTCCAAAATTTCATGCAGGACATGACCCACACGGTCTTTTGAGATGCCTACGATCTTAGCTATCTCGCGCACCTTCAATCGTTGATCTGCCAATACGAGATCATGAATTTTTGTCATGTTATCCTCCGTGGTAGCCGTTTTCGGAGCACCTGAACGTGGCTCATCAAAAATTGACGTGCGACCACGTTGAAACTCGTTAAACCAATTTTTGACGGTCGCTATCGAAGGAGAAGAGTCACCGTACACAGCATCCAAGCGCTTTTTGATTTCGCTGCGCGATTTCCCTTCCAAAAACAAGAATCAAATTACCGCCCGATACTGCTCTTTTTCCATTTTCAAAATTCAACGGACACACTTGCTTTCACACGCTCTCAAAAATAAACTACAACTCCAATCCGGCTAAAATCTTGACAGTAACCATCGAGAAGGTTGTACTGCGTGATAGAATATTTCTTTTGCGAGAGTGGCGCCGTTAGGCGGTGAGGCTAAGTACTTATCGGACCACCCTCGTAAAAAAGGAAAAAATAGCACCCAAATATTATTTCGGTGAAAATCATTATAAAGCTTAAAAACAAAATGTTAAAATGTTAATAGATAGTTCGTATCATGCAAAAATAGCGCCCGCAATAAAATCGTGGCTAGAATCATAACTTTAATAAATTAGTTTAATAATAGTTATAAATAAAAATCAATATGATATTTTTAAAGATTAACGGCCACTAGTTCAACTGGTGTGCATGCGCATGACAGCTCATTTTTCGTCCCTATTGCTGACACCACGTGCCGTTCCTGGATTGTCAGCAGTCAACATCTGCAAATCTTTGATTTGTTTATCATATCTTTTCATTTAGTCGGCTGGGGGTTGCTAATAAATTATAGGTGCCTTATTTTACCTGGAGTAACGATTATCTTGCAACAATTATGTAACTGCCGGCTGGGGCACCGATAATTTATGAGCAAACCCAACCCTAGCCGGCTAAATGAAAAGAAGTGATAAACAAATTCAAGATTTGCAGATGTCTGCTGACAATTCACAAGTAGTGCCCTTGATAGGAGTTACGAATGAGCTGGCATGCGCATGCGTACCACCTGGCTAGTGGGGAAAAATGTAGTCCCACATTGATTTTTATTTATAACTATCAAACTAATGATTCTAGGTCTGATTTCATTGCGTGATATGATTTATCTATTAGCATTTTAAAAGTTTGTTTTTAAGCACACTACTCACTGAGAAGCTGGCGCTTAAACCTATTTTTTCCTTTTTATATGATCGATTGTGATCGAACAAAAAAAGTTTGAGAAGACAATTGATTACAAATTTGAAGAACAATCTAATGACATTATTACTTTTATCATTATCTAAAAAAATAAATGCAAGCGCTAATTTTTTAAGATCCATAACAATTCTTTCGAAGACGTCGCTGTGACGTCGATTTCCGACTTTTTCAACATTTGAAAACATTTTATTACGTTTGTGTGACGTTATAGAAACGGAATTTGTTCCGGTATTTTATAATTAACCTAATTTTTTTCAGACATTTTTTGACGTCGCAAAATGTTATCGGAAACGAACTTTGAACGAAATGTGACGGTCCAGTTACAGGCCAAGAAAATATGTCATCACTAGCAGATTGAATACACCGCATGAGCCCAGATCATGGAGACTGCAGTATACAGGAGGCGAGGCAGAGACGATTTATCTAGGCAACTTTCTCTTTTTCTCGGAGGGAATTAGCCGATTTTAGCGCCGCGCTCGGTAGTTAGTGAACCACTAGAAGACTTATAATGAGCGCAGCTTATCGACCATGGAGATGTATACAGTCTCCATGTTATCGACCATGGTACTGTAGGTGACGAAGATAACCCCCCAGATAACATATAGTTTCCATGTTATCGACCATGGTACTGTAGGTGACGAAGATAACCCGCACGCGAATATCTTTTTATAAAAAGGGATAAATTAATTTTATAGAAAATGAATACTGTTTTACGATAAAAAAAGTCTTGCTATTTTGTTCGTAAATGTACATTTTCAAAGTTGAGTGAATAACGTTGAATTTCCTATCTTGAAAAAAAAAATATATATATACAAATTTGTCGAAAAAGTTTTAGAAGTTTGTTTAAGTGAGATTGTTACACACATGCACACACTTAGAATGATTTTCAAGGTCATTTGAAGGTCACAGTGATTTTTTGCATAGGAACCCCTATTTTTTATTTCAGATTTGGAAATAACGGGAAATTCTACGTTTAGATGAGGTATTATGTGTGGGGTTTGATTGATGATGATGTTCCCGCATATATTTAATATAAATAATTAAATAATGAATATAAAAACTGAAATTAATATTTTGACTGTTTGCGTAGTTCTTTAGATTTTAATTTTTTTGCATCATGGACAATATTGTGTCGCTTGCACGCTATTTTCATTCGTCTGTCTAAATAGTAAATTATGAATTTGTATGTTAATTTTATTACATGATCTGTACAACCAACAAACGCTAGAGAGTTTGTTTTTATTATTTTTTGAACAACGAACTGCATACTATCTCTAGTCATGCCATTATTACACTCAATTATAAAGGTCACACAATTTTCAACCATCTTAATTAATTCAAAAACATTGTCGCTAGACTTAATTAGCCACCAAAACTCTCTCTAGCATTTGTAAGTTGATGGCGTGCAGCATCACTGGAGAACGACTCCAAATGCAGATTGCAATTTTCGCACTCGTTGTCCAAATGTCGCGTCTCCCAATCTAAAGAAGATAATTGATTCATTTTTTGTTGTCATTCAAAATCAAAGTAATTGCCAACATTTAGTTTTTACTAAATTCAAAACAGGTGACAATTACTAACAAATTAAAAAATAATTATAATTATTGTAAATTTTTATGTTAAAAATCTATGCTTTTTATACAATTGAATTATGGCTTTTGTAACAATATTTTTCTATTAAAAAGATAATTATTTTACACGGTAAAAATTTCGTGGATAGTTGACAATGACCACATTAATCATCGTAACTATCATTAAAGTTAAGTATATCGAATGTTATTTATTATTAGACATTATATTGCTTAGTAAGGAAATATAAAAACAAAAACAACTATAAAATTATTAAAATCGAGTGATCAAAAAGCGTATTCTACCATTTCAAAAAAATAACAAAAACGATATATTGCAAGACTTTTTCATCGTAAAATAGTATTCATTTTTTATAAAATTAATGGATTCCTTTTTACAAAAAGATATGCAAGGGCGGGTATACGTCTCCATGGTCGATAAGCTGCGCTCATATTGTAAGTCTTCTAGTAGTTCACTAACTACCGCACGCAGTGCTAAAATCGGCTAATTACTTTGGGACTGTGACTTGGGTTTGCCGAACGCTTTAACACGGGCGGTATAGGCCTGCCTCGCCTCCTGTATACAGTTTCCATGGCCCAGATCTATGAAAGCCCGGTCACGACATGAGCGAGATACAAATTGCAGCTGGAGGCGAGCAAAAGCACAAGCAGCGCCTTCGGTATAAAATAGAGGCTTGGGGGGAGGGGGGAGGGGGGGGGGGGTAAAAGGTCGAAGAGATGAACTGGATTGATGTTGATATGCTCTCCTTGTTCGTCATAATCTTTTTACCTTAGAGTCCAATGAATAATGAACTTGAGATATTCAACTTTCGGATTTATTTATAATGAAAATCTAGTTGCGTGAATGTATTAATTGAATTGCCTGTCTTTGCTGATCACTCGCAGCTCACCTATAAAAGTGTTCTAATGATTTCCATCAATTTCACTTCAAATTCATCATCAACTTCATCTTCTCAGTAAATGTGACGTCAAAATTATCACGAGAAGTGAGAGAAGTTTAAAATTTTGATATATAAATCATTACTTTAAGATTTTTTTGTTGACTAAAAATGTCAAATAAATTTAATTTGTAAAGTCTGAAAAGAAAGCAGGAAATATAAAGATGAAAATAATTTTACGGACATAAAATAAGTCGGAAATTTGTTTTATTGAATTAAAATAAGAATATCGATCACATAATTTTAAAAATGTTAAAAATTAAGTTGCCTTAATTTTGCAAATGAGTTGTTTAACTCTTACCAAGCCGAAAAACCAATATATCGAATCACCCTGACATTATCTTGTATATAGTTGATAACGATACCAGACACTAATTTAGTCACTGTTCAAGGGCGATTGCAACTGACAAATCCCGGCCGTCTAAAGGTTAATGGACTTGAATTTCACAATCCACATTAGCGATTGATATAGACATATATATCGATGCCGCTTAATACATACGTAATTACAAGTTTTTAATTATATAATTATAAACCGCAAAAACTTTATGCAACAAACATTTTACCTGAGACCGTGAATTTTTTCCAATACTTCACATTTTTGTTCCGTATATTGTCAATTTAACCTTTCAAATTTAAAGAGTACTTGAATTCGAAATGATGCCAAGCCAAGCCGCACTGTCCAGTTTAGTCTGGGTTAGGTTCGGTTTTGTATTTTATTGTAAACATGACGCAACGTGGTACTCCTTTATACTTATTAATTATTTTTAGTAAGACAGTCGCCATGCAGGTCATAGTCACGTAATAATGCACAGTGGGTGAAATAAATGCTAACAATAGATAGAACAAGGGAAAGGAATAAGAATTTTTCATTAACCTAACAAGGAGTTATGACTCATTTCGTGGCAGCGTTATTATTATTTGTTTTCGATTTGACTGCCTCCAATTAATCTCTGGCTAGCCATCTTTTGGTGCACACACACTCGCAAATAATATTGTTTCCGCAATCTCTGTTTATGTTTTTTTTTCATTTTAGTTTTTTGCTTTATCGCGAGAAACAAGTGTTCCTCTGCCCTCGCGGACTATTTGTGCATGATTCTTTTTTTTGGAGCTCACGTCATTGCCGACACCCAGCACCTTTTTTCTATTTATTTTTCTAAGATTCGAACTTGAGCGCATTACACTCGCGAAAAAGAGTCAGAACGGAGTTTTTCTCTAATCTCGGGTACTGCCAGAATTGTAAGTCATATTATTTTTAAAACTAATTTTGGTTCAAGTCTTATTGTAAATACATGCATTTCATTTATTTGTCAGTTTACTGTCAGTGTTAGTTGATTTTAGTACTTAAAAATTTTTAAAGTCCAGTTTAATGGTAGGACAAATTAGTTTAAGTAACACTAATTTCAATATGAATAACTGATTTTATTCAATTCATTGATTTAGATTACTGTATAATAGTATTTGTATTATTGTAATTTTATCTTAAGTGAATTCCAAAAAGATTTCATATGCCAAAAATAAATGAAAAATTGACATTTCTAATTAGAGCTTCTGTACTTACAGGTACATACTTGAAAATGTCTGAAAACGCAAGTAGTTCAAACATAGATGACAAAACTTCATCTGCTATGACTCAGTGCTATGAAAATTATGTGCTAGTTGATGTCGGAGCAAACCTTACTAATAAAAAATACAACCGTGATTTGGATAGTGTTGTACAAAGAGCCAAAGATGCAGGAGTACAAAAAATAATGGTAACTGGTGCAAGTATACGTTCTAGCAAAGAAGCATTGCGCTTGACAAGAATTTACCCTGGCAATTTGTATTCGACTGCTGGGGTTCATCCACATGATGCTAAATCTTGGGAGGACTCAGAAACACTGGAAGAGTTAGAAAGTATAGCTAAAAATCCAGAGTGTGTTGCTATAGGAGAATGTGGATTAGATTACAATAGTAAGTAGTATATAATAGACAATAGTAAAGAAACTATTTTTTTAAAGGTATTAATATTGTTTTGTAGGAGACTTCTCCGAACCAGAAATACAAAGATCTGTTTTTGATAAGCAAGTGGAGTTGGCTTGTCGGTTGAATAAGCCTCTTATTATTCATGAAAGGGGAGCACAAGGAGATGTCTTAGAAGTTTTGAATCGCTACATAAAATGCTTGCCTCCAGTTCTCATTCACTCTTTTGTTGGCACTGCAGAGGAGGCGCAACTTTATCTTGATCAAGGTTTTTATTTGGGTATCACAGGGTATTTGTGTAAAGATAAATCGGACAGTGGTGTTAGACAATTGTTGGAGGAGGGTCTTGTGCCATTAGACAGAATTCTTGTAGAGACTGATGCGCCCTTCATGTACCCTAATACTCGCGCAAGTAAGTTACCGGCCCACGTTAAGGACGCTTTGACGGCGCGATCTTTGACATTTTTACTACGCTACTGCACCTTTCAGCGTAACGAGCCTTGTGCGTTACCCGCTATAGTTGAAATGGTCGCAGCTTTTATGCGCAAATCGCCGGAAGAAGTAGCGCTTGCTACCGCTTTTAATGCTCTAAAATTGTTCGGTCTAGATCAATGATGGTCGATAAAACGACGCGCTATTGGTGCTAGTTTATGGCGTTACCAAAATAATTGTCATTCATTGATATTATAGTTTTTTTACGCTTTCACTTGCGGTTAACGATTTATATTTTACAAGCATGTAGACTTTATAATACTAATTTTTATATTCATATTGATCTTTATTTAATTTTCGTGTCCTTATTGTAAGCAAGTTGTTTTATTGAATCACTTTTTTGTCTTTGATGCTTAAAAAATTTAAGTATAACATATTTTTTTAAAAGCTTTTATGTTTTATTGAATTTAGTATGTTGTAAAAATATGACAAAGAATGTATTTCTATATTGAATTTGGACTGAATGATATATTTTGAAATGTATAAAAGCCGTTATTTAATGGAAATATGTAAAATCTATTGTTGATATATTGCCTATTTTCATAAAAATAAATTATTATGGAAGAGAAATGATGTTGTTGAGTTGAATGGAAAAATATAAGTTACATGGTATTAAAAACAGCCCACTGTTATTATAAAATATATTTTTTATTAAAAATTCTCATATAGACTTATAGAATAAGTTTCTAAATGAGTTTCATTTCATTTTTATAAAATATCTTAAAAACTTTGTAATAATTTTATACAAAAAAATTAACAGTAGTTTTCAATTTTTTTAGTTATATACAACTATCTTAAAAATAGTATTTACAGTAACTTTCATTCTGATACAAGTTTCAATTTGTAGTCTACTTTATAGTCTTATTAGGTATTTCACAATCAATCATCTTTAAATTTAAGTTTGATAGCCTGTACTAAGTAGGAAGTCTTTTCATTTTCTGGTAGTTTATTCCACATTTTACAATCTACAGGTATTACTCTATATGACATAGATTCCAAGGTTTTGATAAATAGTGAGTAAGGGCCTAGTATTCGCTGTGTATTTCTAGTATACCATTCAGGTCGTGCATTGAGAATTAGAAATCTAAAATAAAACATTGATATATGAATTTGCCTTGAAAATGATTGAAGACATAAAAAATTGAATAAAACCACCATACATTTGGCTACCCGGAGGAATAGTTAAATCTTCTAAATAAATAATATCATTATCAGATATTTTATTTGTAATAGTTTCATAAGAATTTATTGCAATTGGACAGCCACTCTTATTCATAATAACCATATGGTCTAAAACATAAAAGCGCAATAAGCATTTGGTTTAAAATTAATGACAAGCTTAGAAATTTTATGAAAATTATCAACTGACCAATACAGTGTTCTAAAGTTGTCCGAACATTAGTTTTGATATAAGCATTCCCTCCAACGGCTTGTTCTAAGGCAGATAAAAGTGGATAATCTTTATTGTCGTTGTGTTGTACAGTTTTAAAAGCTACAAGTACATCTTTGGATGGCCATGGTCCTTTGTAAGAAGGATACAAAACTTTTACCATTTGATATAACTGCAAGAGTATTTTTGTATGGTCTTTGGAATAAAGATTATTCATAGAAAATACTTCTTGTAAAAGAGTATTATTAAAACACTCCAAACAAGCTAAATGCAATGCAAAATAACACATTTGTAAATTTTCTGCTTTAGAAATAACGTTGTTCAAAATATTTTCTTTCATAATGTCCCAAAAAACAGGTTTGTAGTCAGCCAATGCTAATCCTGTAACTATAGGCTGCAATGAATTTAAATCTAAATTCAGAATATTAGGATCTTCATAACATAGAGCAGATATATAATCTAATAAATCCATTTGTGCATGTTGAATAGAATTCAAATGGGAGAGTACATCAATAACTTGATAAAAATTGCAGTTTTCATAAATAATTTTATCAATAAGTTCATCAATAAATATTTCATTATAAAATTCTTCACAGCTAAAACAATAAAAAGTAATATATAATAGAATTGTAGTTTGAAATTCAAAATGATTTTATTCACTTACCCAGTGTTAATTTTTATTGAGACTACTTTGACCATATACAAGATCTGGTCAGGCTGAAGCTTGTCTATATTGTCAATGAGATCTTCCTGCAGTCGTTGTATTAAATTTGTAAAGCTATATGGAAGTTCTTGGACATCACACAAAGAGCATAAGGTATTGTAAGCTTCTTTGCATTCCAATCTTCTTTTGCAGTGAGTAATACTGTCTAATAAAAAATTGAGCATTACTGTATCTTGAATATTTTTAGATGCAAAACTTAATGCATAAATTAAATTACTAATATCACTTTTGTCTAATTGAGATATTTTTGTTAAAAAATAATCTGTCATTTCTCTCATTATTGATTGGCTTAAATCTGTTACTGTACATTTCGTAAGCAAATCTGATAATGTACAAATTTCTTGAAAGGATAACTCTCTTATGGATTCTTGTATTTGCTGAAGAAGTGTTACAAAAAATATATTTGAACTTGGCACATTTAAAAACTGAAGTATTTTCAATGCTTCAATAACATCAGATGAGGTTAATTGTCTTATTTGTGGCTTGAAACACATGTATAGTTTTGTAAAATCTATCTGTTCATGAACTTTTTCTGGTGATCGGCACTTGTTTTCATAAAAATTGTGCAATGAAGATAAGGCAGCAATGACATGTTCTTGTTTGATATGATGTTTATTAGAATCAATATAGTTTAAAAGTTTGGATGGACATAGACCTTGCTGCAAGGTCTTGAGCAATAAATCTTCTTTTGGACTTTTTAAATCATAGTACCCACTTACTCTATCTGCATAAAAAAATATTAGAATAATTTCAATATTTTGATTAGTAAATTTATTACCTTTATGAAATCCTGATGTATTAAACAATCTTGGTAATATAACTCGTTGAACTTGTGCAAAAGCTAAATTTCTGAATGTCATCGACATTCTAATCAATCTTCTTACCATGAAGTCCATACTAAAATATGCATAAACGAATGAATTTGTAATCTGTACGTAATGTATCTGAATAATTATAACAATGCTAGATAAGAGTTTAAAACGTGATTTCTTCAAAAAAAGCGCATGTAAGAGGACTTCAAACTTTTGGAAACATAAATTATTTTAGCTTAACTAGCGTCAAAAAATGAATTATTTAAAACGTAATCATGTAAATAATTAAAAATCTTATCCAAATCATGTAAATATCATTAGCACTATTTGCTGCCGCAATGATAATTGCAACGAGATCAAAGTATTTTTTAAAGGTTATGTTTGAAAGCTAATTGTTCATCTTTAGCGCGCGATAAAATTTGAACGTGAATATAATTTCCTATAAAAAAATGTAAATTTCGCAATAATGCAACAATTAGCTTCCTTGATATTATGAACCAACTTTTTTTGTGTCAATACAGTTTATTTAAACAGTTTCTAAAAATATGTTGGCGTTAGCTGGATAAATATCACGTTATAAAATATATGAATTGGTATAAAATCAATGCGCGTATATATGCAAAGAAAATAAAATACCGAAAATAAAATTTTAAATTAAGACTTGCAGTTGTTACATTATGTGCACGAAAAGTGAAATTTTTGTGTGAGCACGTTTCTTGTTTAAATATATATACTTCTGAATATGGTAAGACGTGTTTCCACATAGTCATTAAAGGGGCTTATTTATCCTGAAATGGCAATCAAGTTATACTTCATTCTTTACTGTGTATACTCATTGTGAAGCAGGAGACGGAATTTCAAAAAATTATATTTTACGTTTTTATTTGTAGATGTTAATTAGACTAAACGCTTTATTTTCAATTTTATAGTATTTTGATACGCATATGAAATAATGTAATTGAGAATTGATGAGAAATAAGTGAAATGCTGAAGCGTTCCAAGCAATGTCATTCATTTAATAATTTATTATTATATATTCCTGTAGAATTTAATGCGTGTTTAAATACTTTTTAAATAGATTAGACGTATATAGTAAATACTTTATTGATAACAGTGCGCGTCTGTTGTCATAAATCATAAGATGATCATTCACAAATTATTTGAATAAAAACAGTCACGTCAATTTTTAAAGCTTGTATAATTGAAATTGGTCGAAAAAAATATTCGGATAATGCAAAAATGTACAAATTCTTCAGATAATAAATCTTTTATAGATATTCTAGCAATAATTCTAGATTGTTTTCAGAAATATATTTATATAATCTGTAGTGATGAAACATTTTTATTTTATGATTTTTAAGTAAACGGTTTTCATAAATACACGGCGATTAATGTTGTTTATAATATATGGTAAGTATTCGTAAAGTACTTGAAATTCTAGAGTACGTATGCACTATAAGCAGTTGATTGTTTTGCAAGAAATTTAGTACCACGAACAACTGCCTTTGAGGCTTACTACATAAGGAGACATCGAACGTCGGACAACCGACATCGGTCGTGTGTCAGGATTATCAAGGTAAAAAACTAATTGTTTGTTTAACATTTGGATGTGTCAGCAATTGCTCAGGATACAAGCTATAATAAAAATGTAGATTTACTATATTAACGTTATTAGTAATATATAATATTTAGCAATATCATTTTTCACCATAGTACCCTTTTGATGGTTGATATCTAATGCTCTGCAATGTTTTCTTATGTAAATATCTAGTCATACGTGATTCTATCTATTTATAACGAATAGTAAATAGCAAACAGCTTTCTTTGCTGAAACACATCCATCACAACAAAAGATGCGCTTGAAAAGTTGTTAATTAGCTCCGTTAATTAAAATCATCAAAACCAATTTCGTTAAATACGCATTTGTAGTATTGGATTAATTATAAAGCCAAATGAGATTCGTCCGCGATGATTATTGCATTACGGCGCAGAGAAGCTCCGGATCATTAATAATTTAATGTGTTAGCTGTGGTAAAGGAAGAAGGATACGAAGTGCATCGTCATCGTCAGATTTCGAGCGTATACGCAAGGTATACGATCTAACAAGCGTAAATGCTATAGTCAGCGACGAAGCGCGACAAGCCAAAAGTTGACCGCGACGTCAGTCGAAGCAAGCGAACGTTGCAGAAGGCAGACAGCCAGCGCGGCACAGCAGGAGGCTTCATTATCCAAATGTGTATTGAGCCGCGGTTCGCTGAAAAACTGCGAATAGGAGCGCGAGGGCGAACCGAGCGAAGAGTTTGGCAAGCGACGTTGACGACAGCCGTGACCGAGGTGGCGACGGTCAGGGTTTCGTCCGCGAAGCATTGTGAGAAAAGGAGAGGGGGGGGGGGGGTGACGTCAGCCTGGCACGAGCTCTCGCGAAAGACAGCAGCGCAGAAAGCGATATAAAGCACACGACGTAATATAGAGGTGCGCGAGAGGCCTTCGCTGGCACACAAATAACGTCGCGCGTACTCGGCGGCGGAGTCCGGCATGCGGACTGTCCAGTGGGCAGACGAGCCTGTTGCCAGTTATTGATCCGGCACGATTAAACAACACTGCATTGCCGTGCCGCTGCTGCGAGCAAACACGGCTGGCTCGGAATCGCTGGCGGCGCGTTATGCGCGAGCGCGAGTACCTCCTCCTCCTCCTCCTCCGCGGAGAGTCGGTGTGGCGCGCACGCCGCTCGGCAGTGTCTGCTGCTCCTGGCTGGCGGTAGTCGACCACGTCGTCGCGCTGGACTAGCTTTGTCTCTCGCAGCTCTCTCGGTCGCTTATCGTGCCACGTGTGTGTTCGAGGTGGTGGTGGTGGCTGCTGGCTGCTGGTAGTGGTGTAGCTGTGCGGAGGCTGCTGCTACTGCCGCTGGCGCGCACCGACGGCGGCCGCGGCGGGGACACTGCTCCGTCTCGCTCGGCTCGGCTCGGCTCGGGTCCAACTACACACGGGCTGCCGCTGCCGCTGCGACGAGCAGCCAGCAGCGTCGGGAAGGTCAGACACGCAGGCGCGCGATAGTGCGGCCAAACATGCCGAAGAAATAAAGTTGAACTCGTCCTCGCACGAAACCGCGAGCCATCGCCAAAGCTGCTGTTGCCGCTGTTGGCCCATATTCGCTGCCCGCTGTTGACAGACGGTTAGACACGCACACACCCACACACACATGTGAGTTGTGAGTGCGTACGCTAGCGAACAGAGACACGAACCGAGAGAGAGAAAGAGAGAGAGAAAGAAAACGAACTTGCGGCGGTGAGTGTCAGCAGTATCGCCAGGAGCCAGCACCATGAAGAAGTTCACGTTCAAGGGGGTGCTCGACGGTTTCCGCTCGTCGGCCTCGCCTCAACAGGTTAACAGGCCCGAGCAGGAGATCGTCGAAACTCTGCGCTCCGATCACTTTCACGTGAAGAAGGTCAGTCCGCATGCCAAAAAACAACAATAAGCCGACTCGTACGCGAGCGTCGAAATCGTGCTAGCGTGCATCGTTTACACTCGTCGTCATCGCCGTCGTAGTATCAGCATCGGACGATCTGTGTCCGGGCGCGATTGCCAGCGCGGTCTCTCGTAGGCCTAGTCTTTCGCGCTCCATTCAGCGATCAGTGGAAGCTAATTCGAACCTGCCCCCTCCAGTCAGCTCACGCGAGCTAACGATTTTTACATTAGCCGCCCACCTCCCCTACCTACCCACCTTACTTCCTCGTCGTGTGTTGCAAGCGGCCACGAATATAACCAACACTTGATACCCACTGCCGACCCTCGGCGACCTTCGGCACGCGAGCACATCCTCTCCTTCGAGGAATCGACAAAGCACCGCCGACCTATACACCGACTCTACCGTACACTTATACCACTCCTCTTTGTTGTTATTGCGGCGCGTGAAAATCTGCGCACGCACGTTAATCAACGCTTCCGCCTGCGTCCGGCGCGTAGATTTTGCTTTGGTACGCTTTCTTTCTTCTTTTCGTCGGGCTGGCTGCTCGTCGCTGACCTTGTTTCTTCGAGGACCGCACTGCTCATTCACTACTTCAGATTCTTATTGGCTTTATCGAGGACCGCGTCGCGACCGATCGACAGCGACCGCACGATTACGCCCAGGTTGTCCGGGCGACCCCCCCCCCCCCCCCAACCCCCAACCTCCAACCCCAACCCCTCCACCCCCGCGAGCCTCGTATCGACATTTTGAGAGCTTCATCTCCGGCGTGCGAGCGCGCTTCAATCGATCCATCGAAATCTTTTATACATTTATAGAATTTTAAAGCCCGGCAAAACGCAGCGTTCCGCCGTTTTCATCAATTTTTAACCAAGCATTAACCCGGTCAACCGGGGATTCTCCGCTTCTCAAATGCATCTTGCGCGAGAAAAAAGAAGCCCTTTGTCCCATTGCGCACCATTGCATTTTTCATGCGCGCGATGCGAATCCCGGTTAATCTGCAGTTTCAAACGAAACCCTCGGTGGCCTGGGAAATGCGATTTCTAAAAAAGACTTGAAGGCTCGACATGCAAATCGCTTGCTCGCTTACCTTCGCGGTAATGATCTCATTTTATTAAATCCTTTCGTGAATCGAAACAATTTACTGTTTGATATCAGTTGCTGTATATAACTCGATTTATCGCGGGGCATATTTACTCTGTCGAAAATTAATTTACCTCTGTGCAGACTTCCCCTTAAATTACGTTACAACCTTGCGAAAATCCAATGGAATTTACCCTTCGCATTGCTCTATATTCCTTAAAATTTGTCTCTTGTTTCGCTCATCAAAATTCGTGTAAGAATACATTTTGCACAACTGAAACAGCCGTCAGAGTCAGTCTATCAGGACGGATAGAACTTTGGGTCAACACAAAATTTAACGGCAGCAGCGTGTTCTTTGACGTGGAAATTGCATGTAGTCTCGTTAGCACTGCAAACTGGTTGATTAAAAAAAATGAAAAAATGAGGCATTCGAACCTTTGTGTGAATTCCTCCATTTCCTTTTCAATGCGCTACGCGGAGCCATTCTACGTAAGTTTAGATTGTTAACATTTATGATGTAAAGGCCAATCGACATTTAACAACATTACTGCGGTTTCCAGTGCGCGTGCAACTTATTATCGACATACGCGTATACAAAGTTTCCTTTCGAATTTCAAACTCGACTCGTTCCGCAATGTTCTCTTTCGAAACAAATTGAAAATCTATCAAATTTTCCTTCAAACGAAACACTAGCTATTTCCATTTTTGGTTTATTACGTCATGATTGAAGTACGTCGTTATATTCGAATAATTAGAGGCTTGTACGAAAATTTACAGCACACGCACGCACGCGCGTATTGTTGTATTTCATTGGCGACAAATGCGAACTTGGAGCGAAAGTGACTTCCACTTATTTTTTATCTTAACATAATAATCGGATTTTGGCATTGACTTCTTATCTTGACTTTATTTGACTGACAATTCAATTCCATTTAATAACTGAAATATCGGACGTCGATGTTACCTCTTATACATATAATAATAAATAAATAAATAAAATAAGTAAATAAAAAATAACGTGAAATTACGACGGGAGTATCGAGTTGAACAAAAGTTATATCTCGGAAACTCGGATAGCCGTTTTAATTAACAGAACTTTTAACAATTAGGAGATTCGAGCCAAACGGAACAAATACTTTGTGCGTCGTGCGCAGTGATGATAATCGGGGACAACGGAGCGTTCTCAAAGTTTTGCGTCCGGGGCTACTACGGCAAAGAAAAACGGCAAGCGATGCAAAAAGGAGCAACGATAAAAATAGCGGAGAGCGATGCACGTAGCGATTTACGAGTGATCTTGTGAGCTTGTAACTCTGAGCAACTTTGCTCGCTTTATACGTTCTTGCATACCTGCGCGCGCGTGTATCCCAGCGACACGAGCAGGATCTCTTACGCAGAAGTGGGGAGGACGCGAGCAGGACGCGTTTCTTCTCTCGCTCACGTTGCACCGACGACAACGACGCCGCACTACTCGGCGAGGCTTCATTTGCTGGCTTGATGAAAAATGAGCCTAGAGACGGCATCCCTTGTATCCCCCGGTCGGATAACGAGGCAGACCGCCGATTTCGTCACACACCTTTATGAAATTTTTCTGCCTCGCCGCGTTTGAATGGCCGAAAAGCCAATTAAACATCTGGCTCGCTAACACAGGCAACGCGAATATTACACTTTTGAGTGCGACCGTAGATTGTCTCGAAAGTGGGAAAACGCGTTGGAGGATAATAAACAACGTCTTTAACGGAGACGCGTGCGAGAGCGATGCTTTATTAATAAATAAAAATTAATTGAACCGTAGCGTTAGTTTCCAGCGAAGCTTCTTCCTCTACTTTGTTGTCGCATGAAAAAAATACATAAAACCGTCGGTAACTCTTCCGTGTAATGCAGTTTCTCAAATAAAAATAAATAAGTACACGTGAAATAAGAAATACCATTGTATTACTGCGGAAAATGAAAGATACCCATATAGAAGCCTTTTGTTTAAAGAGAGTCGCAGAGGACGAAGAGAGTATAGGTAACTTTTGCACTCGATTTCTTCTAGTTATACTTGCAAACTATCCGCGATTGTGCGCCAGTGAAACGTACACTCGTGTGGATTATAACGGCGATTCCAAGTTGTTACTCGAGGGTTGCTCTTCTGATTAACATACACTTGTCGTACGTAGGTAAGGGCATACGCTAGTGTATGAAAATTAAATCTGAGAGCTTGCGACAGTCACGAAGGCTTTGAGTTTTCTTTTTTATTCTTGATTGGCGCGAATAATACGATATCATGCATTTAGTACGTACGACGTAGACTCGTTATAAAAAGCTCTCGCGGCGAAAAGTCTGACGCTTCCGTTGCAGTCGATAATTAACGCTATCCACGTGCACAGAAGAGCGCGACGACGCTGCGGAATAACGTTCGAGAAGGGAACCTCTGTAAATATTTGGCAGCCGCGCGGGCGCAGTGCGCGAGAGATATAGCAGGGGCCGTCATTTACATGCGCCAAAGCCACCCGTGTAAGAATTGCCATGACTGCAAAAACGGCCCAATACTGTTGGAGCACTGGCAACCGAACCTAGTTTTGTCAAGCACTGGACCGGCTTTGAGCCTACATTGAATTGATAAGAATGGTCCGAGCACCGGCAGCCAATACCGTACCAATAATCTATTTTTGAGCGATTTTAATATATTTTGTTTTCCGGCCCTGGCCCAATACTAATCGTTAATCATGATGCGCATGTTTATAAAGAATATTAATAATAACATTTTAACCTAAAATATATGATAAGTATCGTGTTTTCCGAGTAGTTTTCATTATACCACGCAATGCTGAACAGTTATTCACATCTCAAAAAATCAAGATCCTTGAAAAGGAAAATTCTCTGTTCATCGTCGAGCACCAGCTGTAGCGACAATGGCAATATTTTTATAAAAAAACTTGATGCGCTTGACTTATCCCGTAGTACTACTTATCGTAGTATGTAAAATAATTCAATAATAAATAAAGAAAACGTTGACGCTAAAAAATGCGTTCTTATTTATTAGTTTGATAGTGTGCTTGTCCGACAATGACAACAAATATTGCGTTACCAGTACTGAGCCATGGTCAATGCGTCGGCAACGGCTCACTACTGAAAATATAACCTTGGCCTATTCTTATCATTTCGTTACCCGGATGACGTTGGACCAGCACTGGCGGCCTGTACCGGCAGTCTTGGTTAACGTTGCTGTGCCAATGTTGGGCCGTTTTGACTTTCTTACACGGGCAGTCTCGTCCCTGCTACCCGAGAATACGAGAAATGCTGGATAGCCGACGGGAGCTGGAAATCGAACTTCCAATATGTTTAGACTCTTGGCGAGCGCCCTAAAAACGTCCTTGACTTCGCCGCGCTCTCTCGAGATTCTGGGCCCATGCCGCAGTCGACGCGTTCCATGCTCAGGCCTTGTCGCAATGTCCGATGGTACGATGCCTCGACGCGTCTGTCGCAGTCGTGGCGCGAGATCTAATTTGAACGCCATTAGTCGCGCGCATATTGCGAAATTCTTTCGGCGCGTCGTCGTTTTGCAAAAAAGAAATGGAAAAGAAAAAAGGAAAAAAGTTCGCGCGAACACACGAGCGATTAAGAAAAACAGGTCGTCTTGGCGGTCCCGCGCTCGTGGTTGCCGCCGTCTTTCCGTTTTCGCGCAAGCGTCACAGCCAATCTGGCGGCGTGAATAAATGATTGGTCGTGTGTTTGTTCTCTCTCACTCTCTCACTCTCTCTCTCTCTCTCTCTCTCTCTCTCTCTCTCTCTCTCTCTCTCTCTCTCTCTCTTCCTCTCTGCCCTTGCTCTACCAGGTGCAGCGCGTTGGTTTCGCTCTCGTCGCTGATTATTCTTCAACAAGGTAATCACGGAAACTATATTACTTCGGGATATGAC